CATTATGAAGCATAATTTTCTTGAAATAGTGGACTGTACAGTGTTTCTCTTTGATAAATTTCTGCCCACATTAATGGCAGCTGACTTAATAAAACGTGTCATATTGATGTGCATTTTGCAAACAATTTGCTTATAATTGCAGGGCTGGGAGATTTGCATATAGTGAAAATTAAAAATGTTGTAATTAAATCTTGTTGCAGCAGCTGCATTTGAAGCCAGCCTATTTATTTGTAATAATAATTAGTAATATGGTATTATGCAATACCATTGTTCAAAACTTTTCTGAAGGAGTATTATATAACACTGAACTTGGGAGGTGATTAACCCATTCAGAGCCCCAATACATACATGGGAAGATAGTCTGGTTAACCCACTGACCACCAGCACTCTCCCCTTGATAAGTAAAATTGTCTGGCATTAGACAGAGTAAAATAATCTGATGTTAGAGTCAGTTAGACAGAGTAAAACAATAAAGTAGGGTGCATTAGGGTGCTGACTTATGCATGGTTAAAAAAACTATATTATTTGAATTAAGCTCTCTGTTTGTTAGTTATGCTATATTTTTTCTGTCTATAAAGCCAGACAATTTTATTTATGGAGAGGAAGTGTTTTATTTATGGAGAGGAAGTATTTTCTTATGGATAGGAAGTGTTAACCCATTAAGCCACATTAATGCTTCCCTACTCTGTTTTTGACTCAGTCTAGTCAATTGTACTATCATATAGTCAAGGGGATGTAGGTGTTTTGCCTTTACAGTCCAATCCTAATAGAGCAACATACGATCAACTCTTGATTAGTGAGTACATGCAGGTCATTGGCAAGTGTCATTACAAATCATTGAAACAATAAATACCAGGGGTTTTTTCCCCAAAAAAACTCAATCTTGAATTGAGTTATGACTTATGAAACTCAATCATGTCATCGAAAATTTAAGTGCAGTAGTAAAAATGTTGTTTTGGTTGAATTTGTGACATTTAATTAAGATATGTTTGTGATGTTGTTCCAGTGGGGAAATTGAGTTGAAATTGTGTAAAAAAACCTGTTTTATTGGTGTGTTTTGTTATAAATCACATGCTAAGCATAAGAAAACCAACATTTCAGAGAAAATATTTACATGATTATTTACATTTGTGAATGGTTTAATTTAATTAACATGCCAATGACAATGTAAAAATTTATTCGCTAAGTGAGTGAAAATTATTCGCTGTGAAATTTATAAGCTTCAAACAACAAAAAATCGACGACATTTAAAGAAGTGCCTGTTGCAAGAAGTTGACCCCCTAGTGTCTGTCAAAAAATGTATAAAATGTGTATGTTGTGACATGTACAGTACAGAAACATATATTATTATATTATGATGACAATTACGTTATACGAGTGTGATTTGTGTTATTTGGTACAAGATTTTTACAGTCTTTCAAAATTATTGGGGGGGGGGGGAAGTGTCCGCCACTTGAAATCAGGATTTATCCTGACTGCCATTTAGTTAGAATACATAACTTATTCATGAACAGTAAAAATATTTTTTGGCATCATGCAATCAAAATTATAAGAAATAATAGTTAGACCATTGATCAGACACCAGTCGCTCTTTCAAAAGTAAGATATATCATAAAGTATTTGACACACAGTTTGCCTCTTTGGTCAACAAATTTTGTTGTCATGACAACAAAGTGATTCACTCTGCTAACTGCTAAGATACCTAAATGCCAATCAAAGTGCTCATTTGACTGATTTCAAAGAATTTAATTTAATTTACTCTTACTGTAATACTCAAAACTCACCAGTAGCAAGTGTAAATTATTATCGAGTGGAATGAGGATATAGCGCTTCAAAGATTTACGTACACTTGCGAGTAACGAGTCAAACAAGTATGTGAGTCACTCGCAATTTGTGTGTATCCGAAACACTTGCGAGTGATCGACTCACATGCTCGTTTGACTACATCATCAGTTGATCACCCAAGGACGGGATTGTATGTTGTTGTTGTACTCTGTTGTTGACAAGTTCATATTAGCAAAATTCATTACAGGAATTAACGGTTAAAAGCAATGCCATGACAAAGGCTTTCGGGGCCAAATGTGGTTGAAACATCAAATATAATATTAGTCTTTTTCAAATAGTTCAGAAAATCATGGCCCACTTTTGAGATATATTTTCCAGGTGGTTCATATCAGACAACCAGCAGACTGTAAGTAATATAAGCAATTTAAACACTTATCCTCAAAAAAAAAACACGATAAAAACAGATACTGTTCTTCCCTATTTGGCAAAAAATTCATATCATAATGGCTGGTACTAATTTAGCTGTTTTCCTAAAACGGAAAAACCCTACACGTAATATTCCGGATAATGCGAAAATAATTTAAACAATCCCATTAAAACTTATTGAAAATATTAAAGCGAATGTCAGAAGCATATTTTTAGTGTTGTCGTGTTGAAGTATTATATTTCATGTTGAAAGCTAATATTTTTATCTTGAAAAGCTAGATAATAAATTTTGATTATGCTTAAGAGTTTCGCAACGCCAAGACTTTAAAATATTAATATATGTGTAACGTATGAAAGCATCTTTTAAGAAAAAAAAAACAAAGACCTAATTTCGCATTGTTTTAGATTCCGAATCGGTTCAATATCCTAAAATAGGACTTTTAATATCCTTTAAAATTTGCAACTCTAACTTCGCGTGACTCGTTTTGCATTTTTAATGTACAACCGAGAACATTGTTTCGAGAAATATAACGCCCGTGAGTACAAAACTTAAATGTTTTACAACTTTAATAAAGGTCGAATATTAGGTTTGAGACGAAAAAGTCAACAAAAAGCCAAACAAACACGAAGATCGGCTGTTTTACAGTAATGTATTTTTTACAGTTTTCTGTTAAAAAAATGAGGATGAATATAGCTATACTTGGATAACAATCTGAGTGTTTTTGGGTATAAATTTAAAATACTACAGCACATGTATTAGTTAAAATTTAATAGTTCAGTATATTCGTGCTCCGGTAATTTGTGACATATATTTCGCAATGTTTACATTTCGTCTTTGTCCGCGGAACACAAGCATACAACATATCGTCTGCGGCGAGTAACGCGAAATTTTGACCACCAAAAACCAAGAAAACCTTTCCGATTGATAGAATTAGTGCTACTCAAGGAAAATGGAGGTCTTTTGTAGCACTTTACTCACCGCAGACCGCCGCTAAAGACAATTTTATTTTAACGAGCTGGGTTTGTAATACAAAGGATGAACAGACGGCGACAGCTGTCGATTTGAGACGTTTTGACCGAACAAAAACTTGCTTCACTTTACTGTAAAATTACCAAACAATAAAATGGTTTAGGGTATAGACATAACTCTCAGTCAGCTGTGTCTTAGTTGGTCTTAATTTTAAAAGCAAAAGCAAAAGTGAGAGAACAGCCAGGAAATTGCAAAAGACGTGATGAAGCCCAAGGAAGCATTTATAATAAATATCCCTCTTCAGCTCTTGGGACTGACATTGAGCAAAGGCGAAAAGAAACACGGCATAATCATACCGAATATATATATAAATTTCGCCAATACACATCGGTTGTATAAAAATTAAAAATATAAACTTATACTAACTTGAGGTGCAAATCACTCCTATTTTGGAAGTGGCTTGCCCCTCGCTTGAAACTCACCGTGGTCGAGAAGAGATGATACTCAGCCAACACGACATGATGCGACTCCCACTTTCGTAAAAATTTTGAGCTTAATATTTTACTCAGTAAAGTGCTACTGTGGTTCAAACGACAGACTTGGATGTCGCCTTCGTGCATGAGTTTAAATTTCGCACTCACTCCGTTGTTAGACCGTAGCAAACCCGCCGAGTTATTCGACTTCGTAGCCGTGGCGCTGTCGTAGCCGGCCATATTTGCTTGGTCGCCTCTGCTTTGAGCAAGGCTACGATAGGTTCCCGTAAGCTGTGAAATAACACAAAAATATTACAAACTATAGTTTCTACCACGAGATAAAACCACAGCAATAAATTCACTCTGCCCAACAAATTTCAGCCGTTTATCTGTTCGGATAAGAGCGGACACACAATACGCATGTTTTGTATTTAAATTATGATAGGTCACGTGGTCGCTTCCTCGGAAACAACTCAATGATTTCAAAACGCAAATGATAATTTTTAAACTTTCAATATTAATAAAAATGTTATTCTATCCCCTTTAAAAAACTAACTAGCATGTAAAATATCTAAATACATCCCCCAGAAAGATTGCCTTATTTTCAAATGTTTTAAAAGTGTAATTTCCCTTATTCTAGGCAGAATTTCGTTTCTCAGTGGCCGTTGGTTCCAACATGGTTTCACATTTTTGGACAGTGAACACTACATTGGGTAATATTGGCTGAACCGTCCAGCTGTTGGACTCGTTTCAAGTTCTTTAAACGATCGGCTTTACGGGCAAATGATAGCGTTTTTGCACTGATAAAATATAATAAGCTACACCCCCTCTGCTACACCCCCATACGTTGGCGGGTTTGGATGAACGGGCACATTCTGGGATGAATGGGCACATTCTTACACACACGACGATATTGGGGTGCGGGCAACGAAAAATTAGGGAGACGAGGCTGCCTGCAAGTGCTGTAAAAAATCCCTTTCACTTTTTCCAAGGAATTATTCAATTCATGAATTCAAGATGTCCTGGATAAATACAATTTATCGAAGAACGAGTCGAACCATGGTTCAATATATCAATATATGGCATTACGTCACAAATATGACAAAACAACAAGCGACTGGATGGCATGGAGAACAGTGGATTTTCAAAACAATGAAAAGACAATGGACATTCGCCATTCCCATCATGGGATTATTGTGATTGGAAGGGTTAAGGATACTGCAGCACTCGTTTCCAACCACCAAACTGACATGACGTCACTGTCGGAAGAGGTGTTAAATGGCTATGTAATTACTAACCCCAAACCCTATCCCTACACTTTTCTCTAACGTCAGTTTGATGGTTGGAAACGAGTGAAGTGTTGGCAGTCTTGGCAAATAGCACATTGAGCAATAACAGGTAACATTACAAGAAAATACTGCATCATGAAACAGGGATGTTCACTTAACAGGAGACATGCCCTCCCACGCTCGTCTCGAAAGTTGGAAAGTGCATTTTTTGTACAATGAAATCTGAGGAGGAACTATGGGAAAATGTTTATGTAATGGTTTCATCAAGCACGATCATGAAGCAGATGTTGATAGTAACCAGTTTTTCTTCACTGTAATAATACACCTTTTGGGATGTTACTTTGGCTATGGAGCCTCGTTTTCATGTATGTAACAGTAGTTAAAGGCAAACATCTCGATCATGAAGCTAGCCTCTATAGCCAAGATGGTGTATTAATGTATAATACTAATTGGCTTGCTCCAATATAAGTGTCGACAATTCTGAAGTTGACCAAGTTCAGGTTAGTCACGGATGCAGTTATTGTGGACGTGACGTCATAACATGGTGTTTACGTCATGCTTGACGCATTTTTAAAACTCCACTTGTAGCTGAGCCTAAAGGGGATGTTGCACGCGACGATTCGCAATCTTAAATGAAGTTAAACTCTTTTTGAGTTTCTTAAATAAACCTTTAAGTAATAATAAATAATAATGAAATTTGATTGGTTCGACAGCCCGTCGTTGACAGTGGTCGTAATTGATCGTCCATCGTTTACGCAATAATTGTTGTGATATTTCATGACGGGTTTCACGAAACAGGCCACAGAGTACTTACATACAGAGGTCTCACTTCAGGTTAATTTAGTGTAAGGATTTTTTTATTTTTTCAGTCCGCCATGTTCTTAGCAAGTGCCCTAAGGAGAGACCGTTACCCCCCTGAAAACATATTGAAATTTAATGTTCCCGGGGGTGAATGCCTCTCTTTAGCGACCAGCTATTTTGATAAAGTTTTTCCGCGGAAGCAAGACCTCTGTATGTAAGTACTCTGTGGCAGGACTGTGCAGCAGGTCAGTAGTCACTTCGCACTTAACAGGGTGAGAAAATGTTGTTCTTTCATTATCAATATGTAATAGCCTTCTATTTGGTGACAAATTTGTTTGAAATGCTTCCTCCATGAAGTGCCAATACCGCATAAGCGGGAAAAAACTCTGAAATTGGGCAAAAAAATTGGGGAAATATAAAATTTAAAACCAAAAAATATGTAAGATAATAGTCGACAATGCAAGAAATATGCAAAGTTGGGAAAATCCTCCCCAACCCCCCTTGCCATCGACAAGAATTTTGGAAGTTTAGCACGGAACTATACTTTTCGGGTAAAATGCAAAAAAAGTCGGGCAAATGCCCTCTATTTTTTCCCACCATATACTGCACAAATCTGCTAGCACACTAATTTTTTGCATACATCATGTTTCATAATTCCATAAAGAAACGTATTTACAGAAAAACGATAAACATGAGCGGTTTATTTAAGCACAATGCTGATCAATCAAAGCTGACATTTTCATTATCATTTAACTTGCCTTGTATATCTTCGTTACGGATCGATTAATCAGTCCCCGGCTATGCTTCTTAAGTAATTTTAGTAAGAAAACTCGTCGGCGGTGCAAGCGTGGGCCTCGCTCGGAATTAATCTGCAAATACTTAAATTAATTCTTCATATACTGCAGTTATTAATATATAAGGGGCTGATTATATGGAGGCGAGATACCCGGCTAAGCGAGTTGAAAACTGCATATAATAAAAGATTAATGAGCCTATGCGCTTGATCTTATGCGCTTTTCAGTGAAAATCAAAAAATCGCGCCGCTTTGTCGAATATCACGTCCGGTGTATGTCGGCCTTTATACATCAGTAGTATCCTTAACAGTCGATTCATTTGAACGGCGCAGTTCACCGGGAGACTCATGTTCATGCATGTATGAGGGATGAATCGGATGATTGAGTTTTTTCTGTGTATCCCAACTTACTAGCCACTAGGAGTTCCAATCGCATGGCCATGGGGATGTGTACTCCGTTAGTGGCCATGTAAAAATTGTCATCTAACTAATCAAAGGCCGTTGAGGACGACTCACGGATGAGATCAAATAAAAGTGAGGGGCACCGTGCAAATTTTGCCAATTCAGCGTCGTGCTTCCTAATCTTTTGCCAAATCAAAAGAACGAACGCGTGTTCCAGCCAGTCCGGTTCTGAGAGGTCCGATTCGCAGGCAAACAGTGCGCGCAAAGCAGGCTGGTCATTTCCCATTGTTCAACTCATGCCCCACACTCAAGTAACCACAAAGACTCACAGATGTTGCTTCGCAACATCCGTGACCGGTCAGTCAAAAATGGCAAAATCAAGATTATATGGGGTTGACTTATTCACATTGCAAAACACACTGTTTGTCGGCTCATTTTTGCAGGTCAAATTATTTTCAAAGCAACATCTCTGAGTGACTGCAGACTCTGTTTGATCGTATCAGCATTCACTTCATACGTGATCAGCTTCAAACCAACATTTTAAACTTTTATGCTTATTCAAATTAGTTGCGAAGTTTCGGGTCATAATGCGGAATAAAAACATTGTCGTTAAGATGTATACGCGGCACAGATTTATATGCCCTATGGCTATATGGGCATGGCTATGCAGTACGTTTTTGCTGTGATTGAGCAAACTGTAGTCTATTAATTTATGCCATCTGATAGTGTCTGCCTATAAGTATAAAGCAGGACTATTACTGTTTATTATCATAATCTTGTTTTATACTACATTGCTCAATACTAAAGCCCCAACAAGAACAAGTTTTCTTGATGTCCTTGACAAGTTTCCTTCACAAGTTTCCTTGACATATATACAAGTCATGCAAGTTTCCTTGATAAGTTTCCTTGACAGATTTCCTTGACAGATTTCCTTGAGAAGTGTACTTTCTCGTGCGTGCCGACAACTTGCAGTTTTCCTTGACCGTCACGTTTCCTTTGTCACGTTTTGTTGCTCATGTGCATGGCCGAATGTGTATATATCCACTTCAAGGCCGCCTTTTGTTTGCCAAAACCATAGAATCATCTCTTGTACACTTGTCCAGTTTTCCCGTGGTATACATGCACAAATAAATGTTTCTTGTCCAAAGGGAAAGCTGGCATGACCATAGTCTATATACTCTATGTATTCTAAAACTGTCTGTACCAGTGTGGGTAGTACCAATGTGAAAATGCTGTGCTGACTGCTGAGTGGTTATATTACTATACCTTAAAAAATAAGCAGAACTAACTCGACGTTTCGAGCGTGAACGCCCTTCGTCAAGAGTTAGTAGTTGGCTATACTAACTCTTGCGTAGTTGGCTACTAACTCTTGACGAAGGGCCTTCGCTCGAAACGTCGAGTTTCTGCTTATTTTTTAAGGTAGTAATATAACCACTCAGCACAGCCCATTTTATACTCTATGTAGCTTGACTCCTTGCTGAGTCCTTCATGGCAAGGACAAATTGTTATTTTTTTCGCTGTACACACGAGCACTGAAATAAAACTTGTCAAGGAAAAGTTGTCAAGGAAATTTGCTCGTCTTCACGGATCAAAATTAGCAAAAACATTTCCATGGAAATTGTTTTCCCACTGACAAAGATTCAATGCACCTAGTGCGAGCGGATATCCCATCTAGCCAGGCTGGCTCGTCTCTCATATGAACACACAATGATTTTTATCTGCATTAACAATGACATGAGATCTCACTGAGGCGCGCGAGTTTCCCGGCTTGATATAGAATAACTGAGTAAGACCAATGCTCCGTGAACTTTTAAAGGAACATTTCATCAGAAGAAACCGACACTCGTTTAAAAGTCGATTTCCACTGCACAACATTAGCCAAAAGGCCAATTTCCACTACAGTCTACACAACTGAATTTTTGCCTAAAACTGTCGCATACAACCTGTTCGTACAACTTGAGTTGCACTGTGTAAATCAAGCACACAGTCACAGCTCACCTACGTTGTCCTAGGCAAGTTGTGTGCTTGATTTACACAAGTAGTACAAGCAGGTTGCATGGGACCGTTTCAGGCAAACGTTGTGTAGTTGAAATCGGCCTTAACAGCTCGAACAGGAGGCAAACTTTTGCGTATTTATGTGCTCAAACTAAAGGCCCTGTCACACTATTGCGTATCGTACTAGCGTATGCCAGCGTATGAAAAATATCACTCATACGCCGGTATACGCCGACATACGCTAGGGATACGTTAGGCATAGGTTGTATACGTTTCAAGCACGGTCGCATACGATGGCATACGCTGGCATACGACGTGGCAGAAAATTTGTTTTAAGTATGCTCAAAAATTTTGTGCGTATTCAGACGTATGCTATATACGATAAGCATACTCTAGGCACACGCTGAATACGCTAGAGGTACGCCAGATGTACGGTACTCATACGCTGGCATTTCAAAGGATTTTTGTGCGTATGAAAATTATTTCATTAATTTTCATACGCTTCTCATACGTTTCTCTCATACGCAATAGTGTGACAGGGCCTCAAGCCAAAACCAAACAGCAGCGGATGAATAAGACCAATAACTATGTCATAAGTTCATAACCGCCGGAAAATGTTTAGTCAAAATAACCCGCGGTGGTGATTTGGTTTTGGTTAGTTTGAAAACACCAAAACTGATATGCAAAAGCGGCCTCGGTTTGCCCGTTCGAGCTGTGACAAAACCGAAAAGGATGACCCCAATGTAGATTGAGATCTCAACCACCTGAAAATGATGAAAGCATTTCGGCGTTGCGAACGAACAGCTTTCGTTAGGAGATAAATTGCCTGATAATTCGTCCCACGCTTGCATGGCCTACGCTATACTAACCTAATCTCCTAGCTTAAAACGCCGTCGAAGTGTTTGCAAACGTTTCCAGATGACATGCAGTCTGACGTGAACACACTTGGAGGTGAATATAGCTTAACTACCCAAGGTAGGGCTCAAACGGAACGGCCGATCAATGGCCAAAAATGCCTCTCAGACCTCAGTGACCTGTCTTTGCCAGTGTAGGTATATAGTGCCAATAAAATGAACAAGCTTTCGTTGGTATAGGGATGCAACTACCTGAAAATATATATAAGGAGAATTTCGACGTTTCGAGTGAAGGCCCTTCGACTCCTAGCCTGCGCGCAGACTATATAGTAGTAAATCATTTTAACGAAAGGCAACGATTGCCGAAGGCATCAAGTTATGAATAGACAATTCATCCTTCGCTCCAGACGAAGGGCTCGAAACGTCGAAATTCTCCTTATATATTTTCAGGTAGTTGCATTCCTGCCAACGAAAGCTTGTTCATTGTCTTGATCGCGGTCACTTTTTTACCCGGCCCGGTCATTTTGACCGGCCACATTTTCGTGCCTTAGTCCGGTCCAATGTGATTTCTGACGTATGAAATTACAACATGAAACTATGATATATATCGAAACAACTTTGTTTCACTGTTAGTGTAAGCGTATCAATGACTGGTCAAAAACAGATTTTGACCGAGCTAAAACCAAGTTAACCGGTCATTTTTACCGGAGACCTATCTTCCGGTATTTTGAGCCTGCAGCAAGGAAAAGCTATAGGCCATATCGTTCGGAACGACGAAGCCGGAATATCGTTTATAAGGCTCATCTATACGATATGATCATATGATCGACTATATAGACTATATAGCCGTATACGATTCTTCTCCTGGCGTATCTATTCGAATAAATGCGTGTAAAGATCATGTCACATTTCAAATTTCGCCATAAACTGATGAACAAGAATAGCATGCACGTAAACACTCATATACTGGCAAATGCCAATCGTACACTACTAGTCACATCGTGTATTAAAATGAGTCTTCTCACGTACTTCGCGGCCACAGCCCACGCCTGTACTCTGTAGTTTATATCGGTGAAATCCCATTCCAAATTCAAGAGCAGTCCGACTATAGTAATTTCCGTTTGCATCGCTCATATCATGAGAGCAAGGTGTGGGTAATAAAACATGAAGTTATTAAAACTGAACTGATATATTCAGGAAACTGATTGAACGTTGCGACCACTTGAGATCGTGGTTTACACTATCAAAGTTTCTGTGATCACAGTAGAAATTTCGGCAAGGTAAATTCTACGTTTTGAATAGATTTGCAAGAAATATATGTTTGAGGGAAATGTCTTAGTGTTCAACACTGAATCAGTTCCCGCGCATACATTTCTCGGCACAAATTCTTCAAAACTTAGAATTCGTGGTAAACCCTATTTTTACAAATCCTTCACTTCGAGCGATCTTATTCGCGAAGCCCCTTCGTGTCATGGAAGTTGTATAAACAGCACAGCACAATATAACCTCCCGACAAAAAGTGTTTGTTCAGCCTCAGAACATTAAAATATTTTCTATATTTTTTAACTATCTCTTTACTAAGATTTCATGGATTATTTACTTACATTAAGAGCGGTGCCCTTTCTCTGTTGGATGTTGGAAATGGCGACGGAATGACCGCCTTTTTCGTGAAGCTTCGCGAATAAATCCAGGGCTGCTGTTTAAATATGCAACACAATAACGAATATCTGCACGGAAATATTAATATGAAAGCGGGACGGTTTTCCGCATAAGGGAAATGTTCTTCTTTTACGAAAAGCACCGTTCCAAGTCTTTAAATCCAAAAGGCCAACGGAAAATATTCGAAATAGTAGTATATGATATCGCTTAGAACGTTAACAATGCGATATATTGCGCTGATCAAAAGTTAATATCTATCTGTCACGATATCAGTAATATACAGCCCTTGAGATGGGATAATGCAAGCTGCTCTGTCGCCGGCGCGGTAACGGCAAATTGCAGGTGCTTCCGTGACTCCGATTGGTCGCTTTAATATTCCAACTTCTCTTTTTTAATTTAAATTGTCACGGCGCATGAATGATTTATCCGCTCAAATTAACGAGTATGTTAAACTTATAATATGCTGGCCAAAGACAGGGTTGCAATATAGGCGACGGATTAATAAAAAATTTAGAATGGGTGCGATTATAATTACTGTGAATTGCAAACCGCATAGAACGGCTTTTTGCTTTTTTTCATTATATCGAATTTACGCCGACGCTCGTTGCCAAATTAATACTTAAATAAATGGTAGTTTTCGACAAAAGGCTCGACAGCTGAACTCTGTAGCTCAGAGCTACGTAGAACGTAGGTTCGGTTCCTGTCTCTTAGTTAAATTTTTCGCAGCGTTCCTGTTTAGGTCTAAAAATCTATAAAATTTACAGTCGCAACTGTTTCCATCTATATACAAATGCCTTTCCACATTAAAAAGGCTACACTGTACCGAATAGCACTGGGAAAAAAAAGTGAAATCCATACTACGAAATTTGCAATTGCACCACTAAATCCATAGTATATATCAATACTATTTCGATACTATATACATACTATACAATTATTATGGATAACCAAAATCCATTCTATTTCCAATAAAGGTCCATACAATTTCCATTCTATGACCGTCTATGGATTTTCAAATTTTTTTCCAGTGTAGCTCTCCGTAACGACGTGTAAAAACACCTATCCATAGACCGTACGTTTCAGGAACGCTATTTTCGGACAAATTACTGCAACGGAGAGATGTTGTTTCGCTCAGCTTCTGAAAGTTGTACATTCCGTAGAGGATAGGTGCTACGGAATTAGGCTATCCGCGGTATAGTGTAAAATGTAGCATAAGTTCTATATCGGTTTCATGCCTCGCGTATGAACGCCAGAGGAATTAAAATACCGTTCAAAAATTCATCCTGTCCGGGTCCAAAATTTGTACTTTGTATCATTATCATATGCAGGGACGCCGGAACGATGTGAAGGCAAGGGGGGCAGATTTTCGTGAAAGGACCGTTTTGAATTGATATTTTCTAAGAGATGTTTGCAAAACATCGGGAGTTGAACTTCGCCTAATCATGTTTTCTATGATTGGATGATAGGGGTGTGAGGGGGTTCTCAGCCAGGCGATTTTGCTATTCTTGAAGCTCGATGACTGCATTTCTTGCGTTTTCTGAAGCAAATTCGTAAAAGAATCGCACTGACAATTCACTACAATTCGCTAATTACACTGCCATTATCAGACAATTCGCTATTTCGCCAGGGCAATCCTTTAATTTGAAAGGGCACCTTTGCCCACCTTGCCCTTCCTGGTAAAGGGTAAAGGGCAACGGGGGCGGCTGGCCCTCCAGTTCCGGCGTCCCTGATCACATGGTTTTATTTTGTGATATTACATTCTGAAGACAAACCTTAGTACCTTAAATTAATGAAACGCCTATATAGGCTTTTAAAAGTGTATGAATTTGTAATGTTTTACTAGCAATTAACTGATTTCGCCATGTATGGCCAGTCACTTGGCTGTCCATTAGCCGGCTGTCTGTCTGAATATAATCAGTTGATATTGTCGGCGATCGTTGCCAAAAGTTAAATCAATTTAACGAAAGGCAACGATTACCGAAGGCATCAAATGATCGGAATGAATGATTCCAGCTGTACACTAAATTTTGATCTAGGTAAGACGAACGAAATCCATCACCACAGCTAGATAGAGCACCTTAAAATTAGTAAAATTGCAAAGTTGTTGAGTCTGGAAGATATACCTCTGCAAATTTTTTATTTATTTGTATTACGCAAGGAAACGCACCACATTTGGGCCGAAAGTAGTGCATTTTCCCGTGCGTACAAAATAATACAAAACTTGCAAATTTCGCAGGGCTATACTATATATATTTCCGCATTTTACAACATATCGCAATCGAACTTTGCAATTTTACTAATTTTACTGAAGATGCTCTATCTAGCTGTGCATGGTGATGCATTTCGTTTTTCTTGCCGAGATCAAAATTTAGTTTATAGCTGAAACCATCTATTGCGTTGCTGCGCAGACCACGATGCACGTGCGATTTCTTCTCTTGCGCAGGCACGCAATGAAATTTGACCTGTGGCGCTGCTGACGCGAGAACAGAATCGCACGTTTAACATCGTCTTCAATATATTCATTTCCGTCATTTATTTTTACAAGACAATGGTGAATACTTAACAGTCCTCAAAACGAAAAGAGCCTGGCAATATTTTGTTTACAAAGCCGACACGAGTACCTTACATGTGAGACTAGAGTAACTAACGGACACAGTCAACACACACGACAAATTGCAATAAAAAATTTAATTTGCCAAAGGAACTTTGACAAGTTTCAGTGACAATGTTAAAACAATCGATTCTTCCTGTTGGGAAAGTCATCACTCCCCCTTCCCCCCAAGAAAAAAGTTAGCATCAACCACTAAAACCCTTGTAATTTATCGCAAATTTACTGTGGTGTTCGATCCTTCATGGCAGTGCGCCTCTCTTAAGGTAAAGTAACACGGGGCAACAAAATTGCAGCAACTTGCAATAAAATCTTATTTCAACGCATGTTAATTACTTAATTGAAATGTTCACTACAAATTTCCTAATAACATGCGCTGAAATCAGATTTTATTGCAAGTTGCTGTAATTTTGTTGCTCGTATTACTTTACCTTTGATAGTATAGGCAACCGTTCTATCAGACAGAATCTCGGTGCAAATGTAAGTATATCATTCTAACATCGCAGTGTCTGATATCGTCTGATAACAGACAGCTGCAGTGTGAAGGATGTCACAGGGATGGATCCGGCATGATCTCGTAGGGGGTGCTCTGCTAGCTCTGGGTGCTGACTTAGTTGAGTCGGTCATGTGCGCCGCCCGCCCATAAACTTGCTTGACTACTGCAAAGTCTTGCTTGACTAGTGTATTTGAATTGTAATTATTGTTCACAGTTCGCATATCATCATGTTATTACTCACATTACTGCATCTCCTTTCTGCTTTATTATGAAAAATAGCACCCCCTACACCCCCTCTGGCCAGGGCTAGGTGGGCTGCGCAACCCTTCCCCCCAGAACTAATCCATCCCTGGAATGTCATATAACTACCTGAAAAAATATTAGCCGAACTTGGACGTTTCGAGTGAAGGCCTCCACACGCATAACTGAATCTCCCAGTTTGTCAACAAGATGTGTTCGCACTGCCTGTTCGGTTGCTCCCACCTGTTGACAAGTCTGGAACAAGTTATCATCATCATGTAAACAAGGTTGATGAGGCCAATAGACTTGTTCCTACAAGTCTGACATCGTCTGAACGTAACAAGTTGTTGAACGAGTTGATGACTGCAAGCTCGTAGCAATTTGATACAAAAAGCTTTGTATTAGTCTTTCGTTGGAACAACTTGTAGCAAATCTGTTACCATCATCAACCTTGTTAACAAGTGATACCAAATTGTTCCAGACTTGTCACAACAACTGGGAACAAGCATGAGTGAGAACACATCCTGATATCGGCTTCAACTAGGGATTCAATTGAAGCGAAGGCCCTTCGTCGAGAAGTAGTAGCGGACACTTCACGAAATATTGGGGGGGGGGGCGAAATTTTCAACATGTATGCCAAAGGAGTTTCGGTGTCCGCCTAAGGCTCACTTGATCATTGCATACGTTGTGAGATTTAGTACCAGTACCCCCCTAGTGTCCGCCACTGTCGGGAATTTAGTAGCATGGTTCGGGAAAATACACGTGTCATTCGGGTAGCACTTGTTTCCATCTACCAAACTGACGTGACGTCATTTCCGGAAGATGGATTAGGTGTTAAATGACTATGTAACTACCCCAAACCGTACCCCTACTCTAACCCCTAACACCAACCCTGACTCCAATCCCTAACCCCAACCCTGACTCTAACCCTAACCAATACGAATAAAATCCCAAAAGAATCAACTTTAGAAATTGATCTATAACGTCAGTTTGATGGTTGGAAACAAATGAAAACCGTGCCATTCAGGCTATACTAACTTCCCAACGCTCGAAACGTCCAAGTTTTACTCGTATTTTTCAGGTAGTTGAATCCCTATCTATCCGCAGTTTTCTGGTGCTTTTGTCACTATGTACTCATTGCACATGACGTCACAGCGCCGGTGACGATGCATCTGGAAAATAAATTAGCATAATATGCATAATATAACTTTTGTAAACAGAGCAAATTTTGTGAAAGTTTATAATAATTTTGTATTAAAATGGTTAATTTTTGCGCTGTATGTGGTTGTTGTACCCGAACAGATATTGTTAGGGAGCATCTGGAGGACACTCTAAGGATTTGTGACGTCAGTGCAATGGGTCCATATACCTACGCTGACACAGACCATTCCAGTTACTACAATCTACGCAGTCGCTGTACTGAATTACAACGTCATACTGTACACACTAGTGTATAATCTACCGTATAGTTTTTCTGCATCATACCACATTTCAATGCTGGGTCCATTTGATAGTTTTTAAATCAATTCCGTCTTGGACCATTTCCCACAACGGACTAAAAAAAAATAGTGAGTTAAAAAACCTTGCGAATAACTTACCACAAACAGGAGGGGGGAGGGGTTGGGGTATTGGTAGCACAGTATAATAAACGCACGAACCTTCACATCTGTGCCGTTAAGATCCAGATTTCCTCCCGTAGTAATACGGTGGACAAATCAGGGATGACTCTTAAGGCCCATTTCCACTCAAGAAAAATTTCCACGGACAGAAAATTTTCCGAAAATATCATTGTTAAAAATTGAAAATGTTCAACTTCAAAATTTTTTCCGACGGAAAATCACATTTTACAAATTTTTTTTTCTGTGGAGAAGTTTCCTGAGTGGCAACGAAGAGAAAAGGGTTGGGAAGAGAAAAGGGTTGGTAAGTAAAAAGTTGGGTAAATGAAAAACAAAACAACTCAAGGATTGGGTAATAAAAATGTATTGTCATTTCCAAAGCATGATTCACTCAAATATTGAAGACTAAAAAGTAATGTCAACAGTCATATGTCAATACAATATGTAAATCAATCAATCAATCAATCAGAGTCACTATCTTGACCATTTTCCGATTTGTCAGGAGGCATTTGCCATATTTATGGTGTCTCCAAAGAAAGCACATGTGCAGACAATATGAAACTTTACACTGTAGAAAATTTCACTAGCAGTTATCATGCTCGTGTCACAGAAGTGATAAAGGATATGTGTGACAACTGAATGGTATCCTTTTGTAAAGTTTTTGGCCAGGGGTGGGTATTTATTTTTTAATTGATATTTGAGGTTAGGTAATCAAATTTTTGACTTTTTAATGGTTGGGTCAGCAAAATTTTTGCCACGAAAAACATTTCTCTTCTGTGCCACCCCCAGCCATAAATAATGACCGGTCCCTTAGCATTTCTGCCAAGCTGAAAATTTGAAAATTTTCTAATCCTAGATGCCAGGATCCACCATTATTTTCTGCTATGACCCTTACTAGATAACTAGCTAGCTAGGGAGAGCAGTTTAGACTGATAGTGTTATCCAGTACAAAAAACGTTAGATTAGTTTAGGTTTTTTTTCTCCTACATGTAGTAACACTAGATCAATAAATGCAATAATACATGATCCTTACTGGATTTCTTTAGGGAGTACATTTTAGAACTGATAGAGCTATCTGTTCAGTTTTGTCCTAACCTCATTTCTCGTAACCGCTGTACATGGCTAACGATTTTCTCGACAGTGTAGTCTATCTCATCTTCAGTTGTAAATCTGCCAATTCCAAATCTGTCAAGAAAAAGTTTATTTCCAAATTAAAATTTATTTTCAAATTGAAATTTATTTTCGTTGAGCATTAATTTCGTTGAATTTGTATGTTATGTAACACGCGCGCAAAACTAATGAATATATACAATTTTACAGCATCATGCACTCTTCTCCGCAGAGGCTTTTTTTGTTATCTTTTTTTTTTTCAGTAACTCGCAGGCGGGCTAGTCGCGGGCTAAGAGAAGGGGCCATTGAACTACAAATAAACTGAAAGGCTAACTGCTATGATGAAGGCCTATGATTTGATGAAGCCAAAATAGTTTTTCTGAGTTATGAGCAGAAATACTTGACCCCAAACGTCGGGCTATATATCGAATTGAAGCTATTGAAAATTGCTATTCGGTGTGGAAATTTCAAGACTTCAGCGAAAAGAAAAATATTTAAAAAATACAAAAACAACTGCAAAACGGCAAATTATCGGTAATTATGTTTGTAGTTTTTCAATACTTCCCTTTTAGCTAAAATCTTAAAATTTCTACACCAAATAGCGTTTTTCAATAGCTTCAATTTGATATATAGCCCAACGTTCAGTGTTGAGTATTTCTGCTCATAACTCAGAAAAACTTAAATGCACTGGCTTCAATCCCCCCCCCCTGAGTTAGCCTTCCAGTTTATTTATAGTTCAATGGAAGGGGCTAGCCTACCTGCGAGTTACTGAAAAACAATAACAAATAGCATGTGAGGAGGGGAGGAGCCTCTACATCCATTAATGATAACTGTAATTAAATTGACAATATATATAACGATTATTTTGTGTTTCTCAACCGCAAGATATTTTTTAAAAAGTTGCAAAATAAAGCTAAAACAAAGTAATTTTGAGAGGAACGCCAAAAACATTTTAGGTATTAGAAGTATTTGAATACTTTTTGCATCGCAAATAACTGAAAAAAAAATTGCCTTTTAAAGATAAGATATAAACAAGGCATACAATACGATTAAAGATCGAGTTGTTACTAGCCTGATTGATGAATGGGCGAGATCCTCATCACTGCCAATGGCACGAAGTACGTAGGAAGGCTCGAGTGAGGCTGACGTACAAGCACTAGTGATATAAGAAAAAATTTTTTGACCAGATTTATACTAAACACGGGCAATCTGTGTGGACGAATTTGAACAAAGAACTTTTTTGATAAGTTAAGAAAAGACAATGAGAAATTCCGCTCCGCGCGGAAAATTCCGCCTAGTGGGAAATGGCCTTGATAAATGAATAACGACTATCCCAACATGCCTCACTCACCTGCCAGACGAGAGGGCAACATCCTTCAATGCCATAAGCAAACTCTCTCCTTCAACATACGAGAATGATAAGTTCACACAACCAGAATAGGTCTCTGTTACATCACCATTCCTTACGACGCGAGGTAATTGAGACATTATGCCTTCCACAAGACGCTTGGAGAGCTTTGTCACGTGTTTGTGGTCATACTGAAGAAAAAGACGTGCGAAAACTTGATTTTTGATGAAAGGCCAAAACTACTTATTTTCAGATCCAAGCGTTTAACTTGTTTACCCATTTAAAGTGCCTGTGCAAGAACTTTTTGTTATGACTGAATTACAAAGTTAATTTGCAATCATAATGTAACTTTTTTTCTAAAACTTTGTTATCTTTCCTGTACATCAAGATATTGGACTTTATTTGGCATGTAAATATGGCTTAAATGACGCCACACTGCACAATGTGTTTTACAGAAGATTGTTTTTTAGCTTAATAAAATTGTCATTAACTCAAATTGCAGACGAAATGATAGCTTTGATAGTTCTTAAAGTATGTTTGGCAAGGAAACGTTTTCTTTCTAAAAACTCGTTATGAAGTGTGACGTCATTTAAGTCACATTTGCATATCAAACAAAGTCGAAAATCTTGATATACAGGAAAGATAACAAAGTTTTAGAAAATACAGCAAGTTACATTACGATTTTAAATGAACTTTGCAATTCTCAATCATAAAAAAATTCTTGCATAGGCACTTTAAAGGGAATTTACCACAACTGTTTAACTGAGCAAGTGGACAAACCTCCATTTCGAGTTCACTAACTTCACAAGCTGCTCCAAGACCAACGACGAGAACATGAGGCACTGTACCACTTCGCATTCCTCTGAAAAACAGAATTTCAGGCATGTCTTCAACATTCTCTTGAACATTCTCTTGAACATTCTCTTCAACATTCTCTTCAACAATGTCTTCAACATTCTCTTCAACAATGTCTTCAACATTCTCTTCAACAATGTCTTCAACATTCTCTTCAACAATGTCTTCAACAATCTCTCGTATGTTGAAACGTGAAGGAGGGAGGGGTGGGGAAAGAACAGAACAAAAATAACTTAATTTCCATTCCCATTTTCTAACATTTGGTTTTGGATAACAATGACTTGTATCCCGACTGGATATTACAAAATTTCAAAGATTAGGCTAATGCTAAATGTCTCTGGTGGTTTCCCAATAGCTTGAGTCTGACTTCTTGGAAATAACCAGCCTTTGGTTTCTAACTTGGTCATTTAGTTGTTGACTGTTGAGTCTTCTGTTGTTATTGTAATTTATAAATAACAATGAGAGACATGTACTATATGCTTACTTTGATGGTTCAGTGATGCCAAAATGTAAGGTAACCAGTATCCAGAAATTGGATACTGGATTCTTAGATGGGATACCAAAGCCGGATTTTGGTGGAAATAGTGGGGGAGGTGAAAAAAGTTGGGGGAGGTCCAGCGGTCTAGCTCACGACCCCATGGAAAGTTAGGGCTTAGAACGGGCCAAAGTCACAACTGTGACTGTACAAGTCATCCAATTTTGCCCTTCATTACAAAAAGTTTCTTTCAAAACATTGCATTAAAAGGGTACATCACACAGAGATGAATGGCTATATCACTGTTTCAATTTTATAGAAAGTGTAGACCCTAAGCAACCGAAAATGTCAAATTTTCACTTTGATCTATCATTGAAACTTTCCCAAGGCCAAGGGGAGGTGCATGACTTTTCAGAGGAGGTGCAAAAATGATCCCAGGGGAGGTGCATGACTTTTCAGGGGAGGTGCAAAAATGATCCCAGGGGAGGTGCATGACTTTTCAGGGGAGGTGCAAAAATGATCCCAGGGGAGGTGCATGACTTTTCAGGGGAAGTGCAAAATGATCCCAGGGGAGGTGCATGACTTTTCAGGAGAGGTGCAAAATGATCCCAGGGGAGGTGCGCACCTCCTCACACCTCCCCTTGAAATCCAGCCATGTGGGATACTAGAACTTTGAAACCTGGTATCTCAGTAGGGACCTATTTCAGACCCTTACATACCTTTCCTGTCCACCGCCGCTGAACACAGGTTCGAGGCGAACACGGGGTCTTCGACGCACATACAGCGCACCAACACCTTTTGGACCGTAGAGTTTGTGGCCACTTATTGACATTAGATCAATATTCATTTCGTTGACATCAACTGGAATCTTTCCTACAGCCTGTCATCAAGATAGACAGATAATTACATGACATTCAAGCCTGATTTTTAATAGTGTTCCGCTCATTACTAAAGACCGATAATCTGTCAAACTTGGGCAAAGAAAATGTAGTTTGGATGATAATTCGTTTCTGGGGCACGGGAACCACTTTCGGCCCAAATTTTCGCGTTTTTCATACGTGCGTACACGCACGTAAAAGTTGAATTCGCTTTACATCCTACTTATGAAATAACTAAATTTATAAAAGGACAGCATTCAGTTTTGTGTATGATTTAATGTGTATTTGTTAAGGTTATTTGCACTTATATGAAATTTTAAGCGAATTTAACTTTTACGTGCGTGTACGCACGTATGAAAAGCGCGTAACTGGAATGCAGCCTTAATACAAAATAATATAAAATATGCAAATTTCCCAGGACTATATTTTCCGCATTTTACAACATTTCGCAACCGAATTAACACTCGGCAATTTTACTAATTTTAAGATGCTCTTTCTAGCTGTGGTGATGGATTTCGTTTTTCTTGCCCAGATCAAAATTAAGTCTATATCTGGAATTGCCTATTGGTTAGTATAAATTGGACCAGTGGATACATCCATTATAAAGTGCCATAGTTCATGACCTGATTATGGACAATATGACTTCACTCACCTGCGCTGCATCTGTGTGGAAGAACACTTTCTTTTCTTTACATAATGCGCCTGTTTTAAATTTAATATAATAAAAGCAAATTAGTTCCTTGGAATTTCTTTGTCACATAGCTTAATTGTTTGTACATCACCTATAGGCTATGGCGGCTAATTTTCGTGATCGGCTAATTGTGTTTTTTTTTCGTTTTTTTTTGCTGCTGGTTTTTTACATGTTTGTCTCTACGTTTGTCCTGATATTTTCGCCGACTAATTAAAACGACAAATCTCCACTATGTTGTCTATGGACGTATAAATCTGCCTAATTACTATAAATTAGCCTTTCTCGCGATGACGAATATCCACCATTTTTGGGTGACATCCAATTCTCGTTAATTGGAATGCAGACAATTAAAACAAGGAGAAAAGCAATTTTTCAAAATAAACTATTAACCATTCACAAAGCAAATTAGCCTTCCTCACGCCGCCATTTTTGGGGTACTGTGATTTTTCGTAAACGATTATAACAATGTGAAAAGCACTATTTCAGAACAAACTATTTACAGAGTAAATTTACCATCATACACCCACAAAATAAAAAGTCGCTGTTACGTGGACTTATCTCGCAGACTTCGGGTGAAATGCCACCCAAAAATGGCGGCGTGAGAAAGGCCAATTCAGAGTTAGCCCCTATGGTTATTTTAGGCAGATAATACCCACACCTACTATATTAATATTTAAAGTAAATAATGTAATCATGATTTATAATGGGTGAATAAATTCTTCTTCTTCTTCTTCATCAGTCACAAAGACATTGAGCTTTAACTAATGCAGGGACATGCTGGCTAGGGACGAGCTTGTGGGCCCCTGCCATCATGGGCCCCTAAAATTAAAACATTGGAAAAGATAAAAAATACAGATTTTAATTTTAAAAGTCAAGATCAGGATATTACAATTTATCCGAAAAATTTAACAAATTACGGTACATGAATTCGAAATTTACTGAAAATGGTATGTCCGGAAATTTTTTTACTCCCCCCAATCCCCCCCCCCCCTCTCCCTCCGCTCGACAATAATTTTGTGGAAAAAAGATTAATTAGCGACTGAAATGTTCCATGTTTGATCAGTAATACCCCCACCCCAATCTTGATCCACCCATTACCGGGCCTGGGCCCCATCAGACGTTGCCCATTTGTTGTCCTTTTCAAGACCCCAGCACGTCCCTGAACTATGTCACATACACAAAAACAAGGCTCCATACCCAAAGTGACGTGCTATACCAGTATGGGTGTATCCGCCTTTCTCACACCATGCAACCAGGCGTTATCGGTCATTTTTGAGTGACAAACAGCAAGAAATTACTTACCTATATCATGGACAGGTTGACGAACTCCAATTTCATTATTGACAGTCATGATCGACACAAGTGAGGTATCTGGACGCATGGCACCTTCAAGTTGCTTAATATCGATCAATCCATTTGTCTTGACTGGTAAATACGTGACTTCAAAACCTTCTGCTTCCAAAGAACGACACGAGTCCAGTACACATTTATGTTCCTAGAATTTTGTTGCAAAAACTACAATCCTGGCCAAAATCATGTGGACAGGTAGGCTCATATGCGTTTAGGATGGATTTAATGCTATAATTTACGCCCCCACTCTCCCAAAACAATGTTGAAATCGTTTTCGCATCGGTAACTCTGTATATATCATTTTGGACTGCAACAATGAGATGGGGGTGTGGGGGTTTGACGGAAATTATACAAAATATCTAAATGACTGTATTATATAATTTGCTACAATTTTGTACTGTCCACAAAGTTTTTGGCCAGGATTGTAGTTGTGAGTTAGGATGTTGAGAGAGTGCTGACGCTCAACGGGTTAACAGAATATCTGCTCATGTGTCCAGTTAACTCGTTAAGTCTCATTATGCCCTAATGCACCCTAGTTTGTTATTTTACTCTGTCCAACACCAGACAATTTTGCTTGTCAAGGGAAGAGCGCTGGCGCTCAATGGGTTAATTAATGTTCAGGGGCAGGTTGTATAAAAAAGTGATTAACGTTAACTATGATTAAGTGCAAAGTCATTCAATAAGACGCGCCTATTTGAGAGTTAATCACTATTTAACTACAAAATAGTGATTAAAAAAGTGATTAAGAGTTTTATACAACCGGCCCCAGAACGCAATGTGTGGTTTCAGATTTAGACTAAATTTTGATCAAGGTAAGAAGAACGAAATCCAACAGCACAGCTAGAAAGAGCGTCTTAGAATGAGTAAAGCTGCAAAGATTGGTTGCTAAATGTTGTAAAATGAAGAAAACATAGCCCTGTGAAGTTCGCAAATTTTGGATATATTGGCAAGGTGATCTCGTGTTCGTATTTTAGCCAATCAGCGCTCAGAAAGGGTTGTCCGAATAGAAATCCATTTTGATGTATTCAGTCAATTCTATCTTTCGTTATTCTTTATGAAACTAGTTGAAATTTTGTAATTACGTTTGGTTATGAGAACTATAGCTCTGACAAAAATATGGAATCGAAATAAAGTATATTACAGGAGATATTCAGTTGTTTTAATCATAAAATGGATTTCTATTTGACAACTAGTGCCAGTACTTTTCCGCGTATCAAGATCATCTGGCCTTTGTATTACGCGCGGTAAAAATAACCAGCGCATAATTTTCCCGCGCGTAATCAGCAAATATTGAGTCATTGATACAAAATTTGCGAAATTCACAGGGCTATATATTTCCTCATTTTACAACAACTCACAACTAAACTTTGCTCATTTTAAGACACTCTTTCCAGCTATGGTAATGGATTTAGTTCTTCTTGTCTAGATCAAAATTTCGTCTATAGGCGGAATCATTCATTGGAATGCAAACCCAGTGTGTGCACTTACAGTCTGTGTAGTGATAACATGTTTCTTTCTGTTTCTGTAGAAATGAGCAACACCCTTTGGAAGAATAAATAGTAAAATAATGCATTGTTCAAGAATCAGAAAAAGTTCCATAAAATTAAAATTTGTTATAAAATACTAATGAAATTAAACTAATAAAATCACCTTAATGGCCAAATTGTTCGACTCTGTTGCCCCACTTGTGAAGACAATTTCTTTAGCATTTGCCCCAATGAGGCTTGCAACTTGCTACAATGAAAAGACAACTTACAATAGAGCATTGCATTGTCAAGAATAGGGTTGGGCAATATTTCGATATTTTGATTTATCGCGATATTTTCAATCACGATTATCGTATCGAAGGTAGAAACTTGAGCGACGATATATCGAAATTATTGTCATGCTCGATGACAACCGTGATATTGCTTCACATGTGCATATAGCTGTTATAAAACCCTAAAAAATTCTTTTCATTCCCTAGAATTTCCTGAATTAAATACGAATTTAATACGATACAAAAGCTAATATTTATGTATTTATGATCTGCTGAACAATGGAATTGCAGGCTTTGCTTGCGCATTTGTGTCTGTGGAGACATGGTAGACACTGCATAGACAATTCTGTTTTATGAACAGTAAATATTAGACTAGAAAAAGCCTTCATATTAATTAATTTGTTGTTTTACCTGTTTTTAATAAGATTATATATAAGCTTACTATGCTTTGATATTAATTAAAATTGAAAAAATGTGGTCATTGTTTTTATTGCATTTATCACAATATTATCGAATATCGTGATGATTTTTTTAATATCGCCCAACCCTAGTCAAGAACAATAAAACTGCAATCCAATATACGCTTCTGGAAAGCATGTCACCTTGGCCGTATATAGTGCCTTGTTTTTATGATGTAATAGACTTTTATGAATTAACTAATATCACATACACAAAAATGAGGTCTCTAGCCAAAGTGACATACACTCCGGAAGGGTGTTTTGGAATTCTAATAAGAATAAAAATTTGCCAATTGGAATCCACCTAATGCATTAACTATTATCCAGGGGTGGTAAAAATAGGCAAGCACACCAGCACTACTTGCATGTAATGTTAAACAGCTGCATGAAATTCATTGGAATGAAGATTTGCTATTGAAAATTTGAAGTAAACCTTAACACCCATGTCCCACTATGGGCACAACAACATATATAGTTGAAAACCATGGTCAGCTAGAACACTATATGTTTATGCACATACATATTTAGCACAAATTAAAATACCCTGTTGGTCTGCAGGAAATTTTTGTCTTCAGGTTATTGTGCTCCCAGAAATTTCCTATGTAGGGGTTCTGGATCATTTCTGGACCCATTCATACAGCATTAAAATGGACCATACTGTATATAATTCTGTTATCTCACCTCCCTAGCTTGTTCTGTAGCTTCCTCACTCTCCCAACCATAAGCATGTGTTCTTGAATGTGGGTTGCCATAATATGACACATAGTATGGCATCATGGCATCCAGTACACGAGGATCCTATAGAAAGTTATGTAATCAGCATGTTTTAGCCCATTTACACAGCCCAAATGCATCTTTGTCTTCTTACTGTTTAATATGATAAACAGTTGTCAAGGGGAGAATGTGTAACTATGTTATATCCAATTGGTTATTAACCCTTTAGGTGGCAAAGCACCCAGATGTGCCCTACTTTATTATTTTACTCTGTCTAATGCCAGACGATTTTACTCGTCAGGGGAAGAGTGCTGCCACTCATTTATGGGTAACCTACTAAGCTGTAATGCATGCAAATGCACCATACATTACATTTAAAGTTCGCTCTGCCTAATCCTAGACAATTTTACTTGTCAGAAAGAGAGTCTTATACTTTAATGGTGGTTAAATTATCAGGGCTTCAATACAGTGGACTTTTGTGGGTGTGGTCATAATGACCCCCCCCCCCCAAAAAAAAAACCCCAAAAAAACAAAAACAAAAAAAAAACTCTCCACACAAAATGAGAAGCAATGAATTAAATTTTGTTTAGACTAATGAAATCGCACGAAATAGTCACAAGATTGCATTGTGAATGCATGGTAAACAAGCACACAAATTTGCTTCATGCAGACTTTGTGCAAATGTTTCTGAAAGGTCTATCTTTAATGCAACTTCTACATAGAGGCCTGGGAAAGAAGCTAATAAAAATAATAACCAAAAAAGTGCACATTTTTGAACCATTGTAAATTGCAACAAAAATTCCATTTGCCTAACAAATCCACAAATTTATTGGAGGACAAAATCAATTTGTTCTCTGCTCCTAATATGCAATAACTTTGGCTGAATAATGGCCAATATAGCATAATTATATATTACAACTATGTGTGGGATACAAAGTCAGTACCTGAAAAATATAAGGAGAATTTCGACGTTTCGAGCGAAGGCCCTTCATCTGGCGGGCCACTCCAACATCCTGTATTCCTGTATCAGTACATATTCATTACATAATATCTTACCATTGGTGTAGTCGACTGAGCATCCAAATACAAAGGTCGCAGCTGATCATCTTCGCTGCTTATGTCTAGTTAATTATAGAATGAACAAAGTTTGAATGGGTTGAGAGTTCAATCCAACACAATATATACATATACAACACACATATATTTCAACTTCCAAGCTTTTATTTCGTGTTAAAATCGATAAAATCGATGAGTATCGATATCAATCAATACCAATCGATATCAATCAATACCAATCGATATTTATTAATCGATTGATATTGGAAATCAATATGAATAATCAATGGCTTGTTTTGCCGGGACCTTTCATCGATTTATTATCGATTTTCATTGATGAAGAAATCCTCTGTTAATATGTATGCAATCAAACAGGTAACGCCGTAATTTGATTAATACATGTCATACTTTAATGTTGTAACAAAACAAATGTGAATGGAATTCAGTAACATGGATTAAATCATATTTTTATCTGGCTATACAGATCAAATACATGTATGCCAGCGATGTTTTGCTAATTTTAGAAGTGGGGGTATGCTCTTGAAAATCAAATGGGCGTGGTCACTCAATTGGGCGTGGTCTCATGCATAATCATAGTGAACAAGTAACTATGCAATAACTTAATCTTTGAAGTGGATTTAGTAGAACATGTACCTAAAAAACACCCAGCTTGCGTGTGGTAGATGTCAAAACGCAAATAAAACCAACCATGTTGACTTTCAAATTTCAATGATGCAATTAGCACTAAGTGAGTATGCCCCACTGCGCTATACCGGCATTAACGCTGGGCTGCTGCCTGACATTATCCGTGTTTATGACAATAAGTTATAAGTAAAATAACTATAAAAGTATATATAATAACTATATTAGTTATAACTGTAAAATTTATTTTTTTTGTAACTGTAATACGTCTTTGATAATGGCTGCCGTGTAGGTAGCCGAAACGTCAGAAATAATTTTAAAAAAAAATTTAATCTGGATGTTATAAGTACTTAACTTGTTTGATTGTGGCAGGGGGGACACCGTTCCCCTGGTAAAAAAGGTGGAGGGATGGTGTCAGGGCTCGACCGGGTCCCCGGCCCCGGCCAAAATTGGCACCCCCGGCCCGGCCCCGGCCAAAATTCTGGAAATTTGGCCGGGGATTTCAAGCTCAAATTTGTCAAATTCTTTCTATTATTATCTTATAATTGTCAAGATTCAGGGAACCTTAGCAAAACTAAAAACTAGTAAAAACGTAGTAAAAACGTAGTAAAAGTTAAAACAGTTTAAAAAAATCGACAAAATTATATCGAAAGCAACGAACAGAAAAGATACGTACCATTTATTAGTGATGGGCAATACTATCGAAAAAGTATCGAAATCATTGATACTTACAAAAGTATCGATACTTTCGATACTCGCAAAAAGTATCGGTAATTCAATACCACTTGAGCCTGCGATGTTTTTGGTCAGTATTCCTGACCAATCACTTAATGCTTCATGAAGGCAACAGACTGAAGGCCCCTGAAGGCAAAAAATGTTGACATGATGCTGTTCTTAAACAAAAACATGTAGCTAATTAGCAATATATTTGAGGAAAACGTTGTTTTGATTTAAAATCATAATTGCAAATGTTATGTTCGATTATTTGGCAGGTACTCCAGTTAGAGTATTCTTTGACTTGTTTTAAACATTAATGTTCGTGTTTTAAAAGTTATTTTAATAAATGGAAAAAATTGAGTATCGGTATCGATTTTGGTATCGGTATCGACCAAAATTCATGGTATCGGACTGGTATCGTATCGAAACCAAAAAAGCTGGTATCGCCCATCACTGCCATTTATTCTCGTAAAATGTTTCCAATATGGCTGACGATAGCAATAAACCGCTGTCCAGTAAATTCCACTGGCCTTTCCAAATCCCGCTTAAATAACATCGCTCAACATCACATAATATCAATGTTCGACCCAATCTCGTACTCAGAGCAATGCCTGTGCGCGGGCTAGGATGGCATTGGCTCTGGGGAAATTGACAACCGGAACCCCTAAATTTAGGGGTTCCGGTTCTTTGTCGGCATGCACGGTTGTCAATTTCCCCAGAGCCAATGCCATCCTAGCCCGCGCACAGGCATTGCTCTGGGTACGAGATTGTGTTCGACCAGTCCCCGGCCCCGGCCTCGGCCAAAATCATGCATCCCCGGCCCCGCCAAAATCATGCCCCCGGTCGACCACTGGATGGTGTTCTCCACGTCCCCCCTAGAAAACATTGCTGATGTATGCATTCTGGGGCAAATGGGGAGAGATTTACTATTTAGCTTGAACACAACGACACACAGTGACTATTTAGGATATAAACTGCAGTGGTTTCAAAATAAGCCGTCGCCCGTCGCATCCAACTGCAACTCTTCCGTTTGCGACGGCTACTTTCTCTTTTATAAGTAACTATAAATCCTAATTAAGTGTTTACAAAATGTTTTGTGAGCAAACAAGCGTGTATTTCCCCTAGAATTTCGTCGAAACATAGCCACAGTCACAGATTACTAGATTAGAAGTTTTGAAGGCTAGCGGAGATGTAGTCGCTATTGTTATTGGACGTTGTTGTTATAGGCATTAATTATAAGAACATAAATTTAACAGTGTTTTAGACATTAAAAATATGATTTTTTGTGTCTCAAAAACAAATGCTGGAAAATGCATCTTCTAGAGTCTAGAAGTTCAAAATTTTCTGGAAGCAAATTCAAGCAATATCAGGGACTGTGGAACAGGGGGGGGGGGGGCTTTAGCCCCCGCCCCCCAATAACTTTCCATACATATGTGATTTTTATAAAATAAGAATACTAAACTCTTTCAAATCAGTTAACAATATATTTATAACTTATATAGCCAAGTATTCAATTTATTTCTGGTTGGATTAAACAAATGACGGGTAATATTAGATTAATTAAGAGTCGTTAGTGAATTTGATTGCATTTCCGGGGCTCTGGGAGATCCCAGATTTCAAAATTTCCCGGGGGTGCATGCCCCAGGGGTGCATACCCCCTAACAAACTCACGCCTTTGGCGTTCGCTATAACCCCCCTAATCCAAAAATGGCTCTGTGGTCCCTGAGCATGCCGTCAAATCCCCCAAGTCGCGAAGGTCGGCCTTCGGTTGCAACTCCTACTCTTCCCAACGCAACGTCTACTATGAAATGTTTTGAAACCACTGAACTGATGAAAATCGAATATCGACAAAAATAGATGAATATCAATAATAATTGATACAATGGACCATTTGCATTATAGACTAAATTTTGATCTAGACAAAAATTTCATCACCGCTTGAAAGAGCATCACAAAATTAGTCATATTCCCAAGTTTTGTTGCGAAATGTTGGAAAATGCGGATAATATGGCCTTGCGAAATTTGCAATTTTCAGTCATTTTGTATTACAAACGGGAAATTGATGCCCCAACACCCGATTGGGCTGTCAATTTCCCGTGCTTAATACAAAATGACTGAAAAACGGCAAACTTTGCATGGCTATATTATCCGCATTTTACATTTCGCAACGAAACTTTGGAATATTACTAATTTTGTGATGCTCTTTCAAGCTGTGATGAAATTTTTGTCAAGATCAAAATTTAGTCTATAATGCAAATGGTCCATTCTGGTGCGATTTTCTCCTTCTGATACATGTGAACGAGTAGATGAGTTATGAATGTTCGGAGTACCTGTACCCTATCTGAATATTCATAACTGATCCACTCGTTCACATCCATCAGAAGAAGAAAATCGCACCTAAAATCGCAGTAAAAATTGCAAGTGTAAACGAACGAGCCTTAAGGAATCATTATATCATCCTTCCTTATCTGTCATTTGAGATCGGTGTGAAGTATTATTGTTCAATGTTTAAATTTAGCTTAATGTTCAAATTTGGCTTAATGTGCGGCCAAATTTTCCATTGTTTTTACGCACTTTTGAGGAATATTTTCACACTGCGTTATGGGAGAATCTTAATCATTATATCATCCTTCCTTATCTGTCATTTGAGATCGGTGTGAAGTATTATTGTTCAATGTTCAAATTTGGCTTAATGTTCAAATTTGGCTTAATGTTCAAATTTGGCTTAATGTTCAAATGAGGAACATTTTCACACATACGTCATGGGAGAATCTTAAGGAATCATTATATCATCCTTCTTTATCTGTCATTTGAGATCGGTGTAAAGTGTTGTTCAATGTTCAAATTTGGCTTAAAAATTACGGCCAAATTTTCCATTTTTCCGTACTTTTGAGGAACATTTGAAAAAGGAAGGAACATTAAACGAGGAACATTAAACAGTTTTTCCAAGTCTGACTCTTTTAACATGAATCCGTAACGAGAATCTATGTAGTTTGTTTACAATGGATTAACACGCTGCAAGAAAATTGTCGTACAATACACTACGAACCCACGTACGAAACACTAGTATTAATTCTAAATTAAAAAGCTTTGTTGCAATTAAACACAATTAAAACCTTAAAGTGCACGACAAATCGCCTTTCTCCTTAATTAAACACACGCGTTTTTTCGGCTTTGGAAGTAGTACAACGTCACCGTATAATACCACTTGTAAAATATCACTATTACGTCACATTTCTTCAATTTGACGATTACGCGTGAATCATTGAACACGCTTCCCCAACATTGTCCAACATCGTGTTGGACCAACTAACAATGTTGGACGATGTTGATTTGAACGGGGCTTAACGCACGGTGACGTGTCGAAGATGGATTACTGTTAAAAAGGTTTATATAATAACGTTAAGAATTCAAGCGCTTTCATCGGTCGAGAGCCATGAAAGAGGACAGACGCACGGAATTACGTCACACAAAACCTTATCCAATAGCATTCCCCTATTTGTATAGATCATGTACGCGTGATATTTGTAAAATTTCGACTTTTTCAAATGTCCAAATGTTTGGGCGGATAAAAAGTAAGCTATTTACCTGTTTAATTCGGGGGTTTTCTTTTTATTATATAAATGATGTTGGAAGAACAAAAAAGTGAGTCACTCGCCTCGGCGGCTCGTGAGCCACTTCTTTGTTCTTCCCACGTATGACTTCATACTGTGTATCTATAACTGAACAGACAACGGCAAAATCTTCTCTATTTGTTAAATTGAAGATGGAAATTTCGAGTGTAAATTTTATACATTTCTTCAAACACTCATTAATAATTCATAAGCTTATTGGCAAATCATGTCAACCATAATATGTCACGTGCAGTGGCTTTAAACCTGATAAAACACTCCTAATTAGTATTCTTTATATAAAGAATACTAATAAGCCAGTATCTATTGTAGTCGTGTCCTCATTAGTATTTTTTATATAAAGAATACTAATAAGGCAGTATATCTATTAAATTTGAAGTCGTGTTTGAAGCCGTTCAATAAACTCGCAGGTCGTGTTTTATTAGGTCTAAAGCCACTCGCGCTGCGCGCTCGTGGCTTTAAACCTAATAAAACACTCCTGCTCGTTTATTAAACAGTACTTTAGACATAATACAAATACAACTATAAGCCCACGGGCAGGAATCGAACCTTCAGCCCAGCGATTCCGGTGCAGCGCTCTAACCAACTGAGCTACAGAGTCCAGTTGTAACCAACTGAGCTACAGAGTCCAGTTGTAACCAACTGAGCTACAGAGTCCAGTTGTAACCAACTGAGCTACAGAGTCCAGTTGTAACCAACTGAGCTACAGAGTCCAGTTGTAACCAACTGAGCTACAGAGTCCAGTTGACGAGCTCTACCCAGAAATTCATGTATACATACTAAGGTGATGCCATCGAGGTACGGTTTTTATTGGTAAATATCAGGATTTTTTTCATCTCACTCGATTGAACTAATGGTGAAGGGTTTTGTAGATTGAAATCTTGTGTGTATAAAGTTTTACATCTATTTTTTTACACCTAACCAGGAGCAGCTGGGAAAAATGCAACTACAGGCCCTCTGGCATTTTCTTAATAGTTTAGAAAAACTATCCACCCATCACGTATTGTCGCACGTCTTCACTGTCATCAGTGGAGTATTTGTGTCTCGTTCGTACGTCTGAGAGAAACTGCACATGGCCAACTCAACCGATTTTCCACTAGACAAATTCGTTCACGCGAAGCGAATCGAAAATCAAATTACTTCAACATGATTGGTTGGCAGTCGTACAGGCGATACTCGCGATAGAGATATTCTTATACATCTCAATTTAATTTTAATGTAATACTGTTTATAAGTCATAAGTCACTTAATTTAATGATATCACTCAAAAATTAACGTGCGTAAAACGACGCATAAATAGAGAATACGAGACGACTAAAGTTGGACGCACTTAGGAAAAAATCACTGCAGAGGGTTGTCAAAAAGAAATGTTTTGCTTTTTGTAGTTTCATTCTCATTGATATGCTCAAATGTTCATCTCATATTTATAATATTCTCTCAGGCCCGTTTCATACGCCGTACTTCACATGTACCGAATACATTAAAAACAATAGATAATGAGGCATTTCAGCTCATTACCTATTGTCTTTAATGTATTCGGCACATGTGAAGGATGAAACGGGCCTCAGACTTCTAAGAGGTCTTCTAATAAATATACCGTAAATATGGCCTATTCGCTAGAAAATGTAAGAACCGTTCCTATTTTTCACGGTGAATTTTTTCGTGAGCCAATTACATTGTAGGCTTGCTAGAATCTAATTCCCTATTTCCCTGATCCACTAGAACGCGAATGTCAGGGAAATAGGGATAAGGAAATAGGAAGTATTAAGAAATTTTTGAAAATTGGTTTTCGCTTCGTGCGAACAAATTCTTCAATCATACACGCAATGCCAAACCTCTACACAATTTTTAATACAGGAATAACAATAATTCATTATAAATAGAACAAAAGCGCAAAATTTTCAAAAGATCACCACAAATCACAGCCGGATCACCGGGGCTTCGGTGGCCAAGTGGTTAGCGCACTTGCCTTTCACCTCTGAGGCCGCAGGTTCAAGCCTAAGTGAGAACTTTCTCAATGCGACTCGAACCCAGTCCTCATGTGAAAAGAGTAAAAAGTCAACGCTCTGCCGAAGTCGTGGGTCCCCTCTGGGTACTCCGGTTTCCTCCCACAAAACAGGGTGGACTTCCGTCTACGCATGCGCGAGAAACGTAAGCGTGGAGTGCACGTGAGCGCGGGCTAATCGCGTGACTGAATTATAAAAACAAACATCAAATTTGCAAAAACTACTCGTGTTATGAAGTCGTTTTCTTGTTTCTTTAGTGTTTCTACGCTCACAATTTTAGGCATTTTCAACTTAGAAGTGTTTGCTTTGGAATAAGAACGTGAAAGTAGAAATAAAAACATTGTTGCAGCAGTTTAATTTCGCAGTGCAAATATACCTGTTTTTAATATGTATATCCTTTTCGAAGTGAGATATACAAGTGCAAATTGACCTTCTTTAAATTCGTACTTGCCCTATTTTTCACTACATAAAAACTACTTCTATCCGTGGAGAAACTATTTGACTCCAAAAATAAGCTTGAATTTTTGTGGTGATATAGGCTCATTTCTTTGCAAACAGTGATTTAGTACTCGGTAGTGTAGTTCTTGTTTATGAACAAGAGTCCAAAATGAATTCAACATCCGTCAACAAAAAGGAGACGCGCTTATTACTACTCTGTAGAGGATAGACAGTTGATTTAACTCACTAGGAACCCGTTCTACAATATAAACTAGAAATCGGCCAACAAATTGCCACGAAATACTACAATGAAAATAGGGTCTCTGAACTACCAATTTCACCGAACGGTCAAGTTTTTCTGCAAAGATCGCCCCTTTGCCCAATTTTCCTCGAGTAAATCATCGTGTTTTTAAGTCAAGGATTATGCATACTTTAACATAAAAGAATAAAAAAAGTGGTGATAAAGGGTAGATTTTGAATAAAATACGAATATCTGTATACAAGATCTGAACGCTATTATGAAGCACTCAATACTTTTTCCAACAACATATTGCGATTAATTTTTTACAAAATTAAAAATATTCACACATTAAAGAGATGAAAATGTAGCTTGCATTACAAAGAAATGTTGGCTTACCTAAATTATACCTAACACGTCGATTAAAGTCAAGTAAAGCCCTTCCAAAGACGCGTGTCACATTAAACTACAGGTCACATGGCGGTAGAGAACTCGACGAAGTATTCAGGATATTTCATAGCCAGTTTAAACCCTGCTGTGCACTATTCCTGTGAATTATGATGCCCAACAGACCGGGTAACAAGATTTACCACTTTGTTCGGCTGTTCCAAGTACACTTTTAAGATACAAGGTCCGATTATATCATGTTCTTCGAAGCATCTGCTCAAAACAGTCCAACATAAATGTCGCCACTCATCTTCTTCGTATGAAAATATAAGTTTTCCTTTCAATTGCTTTGCTTTAAAAACAATCATTAGGTTGTTGAAGAGTTAGCCTGCAAGTTCCAACGAAAAAACCCCCGATGCTTTCAAAAACCAGTGAATCACAATGCTGTAAACTTCAACATCCTTAGAAATTGTAAGCAAAACATCGAAAAGCAAAATTTGCGGGAAAAAGCTCACGAGCCCGCACTATTTTCATGCAGCGTCGACGAAAGTCCACCCTGTTCTCCCACAGGGAAAGTTGACAGGGTGGGTTAGGCACATATAGGTTAGGGGGCAGATTATTAATGAGGTATGGACTAATAGCGGCTGCTTAAAAAGCCACATTTGTAAGCTCACAGTCTACCTCGGTCTGCTCTTATGCAGTCACTGAAAACCCCTGATAAGGGAGTGTCACTGAAAAAAAAATTGAAAATCCATAGAAAGTCATAGAATGGAAATTGTATGGACCTTTAGTGGAAATAGAATGGATTTTGGTTATCCATAATAATTGTATATTTCCATACTATGGATATAGTATGGAAATGATATGTATATACTATGGATTTAGTGGTGCAATTGAAAATTTCCTAGTTTGGATTTCACTTTTTTTTCCAGTGTGTGCTGAGTAATATATATGTATGTATGTGTACAAATTCAGCAAAAATCAAACGATTTTAAATCTCGTTACTCTCGTATAATACTTTTTGAATTTTTTCAATTATTGCAAAATAAGTTCATTCAAGGATTAAGTAATGTATTGCGTATATATATTTCCTTAAACTCGCTAATATAGGAAATCAGCGCTATACCGCTGTCTTGATATACATAGAAATACCACGGTAATATCACGGTAATAATAAGATAACTTTTTCGTTGAATTTCTCTTTAAAATAATGCGTGTTCGTTTGAAGGTAAAAATGCTGTTAAAAATGTTCTAAAATAAAAGACCTCAAAATATGTTTACAAAACTTGGCTACCATAACCAGATTTTTCAAATAACTACTCGTTCTCGTAATAGATATATTACGTAATAATTTCACCTGATTTCCTACTTAGACTACTAATTTTCCTGGAGATTCGCTGGGGGTGTTCCACCTCAGTATGTCCTTGCACATTTGTACCTCATAATGCTCTTATGTGTTATTCTTAAAACCTGCATTACGACAACTGGGTAAAAAATTGATAAGCTGTTAAATGGCCAATGAAGTAATTAAAATTTAAAACAATTAACTAAATTTAACTTGATATGATAATCGACTGCTAAACTATAAATTGGTTAGTCTATACTTTCATGTCAGAGTCATGACCTTATATTTTGCATTTTTTGTTTTGTATTTATATAGCTCCCTTGTTTATTGTGTACAATCTTTATCTTGTTAAATAAACTGAAACGTATATTATTCCCGACAAAGGACCTTCGCTCGAAACGCAAGGGTGGGTAGTAGCGAAGTATAGTTGTAGTTCGCTACTGTAGCGAACTACAATTTTCAAGTAGCCAGTAGTTTTTGACTACTTTTTTAAAACAGTAGCTGTAGTTATAGCGAACTACATTTTGCCTAAAAGTAGCCAAGTAGTTGACTACTTTTCAAACAGCGAATCGCTATTCGCTACTTTTTAAAATTGTTAGCACCTTGATAGAATAGCATGATATTGAGACACGGTTTGGTCATAGTTAATATGGTTTGGTTAAAGTCAATACTCAATAGTCAATTTGCACTCTTGAACACTGTAGTGCTTATACAAACATGTTGCTTTGTGTTTACTGTTGCTACTCGTAAGTCGATTTGTTATAGGTTACATTTCAGCCTGAGTTAGTAGGCGCTCCAAAAACAGTAAAACTAAAAAAGATAGCGTAGCGAAATAGCGAAATAGTTCGCTACATTTTTTAAGCAGTAGCTGTAGTCAGTAGCGAACTACCTTGTCCTTTGTTCAAAAGTAGCAGTAGTTGTAGCTGACTACATATTTTTGAAGTAGCTGTAGTTATAGCGAACTACAAAAATTTTGTATAGTCAACCGGCCACCCTTGTCGAAACGTCGAAGTTCTCCTTGACTGTATTTTCATGCAGGTTAGTTGCATCCCTATCAATCCAAACCTTTCTCATTATTGCCACTACCTACACTGGAATAGACAGTTCAAGATCATCTTATGCACAAACCAAATACGTTTTTCTAGATATCCAATACTCAATAGAGTCAACAGAAAGTCAATATTTGTTTTGGACGCAAATGTCACTTAATTAACAAAAAAATAACAATAATTAAACGAAGACGAAAATCAAAGCAATAGATTATACATATACTCCAAAATAGATCAATTTTTATAATTATCCTAATGTAAAATTATGAGAAACTAGGTCAATATAACACTATCTAAAATAGTTTTGTCATAGCTTTAGATTTTTTGCATACCACACATATTTTTACGATATTCTAATTCAGAATAATAAACACAAGAGAATTACATTGAGCATACGGGCAGTATAGCGAAATGAAGTTCTCAGGATAAAAGATCGGTAAATAATAATTCAAGCAAGATATATAACATAACTGGAACACGTTTAGATTCTGACCAGAAGAAAACAGGCCCCATTTTCGGAAGATTTAAAAATGATATGATGCTGCTTTTAAGCCGGCAGCCAAAGGATATTATGATTCAATTTATTTTGCTTACCCTTTAGTTGTAAATCTTTGTTCAACGGTAGAAATACATGCTGAGAATACATTGACAAGAGATTAATTTCTGGCGCGGTGACAAAGTGTATTTGGTGATCTCTGACAAACACAATGTCACAGGATTGATCTCTTTTGGTACAGAGTAAAAAAAATGATATTTGACACCACATAATATAAATACCACAGACCAACACGTTGTCACCTTGCATATTATTTCATTTCATATATGTCCCCAACTGGGATAGACATGGCCAAATTAGATTTCAAATCTATTTCGTCTTCTTATTCTCTTTTCATTTATGGTTTGACATACTTTTTAAGGGGTACAGTTTTACGATTGTTTATATTTATACTTCAATATATAGTCTGGTATATATAGTCATATATCTGAAAAATTTGGTATATATAGTCATAATGTAAGCTTCTTAAAAGTAAAAAAGCAGATATTGTTGCCATATGGCCCATATATGCTTGCTACAGTTATTACAACATCTCACTGTACAACAGAGAAGCCATTGCCACTATATGACAATATTTTACCATCACAGGCTCACCGTTCACAGCATTGAGGAATAAATCCTTCAAAAACGAAAACCCAAAGTTATATCATCGGCCACCTCGATTGACCCCATGTTGGATGAATTTTATAAAAGGTTTTCCTTGTTAATTCGCCCATTAAAATATACAAAATATCGGACTTAGTATACAAAGTATTCAAAATTCTCATATAGATTAAAATATACGAACTTTTTTCTGTGTTGGTATGTTTCTGTGTTGGGCTAGTATTCCAAAGCCAAGGTCGTAGCCGTAGGTTCGATTCCCACCGTGGTCAGGCATGTTTTTCAAGCTTGCCCGGTGTGGATATGCACTCAGAGTAACATCACAAGCATCATATACGAAATTCTTTTCGTCATGTGAATCATATGTGAATCGAGAGGCCAATCACTCATAGAAAGTGTACGAGAATTTGTATTTTCACTGAAGTCCGATCATTTTGTGGTTGGATATTTTTTTAAATTTTGCCGAACGTTTTCGGACTTTCTGTAGGAAGTACAACAATATTTTCTTATTGTTTCCAATGTTGATTGTTGTGACTTGTGTTGTGTTTTCAATGTTGTGCCCAAAGGGATAATAAAAAAATATTTGGTTGAAATATTCACGTACCCATTACTCAGGATAAAATTGCATGAAGTCGACCATAGATAGAATGTTGGTTCCGTCGTATTCTATTAGATTTTAGTTCAATATAGCACTGTCAAGCATATATTCGTGAATTTTGGGACTTTTAAGCCAGCCGGTTTTCCACTTCAATCGTATCGTACCGAAACGTAACGTATTTCTTTGTTTCCGCTGACCACTGCCCACTGGAGTGGAACTAATGACTTCGACACAAAAGAAAATGCTACGGGAATCCCTTGTCCTTGAGAATGGTTGCATGCACACACCACCTAATCGTGGCACCAACTTAGCTGAAAAGAACACATCGATGTTTCAATTTAGTTTCAAAGGAAAACTCTTTGTCAGAAGGTTAGTGGCCAAACTGACCTCCTGAGTATTGACGGATGGCACTTATGCCTACTCAAAACGTCGAGGTGTTCGTGATCTTTCTCATGTACTTCAGACACAAAGAGAGAAATGTATTTAAATATTGCCTTATTGTGAATGGGCCAGATGGAGGTCAAATAATGAGTGCAAGTGCACTCAACTCGACCCTGATGAACATGCAGGGGTGGTCAGGAAAAGTATCGGACCACGGGACCATTGGTCCCAGAAAATGTTTTGAGTTCCCAGAAAATCAGTTTTCCCAAAGAAAGAAGAACAAAGATAATTGTATAATAATTTAGATAAAAGGAGAAAATCAGAGGAAAATTCTAACCCATATAGAAAGAATGTTACCTGTGCTCTAGGTATGACCTCAGAAACGCAATTATAAATGCATGCATCCTTATAGTGCGATAGTGTGTAAATGTATTAGACTATACTGATGATGTAACAAATGTTGTATGGCAAATCCATTTTTAGCCATTCTGGGCCACCTGGGGCGCTTTCCAGTTAATGGCCTGACCGATCAGACCTGAATTTTTGTCTCTGTATCAATGGAAAGATTTGGTCTATGTTTCTCAAATATCTAGCAAAAATGGACCTCATCCTAATTTCATTAAAATTTTCAGGTCAGATAGGTCCGAAGCCCAAACGTTGTCTTTCATTCAACAATTTGACCGTTCTGACCCTTCTGGCCGTGTTAATGGAAAGCGCCCCTGATTTTCAAAATTTTTCTGGGGGAGCATGGCCACCCTGACAGTACATGCCTCCTGGTAGTGCCCTTTTTTTGCATCTGTATTTACCTTATAGGATCAGACCCTTGATGCATGTTATATAGTTTCCGAGTGTCGATTGCAGAAAATTTTCAATTCTTGCGGTCCCAGAAAGCAATACTTTCTTCCATCGATGCCGATGCAAGCTACTCATATACTACTTACGTTGGACTCTCGTCCCTCACGTTTGAATATTGATTATTAGCAGTCATAATATTTGTCGACCCTGTCCCTGGAGAATCAATCCAAAAGAAACGGTGTTTTACAGATAAATATACAAAAGAACGATTGCAAAACAACTATATTTGGACAACACTGCGAACTTACTGAAAAATTAATTACAGCCCAAACTTTACACCAAGGTATTCAGGCCACACAGAGGGCTGTATCCGCATCAAGCCATTACGCGTGGTTATGGTGAGAAAGAAAGATGGGTCCGTTACGGATGCCGCTGTAACAGAAACCGTAACTGAAGAACTCGTCCGTTTTCTGATACAGAAATCTGAACGGTAGCTATAACAGGATTTATATGCAGTCTGCGTAGCTGGCATATTTAAAGTTTAAAGGGTTGGGGAGTTGACCACTTCCCAATGGACTAACGAATGGATTAAAAATCTCCTTTTCAAAGACAAAAACATAATATTTCAATATTCATCAATTGGTGATAATCTCATTGAGTTTATACATATCTTGAACCATAGTCCCCTACAGTGACTATGCTTGCCTTGAACAAATGCTTAGCAAGTCTCATAGAGTTATGCATATCAAAACCAATAGGAAAGTTTAATGAAACGAGACAGGAACTCACAGATTTCAAGTGAAGATAGGAACAAGAATGAAGTTGGGAGGTAAAATGTATGTGTTCGTTCACGGCGAACATGTGGAATAGCATAAGCCATGGCTCATTCACGAACTTTGTCTTGGTAAGTTGCAAAGACATTGGATGGAATAGCTAAGACTACTGAAATCTAAGACAATTTTTAACGGAGGCTGGAGTGCGAAGGTAAGAGCCTGGGTACGAGGTTGCCTGCTGGCCTGTGAAGGATCATCTGATGAGGAGTTCAGACTTCGATAATCCATTGTGGATATTCTACAGACACAAAAAATCTCAGAAATGTGATTATAGCTGTCAATACCTGAAATACATTGGAAACGTGAGACATTGTCTGAACAATCACTAAAAGGATGAATTTTGTTATTTTTCTCTTGCATGGTATCTTGAACGTTGTTTTCCTCGTTACCAAAATGTCACTCACAAATTAGTTTCTATACATACATCTGTCTGTACCTTTCAAATGTACAAATGACATTGAAGTTGTTCACTATACAGAGCCATTAAAGCTAAAGTCAGGCGGGATTAGCTAGAATTGGTATGATTTAAGGGATAGAACAATATTAACAGTAAACCATTCAGATTTTACTCACATGCAGCAACAGCAAAAAGGTAATAAAATTCAAGTTGACCTGCATCAAGCATGTTTACAAAGTAATTAGGAAGCCAATTTGTTACTTGGCCTTGGGTGATGTGCGTAGTATGTAAAGATTGTTAATGAATTGATGAAACTCAATATTGCCAGAATTACATGGGAACCAAACAGAAGAGTTTGACCAGAAACAGAATGGTGCAACACCAGCGACCACTATATCAACACCACAGCCATATCAAGATCACAAGAGACTATCAGACTTGGAATTTCCAGTTGGAATTTCCTCTTGGAATTCAAAATGTATGCTTCAAAACGTAGTAAAATTTAGAATTTTGAAGTTGCGAGCTATCTGCAAAAGCCATGTGGTGGTAGTGGAGCTATAGCTATCCATTACCTGGACTTGCTGGGCTGGCTAATTAACTCCCTGCTACATCCACATAAACTCTACTTGCAGTCAAGCATGCTTTATTCCCTCTACCATTCCTCCCAGTACCAGGCCATGCTAATGCTAGGAAGTGCAGAAAGAGTTATCAGAACTGATATAGTCTGAATAATCATAATGAAGTTGTACAAGGAATTAGACCAAGCCACAAGACTCCATGGATGCAAGGTTTCAAACTTTCATGACAGATGTTATGGCATTGACTTTACAGTTTGATTTTTATGGGGAAGGGGTTATGTTGAGATGAATTTGCATGTCAATACTCTAATAGCTTTAATTAGGTTTAAATACATATATGTTTTTCCAAAGCTGAAGGGTTTGATACTCATTGCAGTCAAGCAATTTTTCAGTTTGCCCAGTGTGGAGAAACATCATCTAAACTAACTCACCTGAGTTCTATTAACACCACAGTCATTAGGTTTAAATAATTGTTTGGAAGCTCAGAATTCCTTGAGACTAGCTAGTCTTATGTTGGTCTATCAGTCTTAGACTTAGAGCTCTTAGAACAACTAAGCTTCCTAGTGTTGCACAGTTTTACTTTTTAAATAAATCATTTATTACACATTGAGTATGACATTGCATTGCGCCCTAATGCACCCTACTTTATTCTGTCTGACGCCAGACAATTTCACCCCTCAAAGGGAGACCGCTGGCACTCATTGGGCTAATCAACACTTGCATAGATCATCAATAATTTGGTTAACATTTTAATATTGTCATTCCTTACCCATTCCATACTTTGACAAATTACTTTCAACTGGTTCTCAAAAGGCCAATTAAATGCCATGCTTCATCTAGATGTACAATATGTTATTGTGTGATCTAGACAGATAACGTGTCTAAGGATAAACACCCAATGATGACAATGATTAAAAAAATCTTTAACGGGTGGTCACTATATGTTGTCAAGGAAATTTACCTGACTGTCTATGAATAGGGGATTGTAACTGGTTGAAATACAGAAAGCCAGTTAAAAACAGTATGATAAGGAAATTTCAACATTCCAAACTCAACAGGAAATCAAAAGATTATATTACAGCAATAATACGGTAATGATTTAAAACATAAAATTTTATCATTAATATTTTGGTGACGACCAAAATGCACCAGTGCCCCTAATCCTGCTAATTATTATATATGGCAGATAGCTTTTTTCTCAAAGAAAGGCAGCTGTTCCTGGTTAGGTCTAATAAATGTATATAAATTTCCACTTGATAATTTCCATCTACAATACCCTTAAACCATTAATTCAATTGAGTGAGATGCCAACAAGATCATGATATATTAAGGCCTTAAAAGCCTTTCTGAGCATGGTTAAAAAAATCATATACAGTATAAAGCCTGTTTAAATTATAGACTTCAAGGCCTGTTAATATTACATTTTTTTGTACAAGACACAAACTCACAGCAAATAGTTGCAGGTAGGTTGAGCATGGTTGGTGTGGGTGCCCTTTTTATTTGTGCTGTACCACCAAAGGTTGAGCATAAAATGTAAAAGGGCTGAAATAAACATGATGCACCACATGTATTGCAGGCTTAATTTGACGCATATTTCACAGCAGTACATAGTATTGAGCCCAGTGTGAAAGTATTTCATTTTAACCACAATTATGCAATGATGTAATAATATACTTGAATTTTGATATGCTTAATAGTTAATATCACTGGTTTTAAAACATGTGGTGAAGAGATGAATTTGACAGCACTGAATACAATATAGCAAAATATTACTGTAATACAATGAATATATCGTCAATATTAATACAGTCTAGAGTCGAATGTGATTAAGTGATTTGTTCATTGTGAGTTCGTGCTGTGCTTGTCATAATTTCATTATGAGAGGACACAAACAAAAATAAACACATGTATTGTCTTACCGTATGAATATTCGCCATAATATGAACCTTCCTTACTTGTTCCAATCTCTTTCTGAAGTATCTTCCTTGTTTGTTTTGAAAAATGCTTACCACAAATTCAAAATCATTGTTATTGTATATACAGTTACAGTAAGTCAGAAAATATCCATTTACATGTAAACAATCTCTAAGCTTGCCACAACAATCGGTAAAAATAGTACGTTGTTTGACTTGTTTCTTCCTGTCCCAGAAGGAGACGTGCTATTGCAAAGTTAGCAGCAGCAAAATGATTTTGAACTCCACTCGACAAGTCTTTTCCAAGTTAACAATTCACATTTCAATAGCTCCATGTGTTGTAGTCAAATAGACGCTTCAATTTGAAGTAGCTTTGAATTTAAACAAAAGCAAGTGCTAAATGGTCTTTAGACATGCTATTTATGGTGGAGAATGACTCAATTAGAAACAACAACACTGAAATATGTCAGAACGTGTGAAACAAATTCTGAAAGGCAAGGCTTCAATTTTACATCACGACGCCATACCAGTTCTGTGATTTCACGTACTATAGAGTGCAACAGAATTTGGACGAGACTGAATTTGAAGCAAAATAAAGGTTTCGTTAAATTTCCAATCACCAATAATGGCCAGGAATATCTTCAATGATAGGTTTTCCACCGAAAATCCCACAGCAGCTCTTTAAAAATCTAAAACTAAAGTATTCAACGACGAGAAATATAAAAAATTGAGTATGTAGATTGTAGAATGAATACTCTAACATTCCAGGACGCGCGATCAGTGACCATAAAATAACCTGGGTACGAGTTTTTGAATGAAACGCGGGATTGCCCGCGAAACAATATTTCAATATTTACAATGTTCGTCAAAGTACCATTTAATAGAGATATTAAACGAAACTGAACTATGTTGGTTTTGTCTTTTTATATCATTGTTGTACTAGCCTGGTTATCTGCTGCAACGCCAACTGAAAATATTCCAATAGTCGCGTATGTATCATTTGACGTTTTCGAGTTTTGATTTGTATTTTATATGAGAGTATTTTATAATAGGTATGGAAATATGCTCTCAGAGTAGCAATTAAGTTCCTGCTTGTTGTAGTTTTAAAAGAGAAATCCTCCTGAAAATCTAGAGTGATATTTTCACCAGTACACCATTTTAACTCATTAGGCTGCAACGCACCCTAATGCAATCTTTAATATCATTTTACTTTCTTTAATGCATTTTTATATGTTTATGTAACTTCCGTTTATGCATATTAAACACTATGGGCCATTCCATTTAATGTCCACCCCACCCCCACCCCTATGGACAAATTTAGGTGACCCTAAAGTCGTTTCTGAGGGGTTAAGCCTGTTGGCATCCTTTGATCTCTGCGATTTTTCTGAGGGATAAGGGGGAAATTTACAAATTTCTGAGTGGTGTTTTGTGTCGGCACTTTGATCTTTTTTTCTTAGGAGTTAAAATTTTACTGACCTCGTCCATAGGGGTGGGGGTGGGATATTAAATGGAATGGCCCTATAACAGTATAATGGATCGTTTACAAATAGATTTTGTCTAAGATTGCAGACTTATTCTGTGATTGCTTTGACCCACACCACCCTCCTGCTGATTCTTAGGTATCCCCTCCGATCCAAGACCATTTCTACGGGGTGTGTGTGGGGTGTGACACCCCCTCAAAAACATCTTTTCTGAAAAATAATGGATTTGTCAGCAAATTGTTTTAATTTGTAGTCAGCAAATATTTCACTGATGTGGCTGATTAAAAATATTTGTTATAAATTTACGAAAACATTAAGGAAAAATTTAGCGAATTACGATTTGTGAACTCATTGTTATATTCTAAGTTAATTAAAAATGTAATGTCTGGAAAATATTTTACCCCCCCCCCCAATTTTGTTGGCAAATGGGATACTACATCCCCTGCTTTAGCCTCTTTGCAATGGCCCTGCTCCGGTCCCTTCACGGCAAGCCAAAGTCTATCTGTCAATACTCACTAATTACCTTATGGTCTTATTTAGCATTGAACCAAACCATCTTTATTGTAATCAAGTAAGTGTACTTTCATGACTGTCAGATTTATTGTGTATCTTGTTTACAAAGGTGGATAAAGCACAGTCTGATAAAGCCGTAAAAGCGTAATGATTGGATATTTTTGACAAGCTTCCAGCAACTAGGCAGGTAGCACTATACCACCGTCTAGTGGCCAAAAGCTTGTCAAAAATAAACAATAATTTAGGTCGATCAGTATCCTGTTTGTTGCTATGATGCTCACTATTAAATTATTTCTAACTTCTAGGAACTGAGCAATGGCCAAAGTGCTCATTATTATTTAACAAAGCTGCAAATTAATACAGGATACGAGTTTCGTATATCATACCCAGCAGTGGTAATTAATTTATACTTCCAAAATTTATTCAGTTTGCTTTCTGTTGATATATGCATTCACCTCATATGTTCTGGAATACCTCATCTAGTAATGTTCAACTATATAGTCTCATTTTGATTGTTTGACCTTAATTTAATTTAATTATTACAACTGTAGGAAGTCCATGGGTAGATGCAATTAATGGTGATTATATTTCTGGAAATCATGGTTTACTACTTTACAATATAAATTCTTAGATACCCACAGACTTCATAATCAAGGATCTCAACAAGACTACAGCAACTGGCCGAAAATTATTAAATGTAGAAAAGTTTGTCTTTTGGACAGATATGCAAGAGGTAATTATGCTGTACTTCTGGGAGCTTCAGGAAAATGTCAGCTAGACTCTTGAGCATGTCATTTTGCTTGGGAAAGTTAATTATAGGTTTATCCATGTACTACCCTGTCTACCCACAAGAACTGTATTCCAGACTCATCTGGCAGAGGGTGGAAGATATATCTTCATAACTAAAATAATTATAAATAGACCCATATTTATAATTATCACACCTTAGGAGAAACATTTTGAAGTAACAGCTTTCCGCACTGGTGTTGCTGTCAAGTCAAGCTTGAATGATCTACCAGTTCTGTATGATGTGGGTAAGTGTTACTGTAATTTTATCTTTGCATTCTGTTCAACTTACAATGAAACCCCACTTTTACAGTGATGTCACTTAATCGTCCCCAAAACTGGCCAAAATAGCTGAGGCAACATTTCCATATAAAGATTCCCCCTTAATATGGTCACTCCTTTAACCCATTAAGCTGCAGAGCTTCCCCATTGACGAGTAAAATCGTCTGGCGTTAGACAAGTAAAAAAAAAAGTAGGGTGCACTGGGGGGCATTGCAGCTCAATGGGTTAACATAGCAAATACAGTATTTGATGACCTACTGTACTTGATCGTGTCAGACTGTTTTCGTGGAGTTTCACTCAGTTGTGTTTTTGCCCTCTATAATATCTTATAACTTTCTTTTAGTTGTAGAGCAGCTGTATGGTGGTGTGTCCATCGATATTTGGAAATTGGTTTTATTTGCCTCCGTAACTATATTTCTTGCCCTCAAATTTTGTCGTCAACCATTTATCAATTACATCAATGCTGAAAATGAAAAACTGGAATAACTTTTCTGGGAAACTGAAGCCAAAACGATCTAATGTCTTCATTTAAAGATAACCTGTAACACTGCGAACATTTCCAACATACTCGGTAAATCTCAATATACAAGAACTTAATTTAGACATCCCAGGATCACTCACTTCTATTAGCAAGTAACCATCTGTTTGCAAATTAGAATGAGGTGGTTGCCAGAATAAGGGTGGGGTTGGGTGCAGACAAAATATCAGGTTTGTGTTGTCTAAAGCAAGTTCAATGTCTTATAGTACAGTGAGTACTATGTACACATCGGGGATGTGCCAGATCCAGATACAATAATCTGATATCCAGACATCCGGTAAAATTTTGCTAGATATTGACGGAATGGATAGTACTGCAACTTTTATCAGAACCATAAAAAGTTTCATGATCAAAGGTAAACTGCTCTTTGCTTTAGATTACCCAATATTTATGGTTATTGTATAAATTTTAATTTAACAACTTTAATTTGGCACATAAAAAACTGAATATTTACATAACTTAAACGGATAATTACATTGTACAAGAAGACGAGGAAAGTGCCAAAAGTGGCGAAACACAAACGAGACAATGTCCCACGCAAGGTGCTCACCACTAGACAACAAACAAAGACAAGAAACAAAGACAAGGAAGATTAAATGAAAAGACTAAGAGAATGAAAAGGCAGAAAGAATGAAAAGACAAAGAGAGAAATGTTAAGGCCGGCGCACACTAGAGCTATGTGCTTAGCAAAATGTCATTCGTGACTGTTGGCGTAAGGAGATAGTTCTCGTGTGCGGGCGATTTACGAACGACTTTTGTCATTCGTGCCACTTACGCCAAATATCTAACATGTTTGATAATTTCTGCCTCGCGTGCCAAAATCTTTCCGTGTGCGGCGAACGAAAGCTATCTGCTTACGGATTGTCGTAACAGCGCATGCGTAGTATACGAAAGTAAACATCCAAGATGGCGAACAGCTCACAAAATGGATGAATGTGAAGACGAAGAGGTGTTGTTATTTTGTTATACTGCAGAACTCACATCGTATAAACATTTGTATTCAGGCCAAAGTTCGACAAGTTTGTCCTCTAAAATTGCCTCGTCCAGCAATTCATTTTGCGCCGCCATCTTGGATGTTTACTTTCGTATACTACGCATGCGCTGTTACGACAATCCGTAAGCAGATAGCTTTCGTTCGCCGCACACGGAAAGATTTTGGCACGCGAGGCAGAAATTATCAAACATGTTAGATATTTGGCGAAAGTGGCACGAATGACAAAAGTCGTTCGTAAATCGCCCGCACACGAGAGCTATCTCCTTACGCCAACAGTCACGAATGACATTTTGCTAAGCACATAGCTCTAGTGTGCGCCGGCCTTTAGATATTTTTATTGAGTCGTGATATTAAAGTGAGTTCACACTAGGTAAGTCAGGAGTGTAGGAAGTACTAGTGGGTGGATGTAAGTCTTGCGCAAGTATGACTTAAAAGAGGAGACAGTGACATGACAATACGAAGGAGCAGACGTACAAACATAGTTCCACAGTTTAAGAATTCTAACACAATACGAACTTTGAAAAGCTTGTTTTGCATGCTTGTGTTCTCAGAAGACCAGAAGTGGCCGCGCGTGTCCTTCCCGTTGTAACTGCGATATGTCAAAATCTGTGAGACCGTACACGCATTTATAGAAAAATATCAAGTCCTTCTGTTCTCTGTCGTATACAAGCGGGATTAAATTAAGTTGCATTAAGCGCTGTTTGTAACTTAGTTCTCCGCGTTTCTTCTTTAGTATCCACAGCGTTAGAGAGATATTACTAGCTAGCATTTAGCCATTATAAGAAATAGTGAAGCATTACAACACTTTTCCCTGAATGGTATCCGGTACATCCCTAATACACATCATGGAAATAGTAGGTATTATTTATATATATTATAATAATATATATATTATATCTATTATTACTATCATGGTACACATGTGTACAGTATAATATTGTGTTGGCCAAATGGTGGTGTCAGACACAAACAACCATGGCATTTTTTTAAGGTGTTTGCAAGGTGTTGATGAAAGGTGTATGCAATCCATGGGAAGACTAACCCAAATTTCAGAGTAAGAGCAAATTTGTATGAGATTGACATGAATTAGATATTTTTGTAAAATAAACTTTATTTATATATATACAATTCCTTTTCTTTGTTTTTAAAAGTATTTTAGAATTCAATGTCAAACTATTTAATACTAAAATATATCCGTATTTGTTTGTTTATTGAGAGTTAAGATGCAATATATATCACTTTATGTTTCTCCATTGTTTCAATGTCTCGTTCCAGTTGTTTCATTTGAGCTTCAAGGCTTTCTTTTCTTGCTTTCTTTGGAGCAGTATCTGTGACGACCGATAGTCCTTGGTACTGGTGATGTAATTCTTCCCAGTTTGTTTTCAATCCATCAATTATTGATTGTCTAAAATATAATTATTACAATTTAATGAGATGAATATCAAAACTTATGTTACTTAACTTAGTTAACTACCATAAGCTTACTATATCTTTTTCTGCTGAACTAAGGGAATTAGTACAATGACATCATAAAATTGATGTATTGTAATTGCATTGAAGAAGGAATAGCAGCTAATATTGCCAGATTGTCCAACAAGTGTTTTTAAGGGTTTCGTCATTTATTTAAAGGTTAATCAACCAGGTCAGTCAATCCATCAGCATGAGGGCAGCTAAAGCTCTTATTTTTGCAAACAACAATATTTTCTGTACCATACACATTTGAAGAACCTACCTTTCGCCTTCAGATAACTGTTGCATAGCCCCTTGTCGAAATCTTTCTCTAATATATGCATCATATTCAATCTGAGCATGTTCAATTTCCTTTTTTCTCATTTCAAGATACTGTGGTGTCTTGCCAAAATCTTTCTTATTTCTATATTTTGGTGTTAGCCCGGATGGTTCCAGCTGATGTGTTGCTCCTATCTTTGTATCTGCATATTTCTTCTCTGCCTTTTTAGGTATAGACATAATGTTCTCAACTGCATTTGTTGTTATGAAATTCTTGTTTGATTTAACACCCATGATCGCTGGTTTATCAGTGTGCTTTGGCACTGCTGGTTTTCTGCTGCCTGCATCGGGATAACTGAATTGAGATTTTCCTGTAATAAAAATGAGCAAGGTTTAGATTTCTCTCTTAGGATGACTTCCATTTAAATTATATGCCGTAGTCATTTCAATTAGTTATGATTGCTAATATTGATGTTTAATATTATTATAACTAAATTTATAACTGATGTTGTTTTCTGTACCTTCTGGTATTATCTTGTCCTTGGAATGTTTTGCCAGAAATTCTTTTGGTTTTGCAAGTTGAACCTTGGCTGGACCCTTAAATTAAATATAACAATCGGATTAATAATGGTGACTGCAAATATGGTGATTCTGTAAAAATGGTAAAACTTGGGGGTACTTTACACTTTACCATACCGCAAGTATTTGATGGCGTGTGTTCTGACGGTTTTTCCGTTCTTTTATTGGCATGTTTTGATGGCGTATGTATTCAGTGATTACTCTGGCACGGTAAAGTGTAAAATTTCCAAACTTGGTTATATTATAACCAGGGCAATGAGGGCATGGCCTCATTACGGCTACTTTATACTATTCATAGAGATCATAGAGGGACCAGATACTCACCATAGTTTTGGCATTGGTCTTATTAGTCCTTAAATCATAGCGTACAGTTTCAGCAAACTTTGACTTGTATCTATAATGAATGGAAGACAAATAATCAGTGAATAGCATAGCCATATACTTGGCCATTCAGGCGTTGCTCGAGGATACAAAGGCGACTAAACCTTTTCTTTACAAAGTTCGTAAAATGTCCCAAAAAAGCAGTGAAAACGTGCTTAAGTTGAGCCTCAATCGATGTGAAAACCTAAGGGAAACTATGACCCGTTTCAATCAACTAAAAGCCAACATTTACGACAATGATAAAAGTGAAATTCTATACCTTGGCGGTTTAGCTTCTGTCGGTGGAATGGTCGGAATTAGATTGTAAATGCTTTCTTCTTGTTGTCGGCTTCGTGCTCCGAGATATCCCATTGCTAATGCAGTAGACATTGTTGGCTAGTTTAAAACTCTTTCTGATATGAAGTTTACGTTACAAGTTGCGGCTATAAAGTGTGATCTGGTCAACTTTCAAAGCGTTCCTTTATATACAAACGCAAGCTGATCTCTTGCCAACCCAACCAAATAAAGGTCACTAGGCAACAGTGCCTTAGAAACACAATTTGTTTATCGTTGCCAAGCATGTTGCTAAGGAATCCAGTGAGCTCTATACATATCTGGAGTAAGAACTTTCAAAACTCGTAAGATCTACGACGCGGTCTGGGTTTCAGCTTCAAGAATGAGCGCTAAGCAATTTGTCAGTTTGTTTGAAACTTTTTGAAATAACCTTACAAACTACAAACGGCTAAGTTCCATGCAATGTTTGCTGTAATTTTGACTGAACACTTCTTGGGTCATAATAGGCTTTCGCTTTGCTTGATAATGCTTAGTTTAACGTTGTGTTGAGAATGACAGATCATAAATTATTCAGTTTTTGTCTTGCATGACAAATTTCTGTTTCGTCGTTGATCTTACTCCAGATATGGAACACGCAATTGCAATTTCTCTTATCTCAAGGCACACCTAGGCGGCCGCTGAATCACGCGCAGTACAGAACGTAACTTTACTGTAACAATTATGCCTCCTTGGGCACCTCTATTCTCTAACAATATTTAAAAAATATTAAATCATTCAGTGAAGCAGAGTCTAACTCATTTGTATCTTTCGACTAAATTTCTGAAAGACTGTGCAGTATGTCCAAACAATACAGAGAAATGTTTGAGATTCAAGGCCGTTTCCCACTTCAACTGTAGCGCGGAGCATTTTCTTTTTGTGTCGCAGTCGTTTGTGTTAGACAGCGTTGGTTCAGGAAACAAAAATTTACGCTTCGACACCATACGGTTGAATTGGAAAACAGTAACAATGGTTAGTTTTTCAATATCAGACTTTGGTCCGAATTACAGACTAGAAGCATTATTAGATCTCACAAGATACTCGTATGATTCCGACTTCATTCATAGTCAGGGTAAAGTAACAACTACACTTTAATTCAAACAAAAAAAACACGGACAAATTGCGGACTTTGTATTTCCATTTATACAGTCAAGTAGTCAACCATACCAAATTAATCGGACTAATAATAATGATTACAATGTCAAACTCTAACACTTTTAGTAGACTGATTTATTCACATGGCTTACGCATTTGATGCCAAGCGGCAAAAACCACCTGCTCGACAACCTGTGCATGATGTTTCAGCAGGCTCTGTCTACAAAACTCTACATACAGTTGTGAAAACCAAAACTTCCTCGTGCTGATATACAACCGAGAATTTCTACACCGTAATCAATGAAAAATTAAAAGAGAAATGAATGAAAAATATGGGTCCACAGCAGTTTGGAGTAGCTTATATATGCACACCGGTTATACACGTCATCACCAAAATATATTAAAATATACAGACAGATGTTTGCATGAGCCACAAATTACGTTTGAGGCTTGCTTGAGCAACAAAATACTCCAAAACAGTTACAATCTCATATTTCGCGCACGGACATACGTTTAGGGGTTAGAGTTGTGGTTTTGATCAAGAGGAATATATTCGTGCGCGAAACAGAAGCAGTATGTGGTTTTTGCCTGCCTACATATCGTTCTCTTCTTATTAAATTTCACCATAGTTTGTCCTCTATTAACTATGATTTCACCTAAACTTGCAAAGTAATAAAAGCGTAGAATTTTTTGTACCTCCTTTTACATTTTTTACCTTTCATATTTCATTACGCAAGCATATGATGCTTGAAGTATAGTGCGAGAGCGTTAGATTTTAAAATATTAATTTAGTATAAAACGTGCTTTTTCGTTATTTCCATGCATGCATTTCCTTTCAACTAGCATTTTTCTCTGTCTTCATACTATTACTTTTTACATTATTGTTTTGTTTTGATGATAGAGCTATAAGAAGTACATCAACTCTCCTCTAACGAATGTATTTTTATCATCATCAGCAATTGATGGATATCCCGCAACAAGAGAATCCTGCAGGACACAAAATGAATCAATTAGTTTGACGATATATTACAGTGCATATATTGATTTTATCAGAGAAAATATCAGTCACATGCATATATTCGTTAAACTTCAGTGCTCCAATTTCCCTATTTCTTTTATCCATTATAGTGCGAATAACATGACTTAGCGCGAGAGGCGGGCGGGCGTGAAATAGGGAGGTTTAGTTTTCCCATTTTCTCAGGCGCTAACCAAGCCAGCGAGCGGCTGACATAATGAAAAGATGAGTTATTTAATCTCAATTTATACAGGATGTGGGTGAGAATGTGCATGGTTGCCCAATTCATCCCAGACAGAGGATCATGGTGAACGGGAGAGATGGTTTTCGGATCGTCGGATTTCACAGAAAAAATTGTCTGGATTTCGGATCTGGCGAATGTTTTACACGGATTTCGGATCTTATTAATACAGCAGATTGCCGATTTATCTAATATTTTGGCTCGGATCGCGGATTTTGCTTCAAATCGGCGGATTTGTATACCCCTATTCCCCCTCCCACCCCCGTGAACGTGCTCGACAACTAAGGCTTAAGAGAGAACCAACCAAAATCAACCCACACGAGTTATCAAGTATAGGAAATTATCCAACAAACTAAACAGCACAGGAACACATTTAATCGAGCTGTCTCCTGCCCGCCAGTCTGAGCTGGCTCGCTTTATTGAGAGCAATGGCCATACCTGGGTCCAACAGCTTAATAGTCATTGTCTTTTATTGTTTCATTCAACCAATCACAAAGCATATTACCTCAATTTCACAAAATCTTGTAAGATCCGGGTTGGTGTTTCCGGGTTAGTTAGCTACAACCTGACAGGCTTTGCCTCAACCTAAGGAGAACCCTTTGTATTGTACAAATAATAAGTATATACTGTACCTGGGCACCAATATACAGTGTGTTGTAGATCTTCCAGTAGACATCTCGAACTTTACGAGCCGGATGGAAGAGACCCTATAGTGAGAACACAGAAATAATTCACTCTTAGTATCTTTGTGAAAAGTAACATAAAGAATGCACACAGGGTAAAAATGATCACAGCAATAATAAATAACCATCAATATCAGAATGCCTATTTAAAGTAAAGGGACAACAAGTAATCTAGCAACTACTACAACAGTGACCAACCAAAGAGCAACTCGCTAATATACTCTCAAAAGGTTTTTCTGCTAATCAAAAAAGAATCAAAGTGCATCTGTTACCAAAGTATCAAAGTGCATCTGATAGACTATACTATGCCGTTAAATCAGAAAAAAATATACGTGCAAATAAAACATTATAGACAACTTTATACTTTCTTCGGCGTAATACAGAATATTCTCTTGAAGGGAACTCTACTCGGATGAACTTAAGGATACACATTTGATATACATATGTGACGTATGCTCACCTGCAGTGCATATTGCAAGACTTTCGGAGCTCCGAGTGCCACTCTCATGCCTTCAACTGCTTCAGTTACAGCGTTTATAACATGAGGTGATGTTTCAAAGATATTTGGCCACACATAGTTAAGCAAGTGAGCTAAAGCATCTTCACAGCCAAACCCAAATACTCCCAACGACATGTGTTTGATCGCTGAACATGCAGTTTGTCTGTGCACCAAATCTCTGTTTAAAATACACAAAATATAACAGGTAAAAATATAGCATGGTAGAAAATATTAGTGCAATAAGAGAATGTTAGATGCAGGGTGAAGCCAGTGAGCTCTATATATATCTGGAGTAAGAACTTCAGCCATTCGGTCAATGAGAAAAGAAGCCAAGATGGCGGAAATTGACGTCCAATAGCTCTGAAGGTTGATTGATTGATTGATTGATTGATTGATTGATTGATTGATTGATTGATTGATTGACATCTTTATTTAAGGTGGCTCCCTACAGTTATTCTTGTTTAAGCAATAATTCCGTAAAACAGGCTTATTCGAGCAGAACGCGAATTCTTTTCGACTTGGTGGCAATATTGGTCACCTAAGGAATATCTCGAACTAGATTTCGACGATGTCAATGTTCCCATGGCAACATGACGACAGAATAAAGCCTTCCAATTTAACCCGTAAATGTGCCGCTATCTCAAAAACGATGTCGGTGACCTATCTTTTTTATTTCATATATCAATAAGGAATGATGCTCTGCAACTGTGGTGAAAGTTTAAAAAAATTCTGTAGTGTGTGATTTTTTTAAAAGTGAAAAATTTATTGCGAAATTTCCACACTACAGATTTTTTTAAATTTGAAATTTATAAAATTTACCGCAAAATAAATTCGTGGTCAAAATTTGAAGATAGGTCACCGATGAAACTAATGAGTAAAATGCAAATAAAGTTAGAAAATAGCCTCGTGTAACTCGAGAAATTCCCCTATTGAAAAGCGTCGCTGACTAGTAAAAGATTGTACGCGGGCGCAGAACGAGTTTTCATTCAGTAAAATCGAGCCGCAATGTTGTTTTTACTGTTTTGTTTTTGTCAACTTTTCGATTTATTTGAGTGCTGTGGACAGCCAAGGATTATTGTGAAGGATTAAATCGATGAAAACAAGGCTGAAGCTAATTGAATCCTGCCGTTTACTCAATCTATGAGCTGTAACAGCCTATTAACATACAACAGGTGGACGTGTTTTTTTTTGTTTCATGTTTGGTTTTGTACTTTTTGCTAAAAATGAACAATTAGGCTATGAAACTGAAATATTTTTCTGTTTACATATAATCACTTTAATTTTGTAGAAACACGACTAAAAACGTGAACGTTTTCTTGAGAAGTAAACAACTTTTTAAACGTTTGTATGCAATTTTGCAAATGTTTTACAGTTGAATCAGTTGACAGTGTATAAAAAAATTTTAAAATGTTGTTTCGTAGCTCTTTTTTGGTCTAGTTATTATTCGTATCATATGTAGAATTGCTGTATAGACTCGCAAGTGATTTGGCACTCAAAACGAAGTATTATTCAACTCTTTTTTCCATTAGAAACCTTTCAGAAAAGCATGGTCAATTTTTGTTTTGTTTTGATCATGCAGTTGCGTGAGACAGTTCACGTAAAATTCACGTACTTGTCCCGCGAACATCCCGCACGGAACTGTAGGAGCCTCTTTAAAACACGATGTCCATTTCACAGGTTATGTTATGTGCTCTTCAATGGAGACGTGTACCTATACTATTAGACTAATTACTAATAAAAAGGTATCAAACTATTTACAAAAGTAACAAACTACACATGCAAAGAAACTAATATAAAAGAAATATTAAGATATTTTAGATTTAAACTCAGCGAGAGATTGAACTCTAGTGAGTTCGACGGGTATGTCATTCCATAGGGTAGCTCCTCTATATAGGAAAAACTTTTCTTCAAGGATTCCGTTAAGGGTCTTGGTGCAAAAAGTTTATGATTAGATCCACGCAAACTGTGTTCGTGTATCATTGACGTGGAAGTAAATTTTCCAGACAAGTAACTAGGAACCATATTATTAACAGTTTTGTACATAAAAGTTTTGAACTGTTGGGTACGTCTGGTTTCAAGGTTGGTCCAATTCAATGATGTTAAAATATCTGATGACCGGATGTTATAATCAGATTCAGTAATAATTCTTGCAGCCCTATTCTGTAATCGCTGTAACTTTTGTCCAAGACCCACTTCGTCGTAAACAGTTTTAACAAGGTTCGTAGTCTCCAAGACCAAAAAAATTCAAAGACTTTCAAAGATTTTTGCTGCCTATTTTCAAAGACTTTTCAAAGACCTTTAAGAGCAATCAGCTGTCGAAAAAATGCAAGTGTACGCAACGTTTTTCCCAATAATTAGTCCCGTCAAATCACATCCTAAATGTGCCTTTTCGTCGATATTTGCGAAAATCTTGCTTCAATCAATCTATTTTATTAGCTAGGAAACCGTATAATCAAATATTCACTAAAGAATTTAAAGACTTTTAAAGACTTTCTTCGCTTTTTCACGCAATTCAAAGACTTTTCAAAGACCTTAAAGATCTGCATTCAAATTTAAAGACTTTCAAGGATTTCAAAGACCGCTACGAACCCTGTTTAATACCATTTTCCCCATGCAGATAATTCCAGTGTTTTCTAACGGACCATATCGCTAATCAACTTATCAGTTCAAAAAACTATAGTATTATTCTTTAAATCGAGGTCAAACTACGAAATTTCGGCACACTCCTTGCCAGCTTCGTGTCAACCGCGCAGACAAAAACAATAGAAAGGGACTGGAACTGACGTCCAATAGCTCTTCAATAGACCTTATGCATAATGACGTCACAAGGCTTGATGCCCGCTAAGAATGCTGGTCCTAGTAGTCATCGCCCGGGAAAATTAAACAATTCAAAATGGCCACTATCGAAACTTTCCCGGGCGACGACTACTAAAACCAGCATTCTTCGCGGGCATCAAGCCTTGTGACGTTATTATGCATAAGGGACCGGTCATAAAGTAACTGCTAGGGTGGGCTGGAGTGATTTGGGATGGGCCATGGAAAATCTTTGGGCAGTTTCGATGGGCCGCCAACTTTTTGGATGTCCACGGTTGGGCCACCAAACAAAAACCCATGCATGTCCACTTCAAAAAATAAAGATATTAATAATAAAAGTAAACAAAACTATCCAAATTATCAAATGCAAATGATGCATGCCATTGAAGCCAGTACTTTGTTTATACAACAACAAGAAGTGGTCGAATCACAGCAAATACAACCAACTGGAGAGCAGCTCAGTATCAAAGTGTTGGTCAAGCTTGGTGGAATTATGTATGCCAATACAGTGCCGTGTATATTTACAATGTTCATACCTGCAAGTTTTTTTATTATAAAAGTGTATTTTCCCAATTTAGATTGGGTGGGTCATGAAAAATATTTTGTAATATTAGATGGGCTTTGAAATTTTTATCTACATCCTAAGATGGGTCACCGAACGTATTGGCAAAATTTGTGGTTTACCTCCAGCCCACCCTAGCAGTTACTTTATGACCAGTCCCTAAGGTCTATTTCCGCCATCTTGCCTTCATTTTTTGGTCTCGAGTTCTCGCGCCAGATATATAAGGAGCTCACTGGGTAAAGCACATTAAATGCAAGCACATACAACGACCTAACACGTGTATAGGCACATATTAGGTAAAGTTTCACGGGAAATCGTTTTAGTGAGTATACTACACAGACGATTTCGCAAACATGCAAAAATAAAATTCAGTATGGAATGTAATTGTGACCATGTATGCAAAAATAAAATAACAACTTAGCATACAACATACCTATCCATTAATGCGTCTTCCAAAAGTGGCGTAACAGCATAGATATAATCTTTGCCCATCTCACCAATATATTCAAACAAGAAAGACAACGATTTCAGCACACCATTTTGAACATTCAACTCAGGCACTCTGTATTCATTCATCAAGGCAGGTAATACGGTAAATGGTGAACATGTTTCAGCAACAATGGCAATAGCAACTGTCGTACACACACGATTTTGACGTTCTTGTACTTTCAGGTTATTTAATAGAGTCGCCAAAACATCTTGAGGTCTAAAAGAGAAAATTTGTAAATTATAATGGGAGGATTAAAAGAACTTGTTCTGTAGGTGTTTATACACCACACCCTGCAGCTAATAGTGTTATCACAGTGGAGCAAGAACTTCAGTCATTCGGCCTATGAAAAACGTGAAGCCAAAATGGCGGAATTGATGTCCAAATAGCCATGAAAGTCGTCAACAGTTTTAGTTATCAGTTCATAAAACCACAGTATTATTCTTTAACTTGAAGTCAAAGTACGAAATTTCGGCACACTTCTTGCAGACCGCGCCGACAAAAACAATAGAAAGGGACTGAAACTGACATCCAATAGTTCCATCTTTGCTTTCACGTTTGGACTCGAGATCTCACTCCAGATATATATGGAGCTCACTGTGTTATCAAAGTTGCTTATAAAACCTACAATCCTGGTCAAAAATCCTTGGCGTACTTAGTCGAAATAGTATAACCTTTACTTCATTTCTGATTACCATATACATAGTTGCTCATTTTATGCAAGATTTCATGTTCAGACAACCCCCTATCCTCCTAATCAATGTTGTGTAACACCCTGGACGTATAACACACTACAGACAACATTGAACGTGAGAAAGGGGGGTTGCTATGCTTGTTATTGAAGTGGGAGTCAAATTTCGCACTGTCAGTGTCAAGTGCGCCAACATTTTTGACCAGGATTGTAGTCTCCACCTGGTCGTGGCAGTCGCGACCATAGCGATGTAAGAGAGTGTCGATATTTTTCAATCAGAAAAGACTGATTTTCAGGACTTGGCCACGAAATAGCGAATTCGTATCGGTGGTAGCACGTTAATCATTCAATGGAATTCGTGTGGACAAAACTTACCCAATAGCCTTGGCAATATAGCCAAAAGTGTTCACAGCTGCACGACGAATTGCCTTCTTGTGTGCCTTTAATAATTCGAGCAATTCAAAGCAAATTCTCATCCATTCTCTTGCATTAACGTGTTCTGCACCGCGATCAGCTATACGACCAACCAAGTCAATGCAGTTCTCTTGAACTTTTTCATGTCTACATAAATAGGGAGCAGAGATGACGTATTACAAACTGTACAGACGCGAGTCTTTTCACACTGAAATTGTAATAAAGGAATTATCCTCCCTTACAGCTAAAAACTGAGTTACAAAGGACACAGCTCAAACAGATCGGTCAAATGCTTACTAAGTGCCTCTAGTTTCCTATAGTTGCCATCATATGACCGATGTCTGATCACGGAGCAGAGTTGGGTTAGTTTATGTGCGAGGGAGGAAAATTGGAGTACCTTCGAAGTCCAAGTTTCCAAGTCAGAGCGAGGTTAACCATTAAATAGCAATACCTATACCTTCAATCGTTAGTAGCAGGCCTTACTCAGTGGTAACTCAGCGTGGTAGCCCATGCATGCTCCCCCGTATTTATTGTGTATAAAAGCACACGATACGTGCAAAGACGTTAAGAAAATGGAACCGTACCTGTTTTTCAAAATAGGAGTCAATCTTGGCAATAAGTCCTTGATCGGCGGTTGCATCTTGTTCATACCAATGACGTTCACAATGGCCTAAATCATAGTTTAACATGTGTTACCACACAGTTCACAAATCAAGAGTGTATAAGGGATATATCTCAACAATACCTTTAATGGCCTTAATAAACAAAATTCCCCGCCAATCAGGGGCGTAATTAGAGTTTTGTTTCGAAGATCAGATCAAAAACACAGGACCACTAGTTAGTTTATGCCCTTTGTATTACTCCCGCTAGCTTACAAAAACAAGATAGTTGGTACAATGTTTACTCCTATACATGTACGTTCAGGCTAGCAAGCCTTTGTCGCTTTACTTGCAGGCCCAAGACCAACACCCTGGGTCTCTGAACTACCAAGACAAATTTATGTACACAAATGAGTTACTTCAATATGAGCTAACCTTGATTGCGCCAAGAATACTTCCTAACACCTCCGGATACTCTTCACCAAGATACTCGTACAATACAACACCCAAATGACCCAATAATTTCTCCTGCAAATTACAACATCAGTTACATGGGGTCATCATCTACCTATACTATCCAGGCTCGTGGTTGGTCGATTATAACAATGAAAGACGAACAATGATCATTTTTTGTTTCTGATTTGTTTCTGAAAGCCAATCACAAAATACGATCATTTTAGGTATGTCTTTACCCGTTACATTAGAAAATGTATTATTGCAAGCTTGTGAATAAAAACAGAAGATTAGAAATGCACATTCCACTACATATATAGTTCGCAGTCTTTTTTACACTAGCATATGGTAGTGCTCTTTGGTCTTTTTTCTGTTTATGTGAAAGTTTACACTGGCAGTTGGATTGTTCCATTGCAACAGAAAGATAGTCACTGCTACTATATGCATACCACCATATATACGGAAAGGTTGAGACCTACTTCCATAACGGTTAACTCAAGCTAGTTTGTTATGACAATAAACCTGACGCATCTATTTGATATGTCTCTTGGTTATATCCTTACATATTATGGGTGAACGAACATTTAGGTCAGGGTTGTGATTGGGGTCATGATAAAAAAGAAATCTATTATTTGTGCCCGAAACATGAGGGTGCAACATGTTTATTCTTTTCACACTATTGGCCATATTGTCAAACTCTTCCCTCCTTTCCCGCACAGCGGTTACTTCCTCTTTCGTTACCTTCTAGCGCAATTGCGAAACGCTTTCTAAATTAATCCTTTAAAACCTCTGCGAAGGAGACAGGTCAATTATATAATAAAGTAGCAAAAGACGAGCTTACCTCACCACATGTCATCATAACTTGTGCAATACGTGATATAAGATCAGCAGCTTGTTGACGAACTTTTGCAGACTTGTTATTCAGACGCCACAGTACTGTACCACAAATCTGTGGAAGATAAGCCTTGACACGCTTACCAAGAGCGTTTACTACGGTCCCAAAACCGTTTAACATAACGATATCCTCCTGAGTCTGTTCTTGGAAGGCGTACAGTATACCATCAATCAATTGTTCTTCCAGACGAGAATCAATATCTGACGCGCCTAGGTTGCCCATGATCTAAAAATGCAATATCAGTGAATTAATGAATACGTCAAAAAAGAAGTAGCCGCCGAGAAGTAATTCGAAATTTGTGCCGTTCTCGGTAAAACCACACTTACCACAGTTTGGTAAAACCCGAGCGCACACGCTACGACCATAGTCGGCCGACTAAAATCCGCAAGAGCACAAGCGCCACTCGCAGGCACGTTTTGAAATTGTGCAGGCATCTTTGAAATGGTGCAGACACCTTTCAAAAGGCTGACATTTTAACTTGCACAATGACTTGTACAAGCGTCGGGTTATCCGTGTCGTCGGGTTATCCGTGTCACAAATTGGGCAGAATAGCGCAATCTATACTCACAATAGATTAATCATCCTGATAGTTCGTCTAATGCATGTTATAACAGAAAGATAAGCTGTCTACTCACACAAAGCGAACTACAGAAGACAGTTCGTTATCCGAACGACGACCTACAGTACCTTTTCTTGTCCCAAGTCCGTCCAGAAGGATAAAACATCGCCAATATTAATTTGGGTCATTATGTCCAAACAACGAAATCACGCGTATTGCTATAATACTGCAGTAATAACAATTACTTCTAAATACTGCAATACCTTTTCGATTGTTTCCATGACCATTTTTCTGTATTGTTCATTTTCATCTTTCAAGTCATCGACAACTCGACCAACGATATCTGAAGCACCGACTTTATTTGCCAGTTCTACAGTTGTGTCAACCAGCTGCTTGTAATTACGTCTATCTAAAGCCATACGATGTTGCCAGAAATGCTTGAAGAATTCTGGTAAAATTTCATCTTTAATGTACTGTGGTTCAACACCATCTGTTGCACAACATTGCTTCACTACCTATAAACACGTGATGAAGAATGGTTCAGACAAAGAAAGAGAAAGCAAAAATTGCAAACATAAGAACAAGTAGGTTTACATGTATTAAACAAGTACACTACTAGATTTACTGAGGCGCAGGTTGAGGCGGTTCGTCGATACACCGAAAAAACCGATGTTTCTCTGAAACCGGCGATTTAGCCAATGTTGCTCCTGCGCAAAAACAAAAAAACCCGACGATAAACCGATGTGTATTTCAATAAAACCTAACAACTCACGTGTTTGTCGTGTAACGCTGTCTTACTGTAAATCTTTTAATGGATTGGCTTCATGGCCGGATTTTGAGGCGAGGTGGGGGAGGTGCGCACATCCCCTGAGATCGTTTTGCACCTCCCCTGAAAAATCATGCAACTCCCCATGGGAATGGGAATGGAAGTTAAAATTTGACAAATTTCTTTGTGTTTGTAAAACGTTTTTCGAAAGAAACTTTGTAGTAATGTATTGAATGGCAAAATTGGATGAGTTGAGCAGTCATAATTCACGAATACGTGCCCACGTTACGTAGTTGACCTTGTGGGGGCAGGGGTACATTCTAAGCCCTAACATTCCATGGAAGCCATGAGCTAGGAGTGCTTCACCTCCCCCAGCATTTCCACCAAAATCCAGCCTTGATTGGCTTTCCGACAACCACACCCACCCAATGACCCCCACTCCTGCTTCATCAAGCTGGGCAAGAAACATTATACCAATGGGATTTAGTTATGTTTCGTTACGAGTATTCGGGTGCAAAAAATTACACAAGTGGAACTTTACCTTTAATACGATTTTCTTCATTTCTTCATCAGGAGACTGGAACTCTCGAATCAAAATCAACATTACTTCTCTGGTATAGTAATTAGCATATTCTGCATCCATCAAAGGTATAAGATAACCAATAGCTTTAAGGAAGGCAGCCAAGCCCTTAAAAAAAACAGCATTAAGGTGATTGAAAAGAGGAACAATTAAAATAGAAATGATAACGAAAGTACATTCGATAATAGGCACAGCTATAGGCAAAGCTATAAAGACACGGCCAGAGAGGCCACGTCAACTGCAAATAAGCTGATGTGGCATTCGCTCGAAGTGCTTTTAGTATTTTTAGCTGGTTCAGACACAAAAGATTTTATTGTATATACAATTCTACCACTGCACTACCACGTCTGATAATTACTCGCTGGGGCACCTGTGCCCAGGCGAGTATAGGTTTCGGCACACATTTGTGGTGGATCGGCAATAGTGGATTTCCGATCGTCGTCGATAGCCACAAAATAGAATATTAATGAGCTGCCAATTTTTACCCAAATTATCCATAAGGCTCCTGCCAATTTTTACCCAAATTATCCATAAATAATCCTACGTTTTGAGGAAAATTCAAGAATTTTACTAAAAAAGCCAAAGCTGCTGTTTGTTTTAACCAGTATGAATATATTTACGTTCTTTAAAACTGTTTTTTACGGCATTGAGGATTCGGCGACAAGAATAATGAATTTGGAGATGTATTAATGCCAAATAAATCCTGTTTAGCGGTCAAGATGACATCTTATAGCCCGACAAAGACAGAAATACAAAGTCAAAGACAGCGATGCACAGGAACAATTGTATGAAATATAAACTCGAGAAATATAAATTACAAGACTGCTAAGTGCTAACTATGCTTTTATAAGAACAGAATAAAGACCAGACACAGTACTAAATGCGGTGCTTTACAAATAAAACTTTCCGGCGATTCCGCCTACAAGCTGTGCTACAACTACAAGTAAAGGTTATATTTTATAGTATGCTACATTCCTCCTGTCGGCCGGCAGTTGTACCGTATGCTTGGTTAAAACTTCGCTCTAAAACCTTCAATCAAGATAAACTATTGTGGGATCAAAATACTATAAAAATGAAGAGAAAAGTAAGACGAATCCATTGGTATACGGCCGAAAAAGAGGAAACCAACGATACGAAAGTTATCAAGGATCAAACGTACTGCATTTTTAATTAGTTAAATAATAATTTTGAGCGATTTGTTAACAATAAAATTTCGCTTGACTTTCAGTTTCAAAGGCCATAAATCGCGAGATAGTCGGTCCTGAGAGTCCGAGATTAAATAATTTTCCTACAAAAAGGAAATTCAGAGAACGGACAACTTGCAAGGAATTTTTCTAGGCAGTTAAGGAAGCATTTGTTTCGGAACAAACTTGGCACGGACACCGCAATTTTGCAACAGGGGACAGGACATTAACTCCTCAATTAGCCATATGATTGTAGTACCATCTAACAAGCGTATCACTATAGCCCCAGCGAGTTAACGCTCTTTCGAGCGTCTTGTTCGACTGTAAAATAGTCGTTAATAAGAAGGGTCCAGATCATGCTAGTTGTATACCCTGATGTCAAGCTTGCCAATGAAAATGTTCTGAATATCACACTTACCTTTCCTCTGTGTTGTCTAATACCTTTCCACAAAGGTTTGAGGACACTGTCAAAGGATTCGATACCGTATGGTGTTGCAGCTTCAGCCAAAGCTGCCAAAGCAAGAGCTGTGATTGTTCGCACTTTTTGTTGTTCATCCACAAGTCCTGAAAACAATAAACGATAAATTAATTATTTTTGAAACATTCAACCTCGGCAATTGACAGAACATAGATGTTCCAACCCCCAAGAAAACTTGATCCATTTCACCCTTCCAGGTCGTTCTTCCAACTCAGAAGTGGTGATGGGTGATAATTTAGAGAATAATAATTAATAATAATATTTAATATTTCTATTGCGCGATTTACATATGTATATGATCAAATGCGCATTACAATTACAGCCGGAACTGGCGTGAAGCAGACCGAGGTAGACTGTGAGCTTACAAATGGCGTTTTAAGCAGCCGCTATTAGTCCATACCTCATTAATGATCTGCCCCCTGTCCTATGTGTTTAACCCACCCTGTCAACTTTCCCTGTGGGAGGACACCGGAGTACCCGGAGAAAACCCACGACTTTCGGCAGAGCGTTGACTTTTTACTCTTTTAACATGAGGACTGGGTTCGAGTCACATTGAGAAATTCTCATTGAGATTTGAACCTGCGACCGTAGAGGTGAAAGGCAAGTGCGCTAACCACTTCGCCACCGAAGCTCCAATGTTATAAAATATGCATATTTATCTACAAAATAAACCTCCAAGAATTTGTGGAACAACAAATGGTGGCGAGTTTCAAAACACAGTTTAACTAGTGTGATAGAAACTATGTGTCTGTTCTAATAAGCCAACAACGGTACATGCATGGCAGTCACGTGATTTAAGAGTCCCAGGTTATTTTGAACACACGTATAATGTACATCTATCCACTACGCGACTGCAAGTGCATTACCAAAAGTGGAATAAGGGTCTAATTTCATAGGTAATTTCCAACCAGGGGTAAAATTTCATCTCAGCTGCGATAAAGTGAAGAAAGACTTTATAGCCCACTGTACACATTGAGAATATCGATCTTACGGTTCTCTATGATAAACGCGTGCTTACTTCAGTATTTCTATACCTCGGCAGCAGGGCTGAAAATTACTCATGTCATCAGTCCAATATCCAAGTCAAATCGCATCAGACTCATCTACCTACCATGCTCAATGATTTCAACCAAACTTCGCAGATGTGGCAGTATAGCACAACCCATCAAGATGGCAATCTGCTGTACAATTTTAATGCCAGTATGACGTGCTTGCCATGACTTTTTGCTACGACAGACAGCTTTAAGGAATGGAAGTAAAGATGGAATACCCAACGCTGAGGCTACCACAGCAAACGCTCTGAAAGAGACATATTAAAAATTGATGCCAAATTGTTATGCTCTTATGTGTAGTATCCTTTGGCGTGCGGGTGGAGAAAGGTATGTCAATTTCGAAGACTTCAGAGCTGATTTTGTTGACTGTAATAGTTAACTAAAACCTCCAGTATTATTTACACAAAGAACTTAATAACGTCTTTGGAGGATATACAAAGGTAATCAAACAGATGATAATATATAGAGTTAAAAATATAAGACAGCTTGGATAGAACATCTATGCACTTACCTGGCTGTTGTGTTACGAACGTACTCATCAATATTATCAATATCAGGTCTCATTGTTGAAATCATAGTTGCCAAACCTGCTGCCTAAAAGAATGAAGAAATAAATGTTTACATTCATACTACAGTAGCTAGCAGGGATGGATCCAGCATGATATCTGGTGGGGAGTGGGGCGCTCTACCAGCTCTGGTGCCAAGTTGTGCTGGTCATGTGTGCCGTCCGCCCATCAACATACTGTATTTGAATTCTAATTGTTGTTGACAGTTCGCTTATCATCATGTTATTACTCAAATTACTGTATCTCATTTTATCTCTATTTTTTGCTTTATCATGAAAAATAACACACACACCCTGCACCCCCTTTGGCAAGGGCTAGGGGGTGCACGCAGAAACAATTATCAGACTATGTTAACAGTTAAGGCCATATGTAGAACCAAACATTGCAAAGTTAATGCAAATTCACAACTTGCAAACAGTGTTCAATATAACAAGCAAAACGCCAATATGGCCCTGTACTATTGATTGCTCTGCACAGATATTATGGCCGGTCATTTTGCTACATTAATTTGAATAATTTCTCCCTCATTGTCACAAAACCAAAACACAATCTCTTACTAATCTGTTACACATGCAACGGAAGTTATAACATAGACCTCAGTTAGAATGTAACTTAATATAACGTAATATTGTAGATAATATATTGATCAAATAAATTGAATTTATATTATATTTAAACTGTATTCTAATTTCGTATGCAAGTAAAATAATTACAATGTAATATACTGCACAACTTCTCTCTCTCGCTCTCGAGTTTTATAAATAATTAGTGTCTGATGATGTCCGAATGTAAACCACTTCCAAACGAATTTTGATTAGTTCCCATGACTCAAACACAACATTGAACATTGAGCATTGAGCTGGGGGAGTTTAAATTAGCCTTTCTCACACCGCCATTTTTGGGGTACTGTAATTTTTCGTAAACGATTATAACAATGTGAAAAGCAATATTTCAGAACAAACTAACTATTTACAGAGTACATTTACCATCATACACCCATAAAATTATAAAATATCGCCGTCACGCGGTGTTACGCTCGCAGGATTGGCAAAAAAAGTACCCCAAAAATGGCGGCGTGAAAAAGGCTAATTGTGCAACATGTTGCAAAGGGGAACATATAACAGGCCGTAGGTCCACTTTTCGTGCAGCAGTAAGTTTTATATTGTAATAATATCCGCTTACCTTTGCCAAATTTGAGATGATTTCTCGTCCCTCCACTCTGGCATAGTAATCCTCATCAATCAACAAAGGTTCAATAACCACAAGAATCTAGAAAAATGTTAATATTATTTAACTGTTGATTTTTACTTTTATTATATTCAAATTGATCTATTCAACTAGTCAAAATTTCCCATATGCCATGGATAGCAGGTAAAAATTTGTAGATGTAGAAATCGTAGTTTTACCTTGTGAACAAAAGGTCGAACCAAGTCATCTAGTTTATAAAGAATACGATCAATTACTTTGACCAATAAATGACGTTCCTGGAATATTACATAAAAAAGATTATTACAATTATTGATTGACACAAAGGTGGTAAATGTAAAGGCCGTTAGCCACTTGAAGCGTATCGTACCGAAACGTAGTGAATGTTGATTGGTTAATACTTCCGTAGTACGCCAAAAAGTGGACTTGCAACGAACTTTTTCATTTTGATACGCGAACACACCTGAATTTCAATCTATTTTCAATATACGCATGCTCACCAGTACGTTTTGGTACGTATACGTTTGAAGTGGAAAACAGCTTTAACAGTCATATCGCTAATAAAAGCCTCAATCTTGCCTGTCTACAGGTGTAATATATACTACTAAAATATCTACACTACTCGAAATATTCTCTCAAGCCATGCGAAGCAAAATCAAAAGTGCCAACCTTTAAAACCTAGAACCCTAGACCTCAGAGGACAGTGTTTAAACAAATTCTGCCATTTTCATACCTCAGCTGGCAGAAAACAGAACTTTATATCTTGAAATAAAGGCAAAAGAGCTGAGGTACATTCACAACCACAATATGCGTAAATCACCACACTTTAATCTGCCTGTATAGAACTCTACTTTGCTGCAAAACTATGACATTGGACATCTATCTTTACCTGATCTTCTAAAGTTGGTGACATCAACAAAGGCAGGATTTGATTGAATAATGGACCAGCTCCAAATTCACGAGCTTTGTCAGTAACCTGTCTTAAAGCAGCCTAAATACAATAAGATTAACAACCAAGGTTATGTATTTCTGTTACAGTTGATCCATGATTCAAGCCATATGATTAGAATATTTCAAACCAGGACCACGTGCCATTACGCGTTTATTCAGTTATACCGTTAGGGTAGCATAACAAGTTAGTTAACATCGTGAACCTGTTGCCAGGTGCACCTGTTGCCGGTTGTACAGTTAGGGTTGCATAAGCTACAGGCTTATTTTTTCAACTATTAACATTTGTGAGCTTATAGTGTGATTTAACACTTACTGACTGGGACCGAGGGAAACCTGGACCGTTGACCCCAATGTAATAAGTATTTCATTATACAAGTGTGAAAAAACCCGAGAAGATTCCATAATTTATTATTCACCGGTCGATAACATATTAAGCAAATTTTATTTGACAAATTTCATTTGATCAAATGCATTTGATCAAAAGCTAGCATGCTAGCTTTTGACCAAATGCATTTGTCACAAATTTATTATCTACACGAGCAAAATATCTTTTGTGGCTTTATTCACCGCTCAAAACTGTTGCCAGGGGACATTTCATAACTTTCACATGATACCCCCTCGCCCAATGAAATGCAATATACGACAGGGGTGGATTTATAGGGGGGTGCACAGGGGTGCGCACCCCTGTTGGCCTTGGTCAACAGGGGTGCGCACCCCTGTTGGCCTTGGTCAACAGGGGTGCAAGGGGAGTGCAAAAAATCAAATTCAGAAATATGGCATAATTTCCAAGGTTTTTCCTTTTTTGAAGTCAAACTGAAGCTCATAATTCAAAGCCCATATCGCAACGAAATTTTGAAATTGGTATATCACGCTTACCTTTCTCATAGGCGGAGTTCCATTCTTAATTTTCAGTAATAATTTCATGATCTTTCTTTCCTTCTGTTCTTCAGCACTTAGTGTACTTTCATCAACATCAACCTACATAATTCACACGGACGTATTATTTAGCACCGAAGGTATATCATGACGATACGCAGAATAACATAACTTTTTTGAGACAGTCAATTTGTCATGTTGAAGCATGGTTGAACTCTTTTGCAAAGCCACAAACTGCTTAGTGGATTGAACTTTTTCCTCTTGTGATAATTTTTTGGGGGCAGGAGAGTTGTTTATGCCAAATTACGTGCAAAATGAATGTCATTCAACTGGTCTTAACAGAGTTGGAACAATCGGTAATCACTAACGCAAAGGCGGCATTTTGGAGACTACCTAGCTGTGATCAAGAGAATGAGATGATGGTGTAGTTATGAACTAAAACTTACCAATAGTTTGTCAAAATATTGCACGTCATCCGGTTTAAGATATGGCAGATTTCCTGGAGGCTGATCTTCGACTAGTTTGGCATTTCTGTCCTCGGTCTAAAATGAATACACAATTTCTATAGTGGATTGCGTTTGGTTGGCTTTGATGATAACAAAAATTGAAATAATCATAATCAAAAACATTGAGCATTTTTCTTTCGGACAGCCAAGCATAAAACACGATCATACATCATATACTACATATTTACAATATTACAAATTAGCATGGCCAAGGCGTTTCAATTAGATGTGTTGAATAACTATAGACGGAAACACATTATTTCAGATTTTCTGAAAACGTCTGTACATATTTGAGAAAGTGGAATATATTAGCGATCATACCTGCATAGTGAAGCCACTGAATCCCATTGGAGTAGGAGTCGCTGTAAGTTTACGTGAAGGAGTGCGCAGCGGTTGATATCCAGGTGGTGGGTCCAATACCTGTAACAAGAAATAACTAGTTGCAAAAGACTATAGTAAAACTCTTAATACTTATGTCTGCAAATGTTCCTTGTCGAAGTAACGGGCTTATCTGTACGATTAGTCCTTACGATAAATATTCTTATATACGTAAACTGTTGTAAATTCAGATCTCTTTTCTTAAGCTGCAAAGTCTTGTTCTTAATAAATTATCCAGATTATCTTGGCAAATGTGGTTGAAAAAAAACAGTGTGAATATGTTTTATTTCACCAGAAAGAGTCAAAAAGCATCAGTTGTGGCGTCTGCAATCATTTTCTACGCGAATGACCATGATATATTGGACTTGTGAAATTTTATAACAATTTGGAATAAAAAGTATTATCAGCTTCTGTTCTTTACAACAATGAAAAATTTGAGGCTCCAAAGTTTTAGTGACCAGAATTTGCAACAATAGAAATACTGGAATTGTTGGCGACCTAAATTTGCACTCTGTTGGCTTCTAGGTCACTATCGTATTAATGTACTGAGACAAAATACTGTAATTTAATCATCTACAATTGGAGTTCAGGCACATTAAATCTTGTTCATTTTGAAGTGTGGTATCGTAGACAGTTTCAGCAGTTCTCGGAAGCAGCTTTGGATGAAAATTATCATGAAATTTATGTACTTAAATAGTGCGGGCTCGTACAAATTGGTCAAAAAGAAAATACTGATCGAAAATACTGATCGAAAACACGAGCAAGTAAACTCGTCAAGGAAGGAAGTTCTTAAGGAAAACTTGCTTGTCTGTATAAAAGGGGTGGGTCAAGCACTTTACTACCTTGTATCCTTCCTTGGGCATAATAGCATCCAGTTCATCATCAGTCAACGGTCTGTTTCTTTCATCAATTTCTCTTTCCCATCTGAATACTTGTCTCTGTTCAGGTGTCATTGGAATCATTTGACCTAAAGGGTAAAGATAGGAGTGACGGACGCACCTTAAACGTGGCCGAATTAGCTGCTTAAGCTGGATTTCCACTTGCAAGAAAACTTTCGCTGTAGAAATTTTTCACTCAATTTCTTTTGAATTGTGAGTGGTCAAGTAGAACGGATTAATTCGGATCGTCACAATTCAAAAGAAATCAAGCAAGTATTTCTCCATAAGTGTAAATGGGCGCTACTGGCAGCCACCATACGAGCCGTGTCTGATCACTTGGTTAGCTTTTGATGATGGAGGAAAACTAGAATTCGCCAAAATCACTTCAATGCGAACAACGGAAGTGCACATACCTGGTGTAGGTGTAGACATCTGCATAGCTTGTGCTCCAGCCGGTGTAATCCCGCTTGTACCAATCATGGGTGTCCCACCACCCATTTGGGCGGATGGTGTTTCATCCCATCTTGATCGTCGTTTACTGCCAGGAGTTGGTGTAGCTCCTGGTGTTTGTCCACCAGTGCGATCCGTTCGCGGTGTCTCAGCCCAACCAGGAGTAGACTGGCCTGGAGTTGTATGACCAGGAGTACCACGATCTGTTTTTGGTGTTTCATCCCACCTGTTACGACGTGTTGATAAACCTATATATACACGGTTATACATGGATTATAATCTCTTTAAAACATTTTATGTTTTGGCACATTTGAGCGAATATCGAGTTCAACATCAAGTACTGTACTTTTTACTGATGGAGCTGGTTGTGTGTGCTTAGTAGAGAATTAAGCATATTATTATATAGTCTTATAAGTTACCTAAGTTATTGCTGAAGTGGACTAAACTATAGGCGTACGGGCCTAAACTTGTAGGAAGGCAGAAAACATTTTGAAACTGAAACTGTCAGACTTTTGATACATCCCCCCGGACGCACACACCGGTAATCGCATATACTATACGTGTTCTAACTAAACTAATTTTATTTATACTGGATAGCTCAGTTTTGTGCCCAAATTTTCTATCAATTTGTCTCTATCAATGTGTACCCAAATCTTCAGTGAGGGTCATCCTCTAGTGTTTGCGTGTTACTACAGGATGAAACTAGAGTACCCGAAGTAGAACTGACTGGAAGTACTCTTCCTATACGCGAGTGAATTTATAACTTAATAATATACATAGATGAAAAAATTTCTCAATTCTGATTGGCTAAGAGCAGTGCAATTTTTTCTAAATACAGTGCCAAAAAATGAAATACAGTGCAAAAAAAAGAAATATAGTACAAATTTCTTAATTTATTATTTTTCATATTTCTTAATTTACTTAATTCCTAAATGTTAATTCCTAATGTTCTTAATTTCTAAATGCGACTTACACGTGACTGCATAATTTTTTCATGTATATTATTAATAAGTAATAGTATGGATGCGACTTACACGTGACTGCATAATTTTTTCATATATGTTATTAATAAGTAATAGTATGGTTTCTCGTGCAATTTGAAAAAACATACACTCGTGAGTTTTTCAAAGACTTCAAATTGCACTCGTTTTTCGGACTCGTGCAATTTTGATCGTCTTTGAAAAACTCACTTGTGCATGTTTTTTCCAAGTTGCAATCGAAACCGTACTATTACCTATACTAACATCATATTGCAGGAATCAAATCCCAGTCACAGAGTTGAAAGGCCCCAGATTTTCCAATAAAAATCGCTTTTACTTCAGAGTGGAACTACCATTTAATAAATCAGTAATAGATATGTAGTAAGTATAAGTGTGTTAATATGCCATCAGATTACTAAAGATGAACTGTATCATTGTGACAGACAAAAATAGGTATGTTTCTCATCTTCGGGTTACAACAGACAACTCTACGTTTGTTGTTGGTATTAGTACAAAAGATGAGGTTTACTCTTCATCTGATATTACAGCAAAACCTTATTATCTCAAAAGGAATTACCAAGATTTACAGATGTTAACAACTCTGGTTTAATGTTACAGTGTAATTCACTCAGAATATATCTTTATTATCATCATTTGGCATCAGCAATATGAAAGTAAAATTACATAAAACAAAATTTCCTTACCATGACGTCTCAAAACCATTTAAAGTATTATGGGGGAATATGAAACGGCTTACAGTTGTAACTATTTGAACAATCGATTTTAAAAGGACATGATGTACTACTATGTACTAGTAATAGTAAGACCTTCCAAAGAAGGTGGAAGACACCAAGGGCAACTTTCCCCCAACCTGACAGGTAAGCAACCAATGTCGAGGAGCGCTTTCAAAACTACAGCACTTTTTCTGTTACTTGAAGAATATGATGTTACAGGGTCTCAGACAAATTGCCCCAAGCTCCACTCTCAGCGGCTATGTATATTAGAAACAGTTGTTTTCTCTCTTTCCCCCTTTTTATCGTTTACACGATCATGTTAGGATCATGTTAGGTGCGAGGAAAATTGTATTAAACAGGCACAAGAATATCCACGCGCTGGCAAGAAACATGAAGCCATGAGGTCCCACTGAAGCTACCAAAGCTGATCAAACAGAACTTTGTGTGTGTAAAAAGTGTGTGAAAAGGTAAGCAGGGTTAATGTAGATGACGAAATCACCGAACAAAATAACGATGCGTGATGACATCATCCTTCGTAGACAGGATTGTCGCGAAGTGTAGTAAAATAAATGTTAGGTAGCAAATATTGAGTAGCGAATGTTTGGTAGCGAATGTTGGAGTCATTATTGTTCAAATTATGTAATTCGTTTATTATTACGTAATTCGTTTGGGGATTTGGGATTGTTACTTAAACAAGAGAATCGGAACACGTCTGATAACTTGGTATAGTCTCAGGGCACAATGTTGAAATATAATGTTATAAAACATACCAGGTGTTGAATGTCCTGGAGTGATATTTCCTGGTGTCGTAGATCCAGGAGTGGCATGACTTGGTGTAGCTTCCCACATTCTTGCACTAGGTGTAGCACCAGGGGTTTCTGAACCTCGATGTGGGGTGGTACTTCCCCCCGGTGTTTCACTTCCTTTAGCGCGTCCAGGTGTTTCATCCCATCGTGTACCCCCACCTGGTGTCTCCCCACCTTTAGATCGACCTGGAGTTTCATCCCACCGACTTGCAGACGGTGTCGCAACCTAAAATTCACATGAAAGATATTCAGAAATACTGTATAGAATTTAAGTATGGAATTACAAGTTGAGAATTAAGATATAAAGTATTGAAAATAGACAACTTGCATGTTAGACTAATTTTTGATTTAGGCAAAAAAAGTAATTTCCCGTAAAGAACTTATTAAAATCAGTAAAATTGCAAAATTTGGTTACGAAATGTAGTAAAATACAGAAAATATAGCCTTGCGAAGTTGGCATATTTTCAGTGTGTTTGTATTTCGTGCGGAAATTGTTACCATTTTTGAGCCGAAAATTGTAACAATTTCCGCGCGTAATACAAATATACTGAAAATATGCAAACTTCGCAAGGCTATATTTTCTTTATTTTACAACATTTCGCAACCAAATTTTGCAACTGTTTTACTAATTCCATTATGTTCTTTTTAACTGTTGTGTTTGATTCCTTTCTCTTTATTTAGAGTAAAATTTAGTCTAACATGCAAGTTGGCCATTAAAATTCACTGGCAAATCTTTGCTGGATTATAGGCCAATCGGAATCGTTTGTTTTATATTACACTACATTTTAACAAATCAGAAGTAGTTAATGATATGTGGCTGTAAATACTATGACATTTCTAGCGAAGGGACTCGGGAAATTAGTTTAGATGCTAATGGCTTCACGTCAAACTGACGAAGTTCTTATAATCATATTTGGGTGGTTGAAAAGCGAACTGTGACACCTATTGTAGGAGAGCAATACCAAAACAGACTGGGCCTCAACGTTTGAGATGTATGTTGTTGTTGTTGCAGAGGGTTTGTTTCTCATCCTCGTACTACAACTGCAGACAGTTTCACGACTGCTGTTGATATTTGTACCAAAGACGAGGTTTACTCTCCGTCTGATATTACAGTAAAACCTTAATATCTCAAAAGGAATCACAGAAATTTACAGACGTTAAAAAAACTGCAAGGAAATGCATTATAAAATTATACTTTCGCGCTGGAAAGCGGTGAACCGATATTTGCCAAAATGATTTTTTTTCTTTTTACTACAGTATATGTATATGGTTATTCAACGTAGATTAAATATTTAAATTCCAGTTCATACCACTGATTTTCTCGCTATAGAGCGTGTGTACATGACGTCACAGCCGCCATGTTGGTGTTCCAATTCAAAATAATTTTAATTAGACTCTTTTGTCTGGAACACCAACATGGCCGGTCCCTGGGGAATGATTGCAAACGCTCTATAACATTAGTTTGCACAATAAATGATTAAACTCGTGACAAAAATATTGGGCACACATGTGAACTGTAAAATAGATGCGACATATAATACCTCAGTCTGATCCCAAGTACCAGATTTCTTCTTTGCTGCAGGAGCATCATCACCTCCTTGTTGATCCCAACGACGTCTTTTCTTCTCTGAAACAAATTTAGTAGTAAAGATTTAGCTGCTGTTTATATGAAGCACGGTTAACTAACGCACCCAGCTTAATACAAATTCCCTTCACGAAATAATTCAGTTTAGCTGAAAGCCAGATCAGTCTAGGTCGGCCAGCTGGAATTCCACATACACCGTGCAGGAGCCTAGTTAGCCGGTGTAACGCGAAATTTCTGACTTGCGAAATATCTGACTATTGCAGAACTGCCCATGCGCAAACGATGCGCATGAATGACTTTGGCTCATAAATTTCGCAACTCAACAGACAACACGTGTATTTATAAAGTCATTTTGTTGGATAATATTTATACATAAATTTTCAAATTCTACAACCATTAACTGAATTGGCACTATACCACTGGTTGTGAACGTTAGCGTTCAGCGATAAAGCTTGAATCTAAAATCTGCAAATGGAAAAAGTCAATCGAAAAGCGCTCTTAGTGATATAAGATAGACTCCAGTTTCAAAGGTGATGCTATATGCATTATTATAAGTAATCGTTTCGCGTTTGACCTTCTCACTATTTAGTAAGCAGCAACAATGAGTTCGTGTATTGGCCGCAAACACTTAACGATGCTATTGGTAACATCGTATATATGGACTTAAAAATCGTTTCGACCGACTCAACCGTATTTTACAAACGTCGTGTATTTCGCGGCCACAACCACACAGTCCGCTTTGAATTTGAAAGTGTTTGTAAATTGAAACTTAGCGATGTCGATTTGAAATGTTTAACCAAGTATTAAAAAGTAACATCATAATTAATTATTTAAACTCTAAAAAACAGTTTCGGCCGACGTAGAATTTAGCAAGCGTCATGTATTTCGCGCCTGCACGCGCAAAATTTCTGACCCGTCACGCTTGGTCAGGTATTTCGCAGAGGTCAGGAATTTCTCTTGACACCGGACTAAAATTTCCTCTGTACAGTCATCAGCCCTGCTAATCGGGCTAGATGCAACAATGCATGTTATACTTATCTGAAATACTACGTAAAATTTCATGACTTAAAAATACATACGCATACATTTCATTGGTCAAAACGTGAAAAAAATTATTCTAACGTGGGAGAAATTTAACTCATTCAAAGGCTTCTGGAAATTATTGGGAGGGAGAGCACTTGCCCCAACCCTGGCTTCCGCCACTGAAATACCAGATAGCCACCTACGTATTTCTAAACGCCTCCTACTCCAAATTCTATTGGAAACCCTGAAATCGTAACAGCCAACTTTACAGCAAATTTGCGATGAATGTTTTAAAATCAGGACATTTCAGTAGTCAATTACCCTGGATTCCAGAGCCTTCGACAGTAAATAATAAATTGAAACGTCGCGAAGGCTCTGGTTCAACGGGGAGATTGTTTGATTAAACCGCGCCAATCACAAAACAGAATTAGTGGTTTTAGTACAGATACTTTGTGATTGGCGCGGTTTAATCAAAGAATCTCCCCGTTGAACCAGAGCCTTCGCGACGTTTCAATTTATTATTTACTATCAAAGGCTCTGGAATCCAGGGTAGTAGAACAAGGGCAAATAATGTTAGCCAATCAGCGCGTTTGTTTACATTTTGCGTTCTTGACCAATCAGAATGCATGAAATTCGAAACATGTAAACAAAAGGAGTGAGAAAATAACACCTTGTTCTACGCCCTCGGTGACATTCGATATTAAACTTTTTTCGCCAAAACTGACAAATTCTGATAAAACATGCTTTCTTCTTTAATTTCCTCGGGGGGATTTTTAAAATTCGATCTAGAACGCGAAATATTTATGTTTGAATAACAGTGTTTCGACGCGCGTACACACACATAAAAAAATTGGTAGATTTGGCAGTTTAAACTTATTTTCCCCACACCACAGCTGTCATGTTTTTAAATATTACCTATCTGATCTCATCGATCTCATTTCGCATCGGAAATGCGTCACAACGATCCAGGACTGACAGGTACAATATCGCATGACTCATTACTGTACATTAAAAGTACATATCCGGTTGGCAAAATGGCGATTGTTTGCAAGACCTTCGCGAAGGGCTTAATATTTTTGCTAATAAACTGTTCACGAGGGTTTCGTTCTGTTCGTCTTCTGGTTCGTCGTCAATCGTCATCGGCTGCCTCACTTCTTGGTCGCTTTCGTCCTCTTCAAAGCAAGTCGCCGTAGCAAACAGCGTTAGTATTTGCTGTCTTTCCAAGAGCTTCAACGTTGCTTTACAAACTGGGCTATCGCTGATGTTGGGCAGGATGCATTTGATGTGGAACGAAGGTCCACAACCACGGAAAACGTTCCAAGTGGATTAACCTTTTTGCAGGCAGGCAAATCGCAAATCGATGGAAATTTTAAAGGAAGATTTCTATTTTATATTTACAGATCTTGATACATTTATATAGTCAGTACGTCCTTGGAAATTGTTCCAAAATATGAGTGTGTACCAAAGTTAAAATATTACTTATAATCTCTAGAACATGTTTGAATGTTTTGAATCACTGCAGTTTAGAATTAGCAGTCCTTTAACTCTTTTAAAGACAACAGAACTGGCAGCCATGGCACCCCATAACTATTTAGTGTACAATACTAGTCAATGTAATTAGTTACTACCTCCCCCAACCCAGAAGTAGGCCGTTTTTACTTCTCAGCACTGTCACTATCTGTAAATATCTGTGTGTAAATATCTGGTTTTGTCTCGGTGTTTGCCCCACACTTTGGGATTTGAGCAGGCAGGGATTTATATTGTCTGGTATTGGTACATAGTTCACCATAATCACAGGATATTATTGAAAGATTTCCCTACCAATTCACTGCCTTAAAAGCATTATATTATTTGCTCTGTGTGTGTGTGTGTGTGTGTGTGTGTGTGTTACTTTAAGTGTACTCTGGTTCCAGAGGCTCTTTGCGAGGCGAAAGAAACAAGATGCGAGAACGGAGAGCCTCTGTTCCAAATATCCAAAGAATAATTAATAATGACATTCTAAAAATTGTAAATATAGTTTTCTTTAGGAGGGCAGTTTCCCCCTCCTGCCGCCCCCTCCCTTGTGCTGTGTACAGCCCAGGGTCACTGTCCATTGCGAATCCCACTTCCACACTTGATTAGGTTCAGCATTTGAATTTCACATGTGATTGCCCATTTGTAAAAATATGCCAAACTGGCTTGGGAAATAAACATTGCTGTAAGCTAATTATAGCCTGTATTAAAATATTCTATTAAACTCAACCAAGAATGTATTACATGTCCTGCAAAACTGATTAATGTTGATATGTTTATCTCCTGAGAAATTTAATACCTTTTCACCTGCGGGAGTATTAATATTCATGCTTGGTTGAGTTTACTATAATAGCTTGGGGCTTTTTAATTGGGGCTTCAGTGGCCAAGTGGTTAGCGCACTTGCCTGTCACCTCTGAGGCCGCAGGTTCAAGTCAGTGAGAACTTTCTCAATGCGACTCAAACCCAGTCCTCATGTGAAAAGAATAAACCACAACGCTCTGCCGAACGTCACAGGTTTTCCCGGATACTCCAGTTTCCTCCCACATGGAAAGTTGACAGGGTGGGTTGGGTAAAAAGGGCTCACAGTAATTGGCATATGCTGTTGTGGTGACCCGGCCCTAGTTGGCAAGCTAAATAGATAGATAGCTATAATTAGCTCAAAGTAGTGTTTATTTCCCAAACAGGTTTGACATATTTTTACAAATGGCCAATCACATGCGAGATTCAAATTCTGAACCTATTCAAGTGTGGAAGTGGGATTTGCAATTGATATGATCAGAGGCTTTCCATTCTCACCTCTTGTTTCTTTTACCTTGCAAAGAACCAGGGTACACTTAAAAGTAACACACAGGCAGACCAAGTGCTGCAATTCAACTAAGGGCCTGTTTATATGCAGGAAGCCGGGCTGGCCTGCTTAGCGAGACAGGCAGGTGGGATGAATTTCTCTTGTGTTTATATGAGAAAATTTCATCCCGCTTGCTGGTTTTGACAGTTGTTAAAAATAGCTTGCGGCGGTATCTTTCATCCCAGCAACTGGGCTAGCCCGCTTGTGAGTGTTTATATGGAGAAATTTCCACCCCGGTAAGCGAGATCTCACCTCTTTTCAAGTGAGATCTCACCTCTTTTCAAGTGAGATCTCGGCAACCTGGCCAGCCCACTTGCCCATATAAACGCACAATAATTTTTACTATAAAAATAACTACACAGCGAGATCTCGTTTACCGGGCTGTCTCACTTAGCGGGCCAGCCCGGCTTCCATATAAACAGGACCTAAGTACCAGTTAATATAAGTCCCCGCTTGCTTGAATCTAGAAAGTGTGGGGTTCATGGGGCAAAGCAGGGCCACTGAGACAAAGCCAGACATTTATACAATCCAGCAATTTTGATTATGCAGTGCTGGGAAATAAAAACTGCCTACTTCTGGGTTGGGGGAAGTGGTAATTTACATTGTCTGGTATTGTACACTGAATAGTTATGGGGTGCCATGGCTGCCAGTTCTGTTGTCTTTAAAACGACTGCTAATTCTAAACTGCAGTGATTCAAAACATTGTCCAAACATGTTCTGGAGATTATGAGTAATATTTTAACTTTGGCACACACTCATATTTTGGAACAATCACCAAGGGGGCTGACTATAAATGTATCAAGATCTGTAAATATAAAATATAAATCTTACCTGCGATTTGCCTGCCTGCGAAAAGGTTAATCCACTTGGAACGTTTTCCGTGGTTGTGGACCTACGTTCCACATCGAATGCATCCTGCCCAACATCAGCGATTGGCAGATTGCCCAGTTTGTGAAGCAACAACGTTGGCAAATGTTGAAGCTCTTGGAAGGTCTTCGAAAGACAGCAAATAGTAACGCTGATTGCCCCGGCGACTTGCTTTGAAGAGGACGAAAGCGACCAAGAAAGTGAGGCAGCCGATGACGATTGACGACGAACCAGAAGACGAACAGAACGAAACCCTCGTGAACAGTTTATTAGCAAAAATATTAAGCCCTTCGCGAAGGTCAGTCAGACAATCGCCATTTTGCCAACCGGATATGTACTTTTAATGTACAGTAATGAGTCATGCGATATTGTACCTGTCAGTCCTGGATCGTTGTGACGCATTTCCGATGCGAAATGAGATCGATGAGATCAGATAGGTAATATTTAAAAACATGTCGGCTGTGGTGTGGGGAAAATAAGTTTAAACTGCCAAATCTACCAATTTTTATGTGTGTGTAAAGATAGTGCAAGTGAGAGTCTGCTATTTTACGCGCGTCGAAACACTGTTATTCAAACATAAATATTTCGCGTTCTTGATCGAATTTTAAAAATCCCCCCGAGGAAATTAAAGAAGAAAGCATGCTTTATCAGAATTTGTCAGTTTTGGCGAAAAAAGTTTAATATCGAATGTCACCGAGGGCGTAGAACAAGGTGTTATTTTCTCACTCCTTTTGTTTACATGTTTCGAATTTCAGGCATTCTGATTGGTCAAGAACGCAAAATGTAAACAAACGCGCTGATTGGCTAACATTATTTGCCCTTGTTGGTGCAACTACATCTATTTTCGGATGCTTTCGGATGTGATTTCAGCCGCCATTTTGTTAATTGATATATTTTTGTGTTGCATGTATTTACAAACTGTTTTCTACGTAAATTGAAATAAAGAGATATTAATTTTTTAAAAGCTCTTGATGTTGCTTATTTTCGTGTGTTAATTCGCTGCCAAGTAGGAAAAAAAGCAGTGTTCCCTTCTGTTCGATCCTTTGGGAGAAAACCAGATGGTGGACTGGCCAGAGCTGTGATCTGGAACCTCTTGCAACTGGGGCATTTCTTGATAAGCCGTTTCGCTAGCTGTCGCAGGCGAGGTACCCAATGGTTTTCGCGAACCTTTGCCATGGTGAGTCCCACTTCGCCGTGGAGTGTATCTTCATGAGCTTGCTGTACGAATTTCTCTGTGTAGATCTCAGTATCTGGAAGGTAAATGGGATAATGTCCTTGAAATCTGCCTCGACATTCTAACAATCCCGATTGGTTTCGCTGTAGGTTGAGTTGCATTCGGTCAGCATCGTATTTCTCACTCGCTTTGCCTTGTCGTTGAGCCTTTTCTTCCCCAAAATTTCTTTTGTGCTTCAATCTCTTCTGTAGTTAGTGGACCGACCTTTTTATTTTTGTTTCTCGCGTTGTGCACAAATCTCGCGATCCATGCACACGTTCTAATCACCGTCCAGTAATTTCGCCTTCCATATTGTTCACTGAACTCATCTGATTCGTGTTCGGTCGCCAATTTGAACAATTCACGAACTTTCTTAGCCTCTCCAAGTGATTCTTTGGTAACTTTCGTACTGACGTTCTCAGGCCATTCCTCGGGTTTGGAAAGCCACTTTGGTCCATTCCACCATAGCTCGTTGGTCTGCGTTACAGCACCGCCACGGCTGCCCAAATCCGCCGGATTCTCGTGCGTTGGGACGTATCTTCACTCGAGGTTTTTCTGCTGAATTTTGTTGACTCGGTTTTGCACGAATTGCTTGTAGTTTCCTTCGCCCCGAATCCAATGAAGGGCCACCGTACTATCTAACCAACAGTATGAGTTTGCTACAGGGAATCCTTCGAGTGCTTCCTTGACATTAGTGACAAGATTAGCAGCCATGTGGCCAGCAACTAATTCTTGTCGAGGTATAGTCAGTCCGTGTTTGGCGAGTCGAGCCTTGGCTGTCACGAGCCCTTGCGTTTGCCCTGATGGTTGAGACACTACAGCATAGGTGGCTGCAGCTACTCCGTTTCCACTCGCACCGCCTAACGCATGAAGAGTAATGCTTGTGCAAGAACCAGTGTTCTTGGTACTTTGCCAAAGACCTCACTGTTGTTATACGTTCTGGTAACTCTCTTTCCCATCGTTTCCATCTCTTACCGAGGTCAATTGGTAGTGCTTGATCCCATGTACATTTAAGGTTGCACGCTTCTCGATACAGCATTTTCCCAGTAAGTAACAATGGTGACGCCAACCCCAGTGGGTTATAGATTATTGCTACTTTCGTTAGAACTCCTCGTTTGGTTATTGGTACTTCCTCATTCGAAATAGGAATGCTAATTGTGTCTTTGTTTTTATTCCATGCAAGCCCAAGGAGGCTGCAGTTCCCGTTATCTGGCTGTCTCAGTTGCTGTTTTGCAAAGGTCTGATCTGTGAGTTCTCCTTCATGTTGGTTGGATTCCAGTGTAGCTTCGTTCGAATGCCACTTGTGTAATTGGAAGGCAGTGTCCTCGAATATTTCTGTAGCTTCAACTTTGAGTAGCTTGGCGTCATTGGTGGTTGTCGCACCTGATATCAAATCATCCACGTAGAGGCTCTTTTCGATTTCACGCACAGTTTCTGGACTTTTACTGTGCCATACTCAAGATGTTGTTTGATCACTCCGCCCAAAAAAAATGGAGACGGGGCGAGTCCGAATAATGCCCTAGTAAACCTGTAGGTCTCCACCTCCTTTGAATTCACATCTTTTAACCAGTGGAATCTTAAAGCATCTCTGTTCTCTTCACAAATTCGGACTTGTAAGAAGGCTTGCTTGATATATTTTGGAGTGGCGGACCAGGGTTGAGACATTCATTTAGAGATGGGGCATTATCTTCTACTCGCGCCGAAGCATCGTACACAATTCGAAGTTTTGTACTCACTGCTTTCTCTCGTATCACTGGCTTATGTGGAATGTAGCATTCTTCGCCGACCACTGTGTCTGGGGCACGCTCTATTACGCCTTGATCCAGCTGCTCTCTGATGATTGCATCATAATCGTTGATCGTTCCTGATTTCTCCAGCTTGCGAACTAGAGTGTTTAATCTGTGTAAACTGACATCTTTCCCAGTTGGCACCGCCGGGTGATCTCCTTTCCAAGGGAGACCAGTTTGATACCATCCATCTTTACTTCTTTGTAGCTGCTCCTTAAATTCTTCGAACACTTCATTTTGATCACCAACAGGGTGGTCTGCGAGACCAAGAACATCGATTTTGCACAGTTCGTCGTAGTCAACTTGCGCTGTTTGGGTAAGTAACATTACTGAGACGTCAAACTCCTGCCCAGGTGAAGTAATAGTCCATCCCAGCTTGGTGAGTGTAGCCACTGGATCCCATTCTCCACCGATGCGCTGCGGTTCTGCTGTACTTATTCTGGTGCATTCACTGATTCCCAGGATTAAGTGGACAGGTAAGTTGGTCTTGTTGTCGTTGTCATCCATGACTACGCCTTCGAGATGTGGGTGTCTTCCCAGGAGGCTCTTATAACCAGGATTCTTTAAAGTCATGAGTTGAGGCTTCTCCACTTTGCCGACATTGATGTCCATTTCAAAAGACGTATTCAGCGAGCTTACATTTACAGTATAAACGTCCATCCTTCGTGTTGTGGTGCTCAACATCATTTCGATTTGTCGCATTTCCGAGCTGATGGGTTTGACTCCAATCGTTTTGAACAAGACGGCTGATGCGAAGGAGCTACCTGATCCCGAATCCAGCAACGCACGACATTTGACTCCATGCACATCTACAACCACAACTGGATATACAACATGCTGTTCGTTTCCTTGATTGGTTGTCATCAGGTTCTCTTTCGGTGGTTTTTCACAAATGGAGGAATGGTGCCTCCCATCGCAGACTCGACATTTCGATCGACTTTTACACTCCGAAGCTCTGTGCCCTGAACCGGTACAGTTAAAACAGAGTCGTTTGCGCTGTAAAATCTGCCTTCGCTCACCGAGTTTAGTCACACTGCCACAATCGATTGACTTGTGGTCTGGCTTATCGCAATAAACACAGGTACGTTGTTGGGTATTACAGGAAGACCCACTTGGGAATTCGCTCCGCTTCTTTCGTGGTAGGCAGGGGTTTCTTTCGGTCCACATTCGCAGTGCTTCGACAAATTTCGGAAAGTCCCATTCGCGCCATTTGTCATCCGTTCGAAGTAAATCTCCCCGTATCCCTTCGAGCTTGTCTATCGACATTCGCACATAACCATTTATCTCAGTTAATTTCCCTAAAGTTTTGAGTGCTTGAACGTTGAATAATAATTTTTCATAAAAATCGTGTGTTTTCCAGGGTTGTGTACCATTGATAACTGGTAAAGCCATAATGTTTTGCACATAGGCGTTGACAATCTCGCGTTGCCATACTTGTTCTTCAAAATATTTTTCGCTCTGGTATATCCTTCAGTTGAAAATGGTAGTCCATCTATAGTTGATCTAACATTTGGTTCCAAAAGTTCTTTTAGATAGGCGAATTTGGTTACGGGTGCTACATCACTGTTGTTTTCTATTTCAGTTTCAAATATGTTCCAAAAACGAAGCCAATCGGTTGGTGCGCCATTAAATGGGGGTAATAATTAACTTGGGAAGCTTCGTTTGAATTTGATCCGGCTTTTTTGTAGTATTATCTTTCTTGATTTCATCAACTTTGTGCTCAAAATGCAGTTTTTGTTCGTATTGTTCTTTCTCAAACTGTAGTTGTTGTGCCCGTTCAGCTTCTTTCGCTTTGCTCGCTTGGTTGGCTTTCATTTCATCCAAATATTTTTGTAGCTTTTCGACTTCCGCATCGACGTTTTCGACTTGTTCTTCGACATTTTTGCTCCAATTTGTAATTGTTTCATCGTTGTCTCCCCGTTCAAACTTTCCTTCTAAAATCCGTAATTTTACCTCCTCGATATTCGCAGTAATCTTTAACAATGCTACGCGTTGTCTTTCGATGGCGACAATATTTGCTTTACTCACAATTTCAGATGTTTTCTCGAACGTAAATTTTAATAGCTTTAATTTCCCGGTTAAATGTTTCTCTAGTTTATCCATATTTCGATCCCGTCGGAGGTGCCACTTTGTCGGAATGCTCTACTAAAAGAGCCGTCCTTCACGACAATTCACTGTGTATTTAAACGCCAAATTATTCGATTTTATTTCGTATGTTGTATTATGTTTACACACCTATTTCTCTCTCGCTCGCAATGTATTCTATGTTGTTTTTTCCAAACTGTCAATCATACAGTAATTGCTGCCGCAGCGAGCGAGCCTGAAGCGAGCGAGCAAGGCAGCAGATCCTAATTTTGTTTTGTAGGTCGAAATCAAAATTTTCTATTTGTCGCGTTGCATGACGGTACCAGTGAATTTTAACCGTGGTGCAGCGCGCGGTCAGGCATAAGGCAAACAGGCAATGTGATCATGTTTCATCTTTGGTCTTAGCCATAGCTGGCTTAAGTGATCAAATGGCATTTTGTTGGGTGCTTTTAGCATTATACGGCGGTGCTTTTGGCATTATACACGGTGCTTTCGCCATTATACGCGGTGGTTTCAGTATTATACGCGGTGCTTTCACCATTTATATACGCGATGCTTTTGCAATTATACGCAGTGGTTCGAGCACTATCTGCGGTGCTTTTAATATTATACGCGATGCTAGCTTTCATTCAACATTATTTCCATATTCTTTCCATGACATGTATATGATTTAACGATTGCTTAAATTTGGTATGTGCATGGTTGACAAATGCTTTTTGCCTATGGTCTGCAAGGACAATAACATGCTTTTCTGTGTATATACATGTAAATGAATATAACGCAGCGAATGCGCCAAACAGTATAAACGCGGCTGAAATACGATATTAAAATCTTAAATGTGCCGTATGATTTAATTATGTTTTAGGATTTACAAATGCTTTGTCATTTGTATTTATACTTGTACTGCATCACAAGGCAGTACGTAAGTGAAAAAACTCCACATGTGAGATTGTCTTGTATATATATTTTTGCTTTCTTTGATAAACACTATTAAACACGCAAATTTTAATTAGTGAGACGCAATGTTAAATGTCACCTGCATGTCATTGTCATTGCCCTTTAACCAAATATTGATCATGACGAACCGCACTGCCTTAATTAAATGCAAACTTTGTATTTTAAAAACGGGTTAGGATAAAACGCGGATACGGCGATCGAGCGCCAGAAGATTTTACAAGTCAGTGGTACAGGGTACTGCCAGTAAATGGGTTAACAAACCTATCTGCCAATGGCTCTTGTTAATTCATCAGCACAGTAATGACCCCTACTTTAGTATTTATTTATTTATTTATTTAACTTTGCCAATAAACATTAAAACACAGAAAAAACATATATGGACAATGGCAGGGAACACGCTACAGCTTACGCCAATTACAGCGGCCCTTATTTACCCTCACTCCAACGCCAGACGATTTTTAATACTCAGTCAGTGCACAGTTTATTCAGTGGTAGGGTACTGTCAATAAATGGGTTAACAAGGATAACAATAATTTGCCTGCATGGCAGGCGGTATTTCCCAGGCTTGCCCAATTTTAGGAACCGCCTGCCATGCAGGCTAAACAATAATAGGATGTTCCTGAAGGACTCGTTCAACACCCTGTAGTTTGTCTTTTGCTGTCAAAGGCAGCATTACTGCCCTGTGGGTAACCTAGTTATATCCTTATATGGTGTTCATAACTAGAGTTTATTCATAACCTATTTATAGTCTGTTTCCAACACAGTGTTCTTTTTAGTACACCGCCCAGTTAAGCCTGGTTCACATATGCCTGCGGTATGCCTGCGACTGTATCATTATGCCTCTACTTGCCGCCGAAATACCGGCAAAGTTGAACTCAAGTCAACTTTCCCGGCCTACCGCCGATGTAACTGTGGCACTGGAGGCAATCGGTGAACAAATATTCACATAATTCACGTTTTAAGCTACCATCGGCATCGTCGCCGGTACGTCGCAGGCATATATGTGAAACAGGCTTAAACGGAGCTCTGGAGATGCAACACTCAAGCCGAAAATAGGGAGCTTAACCAGCGACTACGAGTACGAGATTTGATCACGTGCGAGGAAATCGCCGTAGTCGTTCTCGTTTCCGTTCAAATGTTGCTTTTATAGAAGTAAACAAACAACGAAAGAAAACGTTTATATAAACTAAATCTCCTGCAGGCCGAAATCACAGAAATCCCCTACAAAATGTGCAAATAAGCCGTAACATGAAAACAAGCCAGATATTTAATACTAATAGATTACTTGCGCCGGATAAACGCTACAGATTATTTTTGAAAAACAAAAAAGAAGCCAACTTTCTTTGTTTTTTTGAAAAGTCGTCGTGAGGACTACGAGATTTCTCCACAATTTCGTACTCAGATGGGCGACGGCTACGACTAGTTCGCGTCAATACGGGATGGCGTAAGCATACAGCATGCGTTTCGCTTAACGAATCTCGTACCGTCGTACTTGAGTCGCTGCTAAAGCTCCCTAATGCCACAGGGTGCCCGACAATGACCTATTTATATATCAATATCTCTGTATCAATATGGATATTAATCCTCTGTATAGAGCGCGCAGCGCGAGTCACACTACACAACGATAACGATACGATAAATTGTAAACACGCGATAATTGGCAAAAAAATTGTGTTAGTGTCCACACAACAACGAAAATGATAAAATTATCGTTAGACGATAACGATAACGATTTTAAAATCGCTCACCTGAGCGATTTTTTTTTCAGCCGGACGATAACGATAAATTTTTGACCAATCAGTGCGCGTATACAAGTTATCGTATCGTTATCGTTGTGTAGTGTGACCTGGGCTTTAGACCTAATAAAACACGACCTGCGAGTTTATTAAATAAACGGCTTCAAACACGACTACAAATTCAATAGACATAACGCCTTATTAGTATTTTTTATACAAAAAATACTAATGAGGACACGACAACAATAGATACTGCCTTATTAGTATTCTTTATATAAAGAATACTAATTAGTGTTTTATCAGGTTTAAAGTCACTGTACGTGACAGTTATGGTTGACATGATTTGCCAATATTAAAGCTTATGAATTATTAATGAGTGTTTGAATTATATATAAATAGGTCATAGTCGGGCCACAGAATAGAGGTCGGGCACCCTATTAGAGAGTTTTAGCTTGACGTTTACGGCAAATGTCAAACCACTAACGAAGTTTTTGATTTTACAAGTCTATTATAACAGCTTTTACACCAGTTTTGAAATATAAACAATTATTAAACTTGTGCTCTTTAGCAATGATTTAAAAGAAAGCAAATTAACCACTAGACACGTATGCGCGAAAGCAGTAAATTATGATTTAGCGTTTGAAGTTTACGTTTGGCGTATAAATTTCATGCTTGAACTGCTATGAGGGCTTGTATAGTCGTTAAAGCATGAAATTTATACGCCAAACGTAAACTTCAAACGCCAAATCATAATTTACAGCTTTCGCGAATACGTGACTAGTAGTTAATTTGCTTTCTTTTAAATCATTACTAAAGAGCACAAGTTTAATAATTGTTTATATTTCAAAACTGGTGTAAAAGCTGTTATAATAGACTTGTAAAATCAAAAACTTCGTTAGCGGTTTGACGTTTGCCGTAAACGTAAAGCTAAAACTCTCTAATGTGCGAGAACGCCGAGAAGTAATGTCTTCATGTATAATACATAACGGAAGGCATAAAGAAAATATTTGCGTGCAAATAGGAATTTTATGCCTTCCGACTTAGACTTGGGCTGAGATAAGTCGGTTCTAGTTACAGTTGATAAGCCGGGTAAGCTGTAAAAAATGGAATTATATAACCGCAAAATATGTTATTATATATCAACATATTATTATACTTATGCAACATATATTGTTCTGCATGCAATAATTTAATACTTGGTGAGTTAGCAGAAGCAGGCCTTGGTAATATATTATATATCGCTACAACATTGCCAGTTGAAAAAACACGTACTATGTAACTCACATAATACGAGCCTCATTAAGAACATCAAAAACACAAAATCAGGCGAAATCGCCTCACTCAGGTGTTAGAGACTTTCAGACTAGAGACTTTTTAAGGTCACAGCAAACGGCCTATAGTCCTAGAATTATTGATAGATAAATGTATACGATATACATTATTCAAACATTCCAACCGTCCCGGTTTACCCGGGACTGTCCCGGTTTGGACTATGTTGTCCCGGTGTCCCGGTTTTCTTCTTATTGTCCCGGTTTCTGTAGTATTTTAATAGTTGTATTCTTCAAATAAGGCTCATGTGACAAATGTTAATAAAATTCGTTTGGTTCAATACATATTAATGAAATGGGAGCTTCTAGTTGCTCCAAACCACGCCCAAACAATTGCCGAGTTTGTCTCCGATTGTTGTAATTCTCGTGACATACGTTATTTTGATAATTTAGCGTTCGCTTTCAATTCCTATCCATTTGGCCAGGGTTACATGAAGTAAAGCAGCGTAACAGAAGCGGGCGCAATAATCACGAGCTCTTGAATACGAGAGGTCACAATTCAAAACGCTAGTATTAAAACAAAACAATTTCGCCAGTACTACTTGGTACTTCAATGAAATTAAAGCTTGTTGAGAACATGTTATGTTACTTACGGGTTTCAACGTTAGTGTAATCATGGATAGGTGTTATAGAACTAGTTTTTGTAGCATCCACTGTGAATTTATTGTTTAATTCGAACTCAAGTCAGCTAATTTTAACACTAACCCAAATAGACACCATATGAATGAGAAAAGCGCGGCATTTATTCGAGTGAGGCGTTTATTCGAGGGAGGCGTTTATTTAAGTAAAATGGGAAAATTGGGAAGTGTCCCGGTTTTCAGGACTCCGAGGTTGGAATGTCTGCATTATTGTAATTAAATAAATATGAAGAAAACGTTTGATATAGGCTACTTTAATTATCGTTTTATTCAATATTGATTAAAAAATTACAATTTAAACTGCAATCTTAAACATAAAACTCAAATTCCTCAATGTTAGGCCTAAATATCAATCGGTCAAATCCCTGAATGTATAAGGTCTAACTTCTGCAATATTACAGTTTAGGCCGACGATCTATTCTAGAACATAAAAACCTAAACAAGGCCTGGAGACATTGTCGTATTTTCCGTCAAAATATCTCTCTAAGATAGGCCATGGCCGGTGATAGACGAGTGTCCCTATATGTCGTGTGTCGTGTGTCGTGAGTTAAAAGTCGTGTGTCGTGGGTAAAGTCGTGGGTAAAGTCGTGGGTAAAGTCGTGGGTCATAAAATGTGCTAAAAACGCATTTTTTCACCGGAAAATATTATTTTTATTTTTAATATTTTTTTCGTACCCTTTCCTTTCATGCGCTACATAAATACAGGAAAATTTAACGCAACAAATCTCCAGTAATAAAATAATATACATGTTGTTTCTTATCTTGCTGTTATCTACTGTATAAGAAGTAAATCTGTCCGTTTCGTATAGTCTAATAAGTCTATAGATATATTGCTTGATGATAAAATGTCTTAAGTTATAGGATATAGGTTTATTAGCTTTGGAAGTGTTATAGTCCCTATCACGAACGTCGCGAATAACTATGTCGACATATGTTTGATACAAACATAGTGAGCTATAAATTGTACGCTGTATTGAGTGTAAAGACTGTAAAGTGGCCAACGCTCGAGTCTCAAATTTTGCTATTTTATCTTAGTCCTAGTATATGTTCGTGGCCCTTAATAAAGATAGACAAACATTTCATGTAATGTGGCGTTCGGACTGAATATGCCATAAATTGCTAAGATTTGGGATTTCGCGATTGAAAACCGAAATGATTTGCGCCGAGATTTATGCGATGTTGGGCTATTTGCCGACCAAGCGTGCTAGCCGCTGTTATTTTGAAAAACATCATAAATATGATACCTCTACACTTTTCAGCCGTGATCACATAATGCGCGCATTGTAATCATATACATATCGTTTAATTTACGGCTTCAAACACTTGATAAAATCAAAATTGCCGTATTTTGTTAAATGTAAAATGCGCAGCATGTTGCGCACATTATCAAAGAAAAAAGTTGACTTTATTAGATTGAAATAAGCAAGATTTCCCGGAGTTGCATACATGATATATAGGCTACCGAGGCGGCTTTGCATGTGCTCTGGCAACGATCACACCATTGGCATTGCGCTCCGGAACCAACACGAATAACATGTTTTTTATCAAGTTTTTGAAGCTAAATTAAACGATATGTATATGATTACAATGCGCGCATTTATATGTATTACGGCTGAAAAGTGTAGAGGTAGGCCTATATCATATAATCATATTCTGTCAAAATAACAGCGGCTAGCGCGCTTTGTCGGCAAATAGGCCGACATCGCACAAATCATCATGTTTCGGTTTTCAATCGGGAAATCATCCCAAATCGTAGCAATTTATGGAATATTTCCTAAAGCCACATACACATGAAATGTTCAGTGTCTATCTTTAAAGGCCACGAACCGGCATATACTCAGTAGGAGATAAAATGGCAAAATTTGTGGCTCGACATAGTTATTCGCGACGTTCGTGATAGGACCATATAACACTTCGAAAGCTAATAACCCTATATCCTATAACTTAAGACATTTTATCATCAAACTGATACATCGATAGACTTATTACTATTAGACTATACGAAATGGAAACATTTACTTGTTATACTACAGATAACGTACACATTATTTTATTACTGGAGATTTGTTGCGTTAAATTTTCCTAATTTTTAATTTTGCGCATAAAAGGAAAAAGTACGAAAAAAATATTAAAAATAATATTTTCGTGAAAAAATGCGTTTTTAGCACATTTTATGACCCACGACTTTACCCACGACTTTACCCACGACTTTACCCACGACTTTACCCACGACACACGACTTTTAACCCACGACACACGACATATAGGGACACTCGTGATAGACTACCACGAATTCCTCACACCTTTCATAGATATCACTAACAGCAGAAAAGAATGCCAATTCTTTCAACAGGTATTCGACGCCTTCTTCTAAATCAATTGCGGCGGTATTCCTACTGCTCTCTGACATCTTTTCTTCGCGGCTATTTGCCAGTTTCACTGCGACAAGAGCAAGCTGGGTGCATTCCTGGATTTCATTGCGAAACTGATCATTTACTTGGTATAAATGTTTCACATAGTTTAGAGCACCGGTGTAGGAGTCTGAGGTTTCGACATCACGACCCCAGTTGATGTATTCAGCTGATTCATTTTGTATTCCACAAGAGTGCAAGGCTTCTTGACACTTATTTCGAAGACAATTCCCTTTCAGTCTGGCAGACCTCTCTGGATTCTTACTTCCAACAGCTCTGAAGTTGTGTTCAGATATTTTATCCACCAGAAACAGCAAGATCTTAGAGAGAAAATGCACACTTATTGAAACTTGGTTAGTCTGCAAAGTGCTAAAATAAATTCAATCCTTTATATTATTCATATTTAAAGAACTCGTTAATAATTCAGGAGGAAAACACAAAGAAAAATCATAAGCGTGTCGTATCTTTATATGTGATAAAAAAATCATGTTAATTTACTTATACTTTAGCTTTGATTTTCTCGGTTTAGACAAAGTTTATTTTAAAAATTACTTCGCCAATCAACTCATATAAGATGAGTCGTTTTTTAAGCCATTTAAAGCACGCGTAGGAGTGTTTTATCAGATATAAAACGCGAGGCGTTTTATATCTGATAAAATACGCCTACACGTGCTTTAAATAATACATACATTCTTACCTTCTGATCAGAGTTTTTCCTCGCAAATTGAAACATTTTTTGAAGATTCTCCACTTTACAGAAAAACGGATTTCCAGGACTGATTGCCAACACAATGGTTCGTTTGTTTTCTAAATATACTCGACCATTCTTGACAGTTTGTGATTCTTCCATTGTGATGACAATCTGATGTTCACTTGATACAACCAACTTATTTATAATTCTAACCCCATACATCACGTGATTTCATGACGTATGTGTCACACGATGTCACATTTTCTTGCCAGTGCTATAAACGCGGCGATCTATTCTTGTGGACTCTGCCTCTGGTCGATACATAGAATGGATATTTAAAGAATATGCTAGAGCATTTGACTTACCAACAAAAATAGTTCTTGCGAAATCGTTTCTATGTATAAATGTTTTAAATGTGACTTATGAGTGTACTACCATTTTCCTGGGAAATGATGACCTTCAAGTATTTTCACATTGATCGAGGTAATAGTTTCCTGTTGAATTCTGGGAAGAATATACAGTGCATCATTGTGGAATAATACTTCATCAAAATTTAAAATAAGCTCATGTGAATAAGCTCATATCAATAAGCTCATATGTGAACTTATCGCTCTGTTCCGCCGAATCAACATTGTATCTGCCACTGAGTGCCACTTCGAACAAGGATTCTATTTTATTAAACGTTCTTTCAAACAAGGATTAATGTTGCTGTAATGTTTGGGGACAATCACCACACACATCAAGAATATATAAACTACAAAACTTATTTTAAGACTAATTTGTGATAAATCTAAACTTGCTCAATCTAAACCACTTTTCGAACAGTCAAACATATTACCGATAAAGTACAGAGTTATGTATATGGTATAATTTGCCTAGTTTATAAATCTTGAACTAACTTGGCTCCAGACTATTTAAGTAATATGTTCAAACCATTGTCAACAGTTTCCCAGTGACAATAGAAATGTAAATTGTTCTGCATGTAATTATTGAATGAGGTTGAGTAGAATATGAGGAATTAGTATAAGGCAGAAGTTTGTGTTATCTGCCGAAGCCGATGGCTGAGGCAGATAACACAAATCGAGGCCTTAATAATTCCTCATATCCTGCGAGAACCGAATTCAATAATTGTTTTATTATTTATTTGTCGGAATACACAAAAAAGGTCGGCCAAACTTTCCTTTGAGGAAGGCGTTTGTATTTTCCCGCTTTGGGCATAAGCTGCATAAATTAGCGTGACGTCATGGCGTGTTACATTGTTTTTCAATACACCACGAGATTACGTCAAACGTGGTATATTTGTTTTCAATATTCCACGGTGATGTCATAACTCCAGATTTGGGCAGCTACCGAGCCGATATGATCATTTCATCGACAGCTCTTGGCCAATCAAAACTCTTGAATTATTTTCAATAAATAATAAATGGTAATATGTGTACGTAAACCCGGTAAACAGATGCCTCCAGAAACGCTCAATTCGCTGGCTGTGAACGCTACGACCCGCGATATGGCTTCCTCTATCAGGACCTCGTAATGGATGTGCTAACATGAACCAAGCTACATCAACAGAAATACAGTAGCATACTGTACGTATTAGCAGAACAGCACACGTAATGGACCTATTCCCTAATGAACAAAATTTGTGATCTAGACAAGTCTAGACAAACATTTCACCACAGCTTGAAAGAGCATCACAAAATTAGTAATATTCCGAAGTTTCGTTGCGAAATGTTGTAAAATGCGGATAATATAGCACTGCGAAGTTTGCCGTTCAGTTTTAGTCATTTTGTATTACGCACGGGAAATTGATACATTTTTTCAGAAAGCGGTATCAATTTCCCGTGCCTAATACAAAATGACTGGAAAACGGCAAACTTCGCAGTGCTGTATTATCCGCATTTTACAACATTTCGCAACGAAACTCACTTTCGCAACGAAACTCACTTATCCGCATTTTACAACATTTCGCAACGAAACCGCATTTTACAACATTTCGCAACGAAACATCGGAATATTACTAATTTTGTGATGCTCTTTCAAGCCGTGATAAAATTTTTGTCTATACTTGTCTAGATCAAAATTTTGTTCATGAGGTAATAGGTCTATTCGCAGAACAGAATCAGTCGAGAGTAGCATAATACAATACGGAAATAGCAGAACGGAGTGGACATCATCACACGAAAATCGCACCTAAAATCGCAGCAAAAATAGACCTTTCCCTTTATGAGTAAAATTTTGATCTAGATATATATGCCTGGGCAACAATTTCATCACAGCTTGAAAGAGCAACACAAAATTAGTAATATTCCGAAGTTTCGTTGCGAAATGTTGTAAAATGCGGATAATATAGCCTTGCGAAGTTTGCCGTTTTTCAGTCATTTTGCATTACAATCTAACATTTATTTTGCATCAGTTTGATCATTTGATTATCAATTTCCCGTTTGTAATACCAAATGACTGAAAAACGGCAAACTTCGCAAGGCTATATTATCCGCATTTTACAATATTTCGCAACGAAACTTCGGAATATTACTAATTTTGTGATGCGATGAAATTCTTGTCCAGACTTGTCTAGATCAAAATTTCACTCAAAAGGGGAAAAGTCTATTGCAAGTGTAAAGAAGCCTTGCGAACAAACCTTAATCTCCGGAAACAGGCCACTCTTCTTTTCGTCATCGGAATTTTTCTAAATGAAATAGACATTTACCAAATGGTTAACAAGGGACAAAAAATCGCAGGGCCGTAAGTTCGATTCCGTGTCAGAGGGCCTCCAGTTGCATTTCTGCAGTTGCTCCTGGTTAGGAGTGTAAGAATGTATAAAAATTATAATTTGTATTGGAAAATTTTCCATCTACAAAATCCCCGCTACATTTAGAACTATCGATTCAAAATATCCAAAATCCTGATATTTAACAATTTAAGACACACATGCATTAATAAAGTAAGGCCAAAAAAAATATATTGGTTTCCGGTTTCTTCTTATAAAAACTTAGGTAGGGTAGGTCGGTTTTAACTTTTTTTTAAACTTTTTTTTTAATTTTCCTAACAACCGGACGCCATTTTGTTTGGTCAGTGCTTCCACATCCAAAGATAAATTTCCCTAATATTGCCTCAAATTTCAATTTTCCACAAACTTTTTCCTCTAAGTGGAAGCACTTACAAGCATGATCCAATAAAAAAGTTTAGGGTCGGGATTTCGACGTCCAAAAGCTAGGTAGGGTCGGGAAACCGGAAACCCACATATTTTTTTTTGGCCTAAATGTACGCTTCGATAGTCAAGACTTGGATAATCTTTATAGTTAATTCGTAATTTTGTACATAAAATTTTGTCCTATATCGAACACGTTATATATTCAACGTTATATTGCAGTAATATTCGTAAAAATAGTTTATAGACTTTATGAATACTTTATTAATTTATATATTTGGTAAGCGAATTAGAGCCACTCTGTGGATATATTACCAATAAATAATTCTCATTCATGAACATGCACACCTCAGAATAATCATCATCATCATCGGTCTGGTCCTCCGTAAGAGAATCCTCGTCATCTTCACTCTCGTCTTCCGTGTCTGTTTTCTAACAGAAAATATAGGAACAACTTGTTGATGAAGAAATTTCAAGATGTTAACACGTACCATGCATGAACAACAACAGTACATAATATATCAAGATAGGATGGCCTCGAAACTAAACAGAAGACATTGTGTTATTTTTTGTCTGAGTTTATGCTAATTTGTGCACAGTCGCGGTGATTGACTATTGAGCTCATCATATTTTCGTACGTGCAAGATCCTTGAATAATATTTAATGAAGTTGAGACCCGGGTCTTTTTTAAGAATTCGTCCATGGAGGGGGGCATGTACAAAAATGGACCATACTATACTGAGTCTACCCCAGAAAAATTTTGTATTTTCCACCCCAGGTCTGCATTTCGTGCGTTTTCCGAAACACATTCTTTATATACAGCGTTACATTATACTGTAGATAGGATAGCCGCTGAATCTTCAGTTAAGTACTTGCATGATACAGTTTATGTAAATACCACAACTCGGTCACTAAATTGTTTAGCCTAGCCGTTCAACAACTCAAATCTATTAATATACTGTATATAGGGTATGGAATAGGGGCTATCCACTTTTAAAATCCAAAGTATTTACAACACAATGTTTAGCATTTTTGAAAAGACATTGAATCATTTGAAGATAAGATAAAAGACATAAGATTCACAAAGCAAATTTCAGTCACTATAAAATATCAAACCTCCCTTCTAAATTCCATTTTTCTTCCAATGTATTGCTTATATTTTAGAGAAAAGAACTTTGACTGGGGGGGGGGCAAGATAGTTCAATGCGGGTTATACTTAACAAATATAAAACATTTTCTGTGTTGATATACAGTTATATCAACACGAGTGGAAATTGGGAAAACGAGAAATTGTGTGGAAACACGACGCCCGAAGGGCGGAGTGTTTTCATACAATTTCGAGTTTTCCCAACTTCCACGAGTGTTGATATAACTATATATCAATACGGAAAAATGTTTTATATTTGTTTTATAATATAGCAATGTCAAAAGCCCGCAGAATAAGAACAATTTCCGTGTTACAAGCGGCGGAAAATTTCCCGTGTTGACATGGAGTTATATCAACACGGCTCTTAGCCAATCAGCGTTCAGAATTTACAAATGCTATATTATAAAGTTCAATATCTAACAAAGGTATTCTGTTTTGTGGTTTTCAGGTTTGCCGGGCTTCCAGACCATCGTATCTTGACAGACTATTAACAGTATCAGCACAGAGAGTTTAAAGGCCCACACAGACCGGACGCGATTTGGAAACGCGACGCGAATTTTCAGTTTTCAATGACATTTAACTTTAATATTTTTCAATGTTTTTCAAATATTCGGAACCATGACTTAAGCAATTTTAGCTATTTGGTCTGCATATCTTGTAAAATTTTTATCCGTTGACGGTTTTATTTGTTTTTGAAAACTGAAAATTCGCGTCGCGTTGCCGAATCGCGTCCTGTCTGTGTGGGCCTTAAGGCCGCCACGCGACGCATCAAACTCTACGCAGCAAAATCTATACGCCGCCGTCTCAATTCCAGCAACTTATACAACGAGAATGTCAACGACAACGAAAATGAAACAACAATATTAACAAAAATTAACTACAGTACTTAGAGTTGGCAAGCCTGTCTATATGATGCGACAAGTGCTGTAAAAACAAGTTAAAACAACCGAGAAAATGGTTGTCTCGGAGATATTTTTCAATTTAATGTATTATTTAAAACATGAGCAGCAGTGTTTTATCAGATATAAAGATACGAGGTGAAGCCGAGTATCTTTAGGTCTGATAAAACACGCACTGGGAATGTTTTACTTGCTTCAAAAACGTTCGATCTAGAAACTTCATTGGCGAAGTAATTTTAACAAAGTACGTTGCGTCAGTCGAAAAAATCAAAGTTAAAGTTTATGTAAATCAAGGGAAAACTCTATCACATATATAAAGATACAACACATGCACTTATGATTTTTTTGTTGTACGTGTTTTCCTCATGAATTTTTAATGTTTTTGAACCACTTTGCTTTTAAACTGAACTACCTGAAAAAGGACAAACTTCGATGATTCGAGCGAAGGCCGTTCGTGGGAAAGTTATCGGCGCTAATTTCCAACTTGGCTATACTAACTTTCACGCGAAGGGCCTTGTTTCTTATTTTTTAGGTACAGTAGTTGCATCATACACATGCAAGCTCGCATATATTTGTATTCTTATTATTTGCTTATTGCTCGTACGCTGACACTCAACATTTTATTAACAGTACAGTATATACAGTACAGTACAGTACTTACAGACAATTTCCGCCTTTTTCTTGGTGAATTCTATACGAGAGAAAAGAAGAATTAGATATGGAAACTTTGAAGACAAGAAGGAAAGGATTATGTACTAAACTTCATATCAATAGTGAATGACAAACATCATAAAATTCACCATCTCTTACCTAGTAACAAAGCATTCAAATACTTACAGTATACAACTTAAGAAATCCAAACTTTTTTAATATTCCAAGGTGTAATACCAATAGATTTAAAAACACTTCAAACATATCAAGTCTCTTAGAACTAGTCTAATTATAGTTTTTTTATTCTACATTTATAATATTTTTACCTCAGTATTTTTATCCTCAGTAAGATCTAATTGTAAAGTTATATATTTCTTAATATAATTATTGTAAAAATCATGTAATTCAGCCTCCGGGCTGCGAGATAACTTGATTTTAATAAACCGTTTAATATAGTGAAGGTCTCATTAAGCAATCAAAACGTACCATAATAAAGGCACCACCTAACTCTCTGTACGATCTTGCTTGCCATGGTTTTCGTTTCTTTTGAAGAATCGCAAGATATCTTTGATGTCTTGCAAAGCTGTTGTCCTACATAATGTCATGAATACATAACTATGTTGATAGTGAAAATTTTTTCTGTTGTTAGAAAACAAAGATTGATGTCCTCGCAGTTTATAAGAACAGCGTTTTTCATATTAGCTGTTTCTATGTTTAGAACATTGAAATTAGTTCGTTGCACAGAGGTTACTACTGTATACAGTAGTACTGTATCTATCACATCTGTGACCAGCAGGGTCTTAGCTAGGATTTTAGATCTTGGGCGTGTTTCTAAATGACCAAGATGTGCACATGTCAATTACCTTGAATAGCCAAATTCGCGGTTCTAGTTATGGCACGCCAACAACAGACAATGCCTGTGGTTGTTCTATGCTTTGGAACCAAATACAAGGCGAGCATACGCTCATATTGCGCACTGACATTAAAATATTAAGTTATTTCAGCAACTCTTGGGGGTATTTAAAACCATTTTACAGTAACACCATATCCATCAAAACATTAAAACATCACGGATCCGTTTTGCCAATTTCAACAACTACAGTAGATTTTACAAACTTTCTTACGACATAAATATAGGAAGAAATTATGTCTGTTGTAAGCAGTAACACCTCATTTTTTTAACCTACACGGCCTTATATTGGCTTATATAAATAATGAAGCCGTGTTCATTTTATCTAGCCTTGTTTTCCCATTTTTGGCCGTGATAACACGGCCCTCTAGCTAAGACCCTGGTGACCTGCAGGCACAGTTTTCTTGGCACAATTTTTGTTTAACTTCTTCGCTTCATATTTTCTTTCTTATATCAAAAGAATCAGATAGATTGCAGTTTTAAAAGAACAAGTTCATCCGCTCTTTATTGCCATATACTGTATACTGTAGCATACAGTTTTTCCTCGCCCGGAGTTTGTCGTTTGACGTACATGAACGCGAGGCTCAAAACGATATCACTTATTGAGAGAACAGGTTACATGTGATGGAGCTATCCAGTACAAATAAAGTTAATTTAGAAAACTATTAATATTGAATGAGGTCTTCTGAACACATCAGATCCAGAGAATCACAAAGAACTTACCCAGTCAGCTCGGTTATACTGTGATTTGCTGTTATGCAGTCTTTTTAAAATTTGCTAAAGATAAACAATATTTAAATATAACCAAGCATGAATCATTCAGGGCGTATCTAACCTCATCTGCAAGGAGGGGTGCAGGTTGTCCAGAGGTAGTGCATGAGGGGCCCTTACTGCCCACTGTCTTTCAAGGTCTGCAACGCTACTATCCCAACATTACCATTATTTGAGATGGCTGAATCTGCATGTTCACCGTTCTGTTAGTTTTACATTTTGTTTATAAGTTTCTAAATGACTTTTTATCACATATATATGACTGCATGGATAGTTACTGTAGCACAATACAGTATATTTGAAAATATGGCTGTATGACAACCTCGATATGTTTACATATTAAACTATGATATTTAGCTAATTAAAGCTTTCTGAGTATTTTTTTGTCACCTCACCAGTGGCGGAAATTCACTTTTTCCGTTGGGGGGGGGGGCGAAGCCTTCTAAATTTCCGACAAAACTTTCAAATATCCGTCAACCCCTCCCCCCCCCACCACCCCCCCCCATTTGCACTCGAAAAGGCTGTTTTTAGCCCTTTTATAGGTCAAAATTTCCGAAAATTCGTCATCAGTTTTCCATGAAGGTGGGAGGCCGGCCGAGATTTCCGCCACTGCAGCCGACACAAAGCAATTATAATAAATAGTTTCAAGAAATTGATGCAGGCTAACACTAGCAGGTCCGCTAATTGCTATTTGAGAAGCAGAAACTATATGAAAGCAGATGAACTTCTCTGGGGGGAGGGGGGGGGGTGTGCTAGACACCAACTATTGGGGATAGCCGCCGAATATGCCCTAAACATTTTATTTTGCAAGCCGTGACTCACTTATTTGTTCTGTTTTTATAGGTTAAATATTGATGGCTTGTTGGTATATTTTCCTTATGATTACATCTATCCTGAACAGTACTCATACATGTTTGAACTGAAGCGATCTTTAGATGCCAAGGTTAGCTGAAAGATCACATTAATTTATTATACTCTAATCACATTTATTGTTGTAAGGTACATATGTACATTGTAGTCGTAGTAACCTATTGGGCATGAGCGCTCTCCACTTGATGAGTAAAATCATCTGGCATTAGACTGAGTAAAGGAGGATTCAGTATTTCACTCTGTCTAACTAATGCCAGGAAATTTTTGTCTTACTCTCTATGACAATGTGCATGCACCTTCATATGCACATGCATAAGTTGGTTTTGTAAAATGCAGAGTTGTAGACTCGAATCATGTGACTTAGACGAGTCGGACTCAAGTCACAATTTTCATGACTTGAGACTTGACTTAAGGCGGATTTCTAGTCCTCGCACGAATTAAGCTCTGCGAGTGCTTGCATCTAATTAAAATTAACTCTTTAGCATTGTGATATGGATGAAAGTGCTGATGCATCACTTGCAGTGAGCTGCGAGGAGCTTCGTGCGAGGACTGGAAATCCGCCTTTAGACTCAAACAAAATGACTTAATTATGACTTCACTTGCTGGAAATGACTTTTTAGCAATGCAAGTTAAATGTATGTCTTAAATATCTACCATTAAAAATGAACTTCTCCACAAGTTGCACTGGAAATTCATTGATGTTGTACGGTGAATAGTGCAGCCATATTAGGGTCTTTTTTAAAAATTCATTAGTGGGAGATGACAGATTATTGTTTGTGACAAAAAGTTTGGTCTGATGTTGTATGTAATACAGTAGTAGGGGCCTGGGGGCACTGTCCCACAGAAAATTTTTGGATTTTAAAATTTGAAGATAAAAGACAAGCAAATTTCAATTACTAGAATATCAAACATCCCTACTACTAAATTCCATTCTTTGTTTAATGTTTAGCCAAATATATGTTGGGGTTACATGTAATAGACCCTTCCACCAGAAAGTATGTCACTTTGGCTATCACCAATTTACATACATACTGTACATACAATTTGTTAGTTATCCCAGAGGGTTTTTGAAAACTAATTTACAATTTTGAAAAATAATAAACCATGAAATTGCATTATTTATTTAATTTCAATTATATTACAATTAAAACAGATTGTATATAAACTTTACTGTGCATAAAATTAGTTTGTGTCTAAAAATTCTTCTAATAATTGTTTTTTTCAAACAGCGTTTACAGGTAAACTACGTGAAGCGTTCCTCTTTTGAGTTTCTAAATTGATTACAATTTTCCTCATTACTTTTGCAATTTAAAAAACTCCCTTGCAAATCCCTTGAGGAAATTTGCAATGTTGCTAAAAGGCAATTAAATTTTCCTCAGTTCCTGTTAGAAGTTCTTAACTTCCTGTTACAAGTTCCTAACTTCCTGTTCTGTTCTGGGCGTTGCAATTGGCTAACAAAAATAATCCACCAATGACAACGCTCAGAACTGAACAGGAAGTTAGGAAAATTGAAAATGAAGTTTGTTTGCATTGGAATATTGCAACAGCCGATAGGAATATTGCAAATTCCCTCAAGGGATTTGCAAAGAGTTTTTCAAATTTGCAAAGCTAATGAGGAAAATTCCAAATGAGTTATGAAGTCAAAAGAGGAACGCTTCACGTAGTTTACCTGTAAAATCCCTGCTGGATGTACAAATTGTTTGAGTTTGGGACAAAGGGAGTTCTACATGTTTGATATGCCCTATATTACAAATGACTTTTGACCAGTCGTAATTTTGAATTTAGGGATTGAAACACTTTGATTTAACTAATGTCCACATGCACGAAAACGCGACTCTATAGCCAAAATGACATACTTTCTGGAAGGGTTTATTGTCAAAGTAGGCATATATAGAGTACTGTAGTCATTCAAGTGTGCAAAGTTATCGGAGAAAAATTCTCAAGTGTGCACTTGCCCTACTGTGCCAGTTTGGTGCAAAATGAGAATTTCATTTGATCATTTTAGGGTCACTGTCTGCTGGAAATGCCGTCAGGAACAGGGAAGACAATATCTCTTTTGTCTTTAATTGTTGCTTATCTTATGGTATGTGTGGTGGCCATTTAGCAGGAAGATACAGATTATGCGTCCCTTTGATTTTCTAAATTGCGTAATATCCATAATAATAGACATACTGTATATGTCGTCATGTGGAAAAGAAAGCTGTGTAATGGTAGGAATACAACTACCTGAAGAACACAAGGGCCTTTGCTCGTAAAGTTCTCCTGAGCTTAATTGTATTTTTTAGCATTGTAAATATTTCCAATATAGTGTCCTGGCAATTTGGTACGGTGCAATTAAGTTCGGCATCTAAATCAGTTTCCGATATTTTTCCGTATATCTACGACAATTGGATTCGGCCCATGAAAAGTTCGCCGTCTAAGCCGCGCCTAATACGGATTGTTTTCCAATACATACAGTTTCTTATACATGTGAGTCACGTTTTAGGGGGAGTCACTATTTTAGACTTTTAGGGTTAGGACAGCCTAGACCTATAGGCCTTTTATACTCGGCTGGTAATTATCGCAATGGTCATTCGCCTCGTAAAGGCCTAGTAGATTTGACAAGTTTTCAAATTAGCCCCATAACTTTGTGATCCGAAATTGTTCAGAAACCAACAACTAAACCAATTTATACTGTCCAGTAGTTATTAAATTAACTATAAAAACATTTTATGACTAAACTAAGTTCTATTTTGTAGTAATATTTTGACTCATTTTGACCTAATTCGCAACATAGTAATAGTGTTGCTTCAAACTTTATGATAAAACCCCGATTTTCTAGGCGTGTATACTAATAAAAATAGTAAGTTTATACTATAAATGAGTTTATTTTACCTGTATCGGTTTAAATTCGCTGTTAAGTTGCAAGTAATTCTTTTTGAGAACGCAACCAGGGCAGTTTCAGGGCAGTTTTGGCCTTGTTGTTGGGAAATCCACTAGGCCTTATATTTTTTCGCTTGCACATCCTCCGCCCCGCCCCCAAATCACCTGGTCCCAGTCTTTTCATATTAAAATGCGCTGAATATTAAAAAAAAAAAAAAAAAAAAAAATAGAAGGCCTAGGTCTAGGTTGGGGTTAGGAATAGTGTTTGGATTAGGGAAAGGGTTAGGATTAAGATTAAGGTTATGATTAGAGTAAGGGTTGGGATTAGGATTAGGGTTAAGTTTAAAATACAAAAGACTACAAAATTGCAAAAGTCTAAAAATAATAACTCCCCCAAAAAATAACAGGTATATTCTTATATGCCCAAAATTTCTCATGCACTGTGTTGGTATACATGTAACAGTTGTAGGGACGTTCAAATTTGACTACTGCTACCAACAAGGAACTATTAACCATTAGATATGTTTGGTATATCCGATTAACCAATCAGATGCGTACTATAAGCCAGTGAGACGTGGCATTAGTGAGACGTGGTAGTGGTAGTGGAAGTCAAATCTGGACCCCTCTGTATTGTTTAATTGAGTGCAATTTGAAAAAAAAAGCATGCACAAGTGAGTTTTTCAAGGTTGATCAAAATTGCAAATCTCGCGAGTTTTTCGCTCACTTACATACATTATCTGCTATATTTTTTATAGAACAAGCCGTTGGAGCTGACGAAATTAATATATTGTTCACGAACAGTCCCAGAAATGGAGAAGGTGGGGGTGGTGGAATAAAAATTTAGGGGAGGTGCAGCGGTCTAGCTCTCGACCCCCGTGGAAAGTTAGGGCTTACTGTAGAACGGGCCAAAGTCAACGACGTGACGTGTGTACTGTATGCAGCGTACAGTACATATGTATATTAGTGTTTAATGAATTATGACTGTACGACTCATCCAATTTTGTCCTTCATTAAAATTACTACAAAGTTTCTTTCAAAACATTGCATTAAAAGGGTATATTTGACACATATAGATGAATGGCTATCACTGTTTCAGTTTTACAAAAGGACCTTTCTTACGAAGTGTAGACCCTAAGCAACCATGCCCATTTTCACTTTGATCTGTCATTGAAACAAGGGGAGATGCGTGACTTTTCAGGGGAGGTGCAAAAATTCTCAGGAGATGTGCGCACCTCCCCACACCTTCCCTCAGAATCTGGCCATGGATTCTGACTCAAAAGTTAGAAAATTTTTTGTCACTTGATTTAATAAAAATTTAATGAATATAGTTTGCCATAAGAGCATAATATTATAATGCTCATCTAGAGGGCATACTATTACAAATTTACAACGTTACATAAAACATAAAGCAGACACTCAACGATTTTTACAAATACCGTACATTATTAAACTAGCATTTGCAAATCAGTTCATTATAAATAGATAAAATAATAATTGGTCATCAAGGCTCTACAAGAGCAAATCGACCACTTTCTCTAATGAAACATCGGACACTATGAAAAATTCCGATATTTTCATTTTCTGCGAATTGTGAGAGAATCCAGTCAAAAAAAGCCTTTTTTTAGTTATTATTTGCAATTCAGAAATTGCATACCATCTATCGGCAAGAATATGAACAGCAGAGGAAAGCAACTTCAATCTAGGAGCAGCAAACAACGGACAGTGAAGAAAATAATGATTAATACTTTCAATTTCGAATTATAATTCGAAACCACAAAAACATTCGGAAGAGGGTTTACTCCCAATTTTAAACAGATAGTAATTTAAAGCACAAACATTTAAACGTAATCGAGTATGAATGATAGAGGAATATCTGTCAAGAGCAAAATTAAATAACCTCTTGTAATGAGGAACTTCAAAAATTCTAAACAAAGCGTTTTTAAACGAAATTACTGACTCAAGATTGCGTAGCTCCGAGGGCTCGGGTTGAATTTCTTAATTTGTCCAATAAACGTGCTGGTATTGATTTTAGGTTTTAGAGGAACTGAAAGTTTTACTTGAATATTACGAGAAAGAAAGCGGTGAAAAACCTAAAATTCTCGGAGTTGGATTAAGTTCCAGGAAAAATCTATGCATTCATCCAGAGGTACAGTGTAATATAACTTTAAATTAACCAGCCAGTATATTCCCCCTCCCCCCAACTGTTTTACCATGTCTGATACTAAAAGTTTGCTTGAAGTTCAGACACGACATAAAATCAAGTTCCTAAGATTTTTGTATGGATGGAAATTTAAAAGTGTAAATAAGATTTTTAATATACATTTTTTAGACCTACTGTACATAAGGGAGCGGTTATCATGTGACATTTTCATCGCCCTAAAACTTTGTGTTTTGTTCAGGTAAACATTGACAGAGACGGCAAAAAGGTTGACGCAAAATGTCAGACATTAACAGCATCTTATATCAGAGAAAGACATAAATATGACAGCAGTGTTCCTGTTTGTTCTTTTTATGAGGTTTGGAATTTATCAGTATACTGTACGTTGCATGTCATACCAGTAATGTATAGACCATTGCAATAATCCACCCTTGCATGCCTGTATGCCTTTTTTTGGAGGTTACCAAAAATATTTAATTTTGCAGTTAGCCCTGCAAGCGAAGCGAGCCGCCGGGTAGCTTTGGGACCGCGTAGCTTGATTGACATCTTTATTTAAAGCACGAGATCTATTGCACAAGTTAAAATATGTTCTCTTCAATGGAGACGTGTACCTACGTATGCTAGTAAATTAATTTCTAATAAATAAATATATTATTATTATTTACAAGAGTTACAGACCACACATATGCAAAGAAACTAAATATAAACCAAGTGGATCAAGCATTAAATTCCTGGCGCGCGGCTCCTTTAAACTCCGCTAATGTATCCAGTCCTCATCAGCCCCCATGTCTACAAAACAAGTACTCTATTCTGCAAGTAGAGGATTTGTAAATACCGGAGATAAACATAGATACAGTTGCAAAGGAAGGCCTCGAAGGTAGACAACCTATTGGTGAGAAATCAAGTTCGAGAAAACCGACTGTTGGCACAAACAGTGGGCGTAATAAGAAAACAAAAAGTAACACAGTCATTGTCGGTGACTCTATGATCAAATACGTGAAAGGCTGGGAGATATTAAGTGCGGTTAACCGTGTTACGGTCGAATCATTTTCCGGCGCCAGTGTCGAAGATATGACGGACTTTATAAAACCATAGTTAATAGAGGGGAGGGTTTGGAAGCTGGGGGCGTGGCCAAATTATGTTATTGTTCTCTGTCACGTGACAATACGGGTGCATCAAAATCTATTTGTAATAGGAGATTGTATTACGGAGGAGGCTGTAGTACTTGAAAAACGTCTTTTACAGAAAGAATGCCCAAATACCAGGTGCAAATTGCTCCATACATGGTTGCGGGACTAGTAGAAAACACTTTGATCTCAGTATTTTTTGAAATCCAACAAAAGACTACGATTTATCGACGAAAATTCGCGAAGCGTTGGCGAGGCTTGTCAAAGGGCGCTGGATCGCGAGAGATAGATGCAAGTTTAAGAAATCAAATCGCTCAACAAACACTTCACGTTTGTGAAAGACACTTTGAAAAGACCCAGCCGAAACATGTAAGTTATTTTATTTCTCTGGTAGAGGTATTGATATTTCGGTATGAACGCTTGAAAGTTACAACTTAGCAGAAGTACTGTATATATTTCATGTATCAAATGATCAAATTTGTATTATTATAAAACCATATGGTCATAGAGCAGGAAAAATATATTAAATATTAATGATTTGCATAAAAGTGCGTTTCGGTCATTAGGTCATATTTATATAACAGTTAATCCTTGTGTTCATAAAATGAAGGTATACATATTATTCAGGACACTGTCACTGAGGACAGTAGAAACATTTTCGTATACAGTAAACAAAGTATTACACAATATTCAAAGGCTATTTTAATAGCAAGAAACTGGCATAATAAAGTAACAGGATTTTTGTTTGGCCATGTCATAGTATATGAAAGCCCCATTTACAGTTATTATAAATCTTGTTTGCTGTGAATTTTAATATAGTCAACTTACTGTATATATAATCAGATATTTTATGTTCTGCTTTAGTTCCCACCTGCAAAAGGCTTGTAGCTGGTGCTATTCCTACCTTTAATTTACCCAAGAAAAGCATGCCTCTCTACATCACAATTGGAGCCAGGTAACATTGCTGGTCGTCACACTGGTCAGAGGAGTAAATGGTATGGTGGATTAGAAAAGGCCTTGCCGTAACATAAAACAGAAGTAATCTAGTGAGAACTTTTGTGGGGGTTTTGTACCCATAGCTGTCATTAAGGGCCTGTAGCTTGCCTACTTCTGTCTGAACAAAGTTCATATAAACAAAACTGTGAAGCAATAAACAAACCTTTTACTTCCTCTAGTTAGAACATCAAAATTAAAACAAAAGATTAAATGATTTCAAACAGGTCAGACTTTGATAGGATGTTTTGTAATCTTAAGAACTCTGTAAAATGCCTTCCAAAATGCATTTCCAATTGTTTAGATTTCAGGGTTAGGGGCATGCACCCAGACCCCTCTAGGAGTCTTGTGCCTTCAATGTTCAATCATTTTTCGGCCACCTACTTTTAAACTTAATGACAGCACTGCTTCAAAAGAGTAATATGCAATAATTTGTACATATGTTATAAAATAATTATTAAAACAGATTATAAATGAATAGGTGAACAATAAGACTAGAACAATATATTACCTTAGTTGAATAATTTGTAAAAAATTATACTAATATATACAGTAAATCACTATTACACAAAATTTTGTTTCACTTCAAATAGACAAGACATTGGTAAGCTCAACTTTGAGTTATCATGGTTTGAGAGACAACAACGGCTAGAATCAGAGCACACTGACGTAGTGAATAAGTACACTATTCACATCTGAAATTGGCTGTCAACCAGGGGCATAGGAACCAGGGGGCCAAGGCCCCCAAGTTTTCAGAAGATGCAAAAAGTGCCCTTCGACTGTGGGGCAGTTAAACAATGAAATGACCAGCCTGCTTGCTGCACTCTTTGGCTGAGAATCGGGCCTTTCAGAACCAGAAATCGGGCTGGAGCACGACAAATGGCAAAATTTGAAACTTAACAGCCATACAGTTTACCAATATTCTCAAAACACAAGGACGTACTGGCATTCTTTTGGTACTGCAATGCTATTAGATTGCTCAATAATGTCATTCCACAAACTTTTTGCTAATGGAGGAGCTTGGACATTCTTAATAACTTTATCAACGTGTAAAGAAGTAGGTTTGCCTTAATTCTTGTGTGCTTTCTAAAGCACGATTCAGCAATTCTAGCAATATCATTAAGTCATGAATTTGGTACCCACAAGGCTGACGGCCCCTCCCCAGCAACATAAGCTGGGTGGTCCAAACTTTTCTGATTTCACTTATAATTACTAATAGAATACAAACATTAAAAAATATTTCTGGGTATATAATCCTTTGCACATAGGTAAAATCTTCTGGCATCCAACAGTTGGTCTACAAAGCATTTGGAGAGGAATAAGAACTAAGTTTAATACCCTTAGGTCAATATTGTACTATACAGAGGAAATATCAAAATTTGATATTTCCTCTGTATGATATTTCCTTTGATATCTCCTTTGTCTAATATATTATAAGACTTGGTCTTGGAAACTGTGGGATGGGCATGAAATACCATGGAATCTTGGAATAACATTCTATTTTGATGTGACAGAATGATCAAAAGTAACAAATCACATGTTAGTAGACATTGAATCACTGTATATTGGTCAATATCTGGACTTGTAATTGACAATTGGACATATGCCTTAGGGCCTACTATTGAAGACATTCATATCTAGGTTACAGTATATTGTCTATATATACAGTATTAAGATATTTAGCCTACTGGTATTAAAGCATGCAGTTTCTTCAGTGTTTATAATAACTTTGGAATATCTCCTGGTATTAATAGCAAAGTCAACCGTTCGGGCATATTCACCAGCATCAAAAGCACGACTTTATCTTCTCTGCATGGATGAAAATATTCTTTCCTTTTCCCTACCTCTCGAATGATCGACAATGCCTTCTCATATGCGTGATATAAAGTCATATAACATGGATTTTGATCTTCCCTTTGGCAGTACTAGCTGTAGAATTTGTCGAGTGCTTAATACTGCGTCGATATTCGCACGGGAATTGCTTTAATCCTTCAATATAAACGACAAATATAAGTCAAATATTAAGTCTAAGGCATCTCACTACATATTGTTTAATTGGACACAGTATAAAGGACTTACTTCTTCAACTGAACGCGATATTTCTTCAATAATTCATCCGCGTTGATTTGCAGCAGCTAAATAGTTTGATGAAAATCGCCTCCGTCGTTGTATCTGCGTCTCCAGCACCCAGAATTGGGTGAATTTTGCTTTCTGAATCGTATGCCGAACTTGTCGAAGCCATAACAAGAACAACAATGCCTTATTTTAAAATTTATAAGCACAATATCATATTTCTGTAATACTATAGTAATTTCTGAATCAGAGGAGGTCGGACAAGCAGGCCGCAAAGCATCATGGGTTTGAGCGCCTAATTCCAGGCGTGGCTTCAATGACTCTTTGGCTGTCGTGGAGTGAACATCTCTCTGAGTAAACAAATATGAAAGCATTCGAAAGACAAGATTGTCAGGCTGCAATACTTCGTGAAAATAGCATGTTATTGCTGTATTGTTGCGATCCTGATTATGACGTGTGAGTTACTATACCAAGTTTACCTTATATTAAATTGCATGGGACGTGCTGTCTTTTTATAGCTTTATAAATAATCCGCGAAGGAATTGTGTTATTTCCAATAGCAAGGCTGTTCTTTTTAAGTTGGATGGAATCTCTGTGTATCATCATCGTGAAAACAAGCGCAGTATTTAAGGTTGGTATCCCTCAATGCAATACAGTTGACTTGTTTCAAATTTCCGCTTTGCTGTTTTCAATATTGTACTGTAATTTTATAAATACACTGTACAAATTATGGCGTAATATTTCAAATATTAAATTCAACCCTTTAGTTTGACCCTATTCCTGATGAGTTTGCTAATGAAAACATCCAGCATATGCTTTTGGATTTCGATGTGGATCATATCAGTTGACAGCGAATACAATTGATGATGGACATTGGTTTTCAGATGATTCTGAAGGTATTGTTATTTGTATGTATTTTATAAATTTTTGCTGAGTATGATGCCTGTTTGTATCTAGTTGTGGATGGTTGTTTGAATGTGCAAACTGTAGTTTAATATTTTTCAATTTTCATCTAAATATTGTTTGTGTGTTGTTCTATTATGGTTAGCACTATTTTCCATCCAGCAAACTGACCTGACGTCATTTTAGGAAGATAGAAGAGGTGTTAAATGGCTATGTAACTAACCTAAACCCTACCCCTACTGGCT